GGCAATGTCTTGACTTGTCCACAAATTAGATTGAAGTGAGGCAGAGCTGCACAAAGTCAGCAGCCTCTCTCTTCCTGAGTCATCGAAGTCCAGTGCAGGACAAAAGTCAAGGTGACCGGCAGTGGTCCAGGATGCAGTGGATGACCTCGGCGTCTTCCATCTCTGACCAAGCTCTAAGCACTCCCTAGCACCTGCTTCGGCTGCATGGCGGCTGGAACAAATTGTTCGCATCTGCCCATTCTATCGGAGGAAGTCTTCGCATGCTTGGGGTAGACATCCCCCTATCTCACTGACAGGTTTGAGGCCTGTTGGTTACCCTCGACCTGGTTTAGCCCACCTAGCCCACACTTCACGGAAGAGGAGATGACATCTGGGAAGAAGAGGGTCTCAAAGGGTGGAGATGTGAAGGAAGAGTGGTTCAGATATGAAATTCCTGGAGGTAGGAATGAATAAATGAATGAATAAAACATTGATTAAGCACTTACTACATACAAAGCGCTGTGCTAAGGGCTGGGGATACGAATAGAAAAGTAACACAGCCCCTACTCTCAAAGAGCTCCCATTCTAATGGGGGAAACAATTCACAGGTAAGGCATGAGCCATAAGTCAGATGGGAAAATCCCATGGGACTTACGGTGCAGGAGCAAAGCAGATGTTAATGCATCTTCTTTCCCACCAAAGTCTAAAGTTAAGCCATTTGGTCATGCCAAGGACTTTGGTGACAAGAATTTTCTTTTGGGGGTCTTAAAAGATGCAGCTGTAGCACCTGCAGGAACACTGGCCAGGCTGCATCTGCGTAGGGCTTGCTTCCTAGGACACTGTCAGGCTGTGGACACTGGGCTGGAAGCGTTGCTATTGCCAAGGCTCATGGGCTCAGGATCCTGGGCTGTGCAATCAGAGTCTGAGGGGAGATCGTGTTCAAGGTTTGTGCCTGGCACAAGCTGCCTCCTCTATCTCTCTCAGGGTACCCCATTGCTTCAGCGAGGCTAGCTTGCCTGCCCCGTGTGTGTGGCAGCTAGTTAGCAGTTGGTGGAGACGTCTGGCCCCTTCTCCAGGAGGGGCCTCCCCGATGGCTGTGAAGTCAGGGTTGGAAGCAGGACCAGTCATCTGGGGGGGGTGTGCTGCCTCTCCCAGAGCTCTTGTGCCTATCTACCCCTTGGCAGGCCTCTTCTCCACCATGATTTCTCCCCCTCAATGGTGGCTTTGCTTTTCCTTCTTTATACTTTATCCTTTATGGATCTAATCCACTCCTGTGGTTTCATTGATGATTTTTTTTTTCCAATTCAGATTTTATTTCCTATCAGAAGATGTGCGTAATTTAATTTAATTGAAATTCTGAACAAAATGGTTTTTTTTTAAGTTATTAATGCAAATTCATGCAAGGCAGTGAATGGAGTACTGCAGGCTGTATCACTGACCGTTTTCCGTACTCTGGCAGTTCGTCGATGATTCCTGCAGATGTCTGGTATATATCCACTGTCCTCACTGAGCTTGGGTTGATGGCTCACCATGTCCTGTCCAGACTACCACCACTACCTTAGCCACCTTAAGACCCTGATGGTTCGGACAGCCCATGATCCTGAACCCGAGAGCCTTGGGAACAGCAGTGTCCCCCAAACTGCCAGGCCTGCTTCCAGCCCGGCCCTCACCTCTGCCCAGTTTCCCTAAGCCTGGTGATGGCACAGCCATCTCTCCAATCTTCCAGGTTTGAAACTTCCCAGCCCCACCACCCCTGATTTTTCCATTCTTCGTCACATCCGTATCAATCAATCAGTCGTGGAGTATTTATTATTCTTGCTTACCATATGCTAAGTACTGTGCTGAGTCTACATCTGACCAAGTGCCGTTTCCTCCCTTCTCTCTCCCCACTCATCCAACTATTACTTTAGTTCAGACCTTCACTGCCTCGTGCCTGGACTTTTGTGATGGCCTCTCACTTGGTCATTTCATCTCTGCCCCTCTTTAATCCATCCTCCACACAGCTGCCAAATTGATATTCCTAAAGCACAGGTCTGACCATATCACTCTTCTGCTCAAGAAAGTTCAGTGGTTCCTTATTACCTGGAGTGAAAAAAATAAAATAAAGCAAATTCCTTGGTTTGGGTATTTAAAGCCCTCCACAGTCCCATAGGCCTCTAGTCTTCTTTCAAGCTTTACTGACCATTACTCCCCCTTCATATATTCCACATTCCAGCCAATTTCCCATTTCTAATTGATATTCCCCGTTTCCTATCTCCACACCTTTGCACAGACTGTCCTCTATACCTGGAATGTCCCCCATGCCTCCTTACCTCTGCCTTGTGAGTCTATGAGGCTGATTTGAACTCGGCTCTTCCTGGCTCTTGACACTTTGAGACACGTGTGGGCATTGCTATAGCTCAGAATCTTTCCAGGCCTTTTTGTCTCTGTAATCTCAATGCCTAGCACAGTGGGAGTCATTTCAGTCATTTTTCAGTCATGTCTGACTCTCCATGACCCTATTTTGGGTTTTCTTGGCAAAGATACTGAAGTGGTTTGCTATTTCCATCTCATCTTACAGATGAGGAAACTGAGGCAAATAGAGGTTAAGTGACTTGCTCAGGGTCACATGGCCAGGAAGTGTCTGAGGCCAGATTTGAACTTAGGAAGATAAATTTTCCTGACTCTAAGCCTGGCACTCTATCCACTGCACCACTTAGCTGCCCTGGGAGGCACATGGTAGGTGTTTAATAAATACTTTTTGACTGATAAATTGATCTTTATTCCATTCAATTCTAGTCCATGTCTTTCCACCAAAATGTACAAATAGAACGTGGATCTTTGCAAAAAGCAAATAAAATTAATTTTAAGAAAATGAATTGGTATGGCAACCATACATTTTGATAAAAATATATGTTTTTTTTAAAAATCATAACAATGACAGCACATTAACTGTGTCCCCTTCTAGTCTCTGTTCCATCTGCGTACTTAGAAAGTTTTGTTCTCATTATTTCCATGTAGGCAGAGTGTGGGTTGTTTAAAATCTGCATTCTGAGTTCTGCTTCACTTCGTGTCAGTATTTCCATATTTCTCCGTATTCTTCCTATGTCATTTTTGGGAAGGAGCAATTATATTCCATCATAATTAACATTCCAAAATGTATTCAGTCATTCTCCATCTTTGGACATTTAGGTTGATTCCTCTTTGGTCACAATTACAAATAAAGCAGCTATGAATACTTTTGTAAAGACATGTCTTTTTTTTTCTTTTTAACAGTATCTTAAGGTAGAAGGGTGGAGTGTTTAGAGTGCTGAGTTTGGCTTCAGAAAAACCTAGGTTGAAATCCAGCCTCCCTGAGCAAGTTACTCTGTAAACCTCAAGCCATTCTCTAGGATTGATCTACCAAGTCATAGACCTACTCTGCATCAGTGGAAGGAATTCCCACACCTAGAGTTGGTGAACAGATGTGTTATGAAAGGCAGTTCCCAAGCCAGATGTTCCTTTGCTAATGAACCTTCACACCCCTCTTTTGTAACATGCTGGATAGAGTCCTAGTCCCTGGCTTCTTTAATGCCTTTTATCAGAACTACCTGATAAGCTCACTTATTACACACCTGGAGTGAATTTGAAGGTCTTTGCAAAATGAGAGGAGTGGGCTGCATGATTACAGTGAGCCCTGTGAGATGCTATACTGGCTGACAGAGCCAGTTGTATTTAGGTAGCATTTCCATTTGATGCCACCACTTAGGAGTCCCTTTGCCCAGAATCCACCCCCCTTCAGCTCTCTGCCCCTGGAAAAAGGTAAAGATGTGGCTTCCAGCATTCTCATGCCACCCTCTTCTCCTGCCGGCAATGGTGGGCAGGTGGGGGAACAATGCCTCCTGTGTCCTGCCTTTCTGCCAGTCTGGCCCAAGGGGAGGGACAATGGCCTGGCTTCAGCCCTGGACTCTCAGCTTTGGCTCTCCCTCTCTACACAGCTGCTCCTCCAATCTGCTGAAAGATAAACTTCTCAGACGGGCCTTCTCCCTTCTCCTGCCCCAGCCATCACAAGGTGAGGACCTGCCATGCTATCCCTAACCCCCGACCCCTCATCCCAACTCAAACTAGGGGCCCACAATCAATTGTTGTGGCCATAGGGTGGGCATCAGGCTGAGAAAGGGCTGTCGAGGGATTTGGACAGTCTGGTATCAGGACATGGGTGTCAATACCAAAGAGACCCTGCATGGGCCAAAGGAAACCCTGAACGAGGGTGGGACGAAAGGGGTCTCTGGGACCTTCTAGGGCTGGCGTCCCCTTAAGTAGATCAATCCCCATTCTGATAAATCCCCATTCTAGTTCTTAACACCGCACATTCCTCTCTTGCTTCCATCCCTTTTCCTTATCTGTAAAATGAGGCCTCAGTTTCCTCATCTGTAAAATGAAATGGTTGGACTAGATTGAGGGGGGTTAACCTTTTTTGTATGGGTCATAGACCCCTTTTGCTATCTTAATCAAGCCTATGGATCCCTTCTCAGAACCAGGCTTTTAAATGCATAAAATCAAACACCTAGGATTATAGAGGAAACCAATTAGATTGAAATACAGTTATTAGAATATTAAACATTCCAAGTTCATAGACTAGGTTAAGAACCCATAGATTAAAGGATCTCTGAGGTCCCTTCCAGTTCAAAATCTATGATTTATTTATTGTATGATCATTTTCTACAGTTCATAGGGATTTTTTTCAGGGAGAATTCTTTCCCCCAGACTTTGAGGAAATGAAAACCTTCTTCTGCCTTCTATATTCTTCTTATTAAAAACATTTTTTTAAATGGGTGGGAACCCCTATCCTGAGAATCTATCTGCCCCACCCTCCCTCAAGTCTAAGAGAGGAAGAAGGTTCCCTCTAGTCCCTTTGGCAGGAGCAGTAAGACAGTGACAAGTGATGGGTCTCCCCAGCACAGTTCCCATCATGAACTCAGAGTATGAGCAAGGCCACGTTCGTAAGCTGCAGGCACAACACATGAGGATGCAGGAAAAAACCTTCACCAACTGGGTCAACAATGTCTTTCACCACGGCAAGGTAAGTATTTCTGTCCCCCCCCACCCCAGTCTCTTTCTATCAATAGGCTCCTCTTCTGCTGCTTATGACCTTGAGCAAGTCACTTAATCTGGAGGAGGTTGTGGTCCAGAGAAAAAGCACTGGCTCTGGAGTCAGGGGAACTGTGTTTGAATCCTGTTTCTCACATGATCTTGTGACCTTGGGCAACTCACTTCGCTTTCCTCAGTGTTCTTATCTGTAAAATGAGGGAACTGGCCTCAGAGGTCTGGTTCAGATCTAGATCTGTGATCCTAGGACCCATGCTTCAGATCTGCTCCCCACAGCAAAGGGATCAGCCTCTGAAGCCCTGTGTCATCCGTCCTGCCCCTTGGGATACCCAGGGCCAATGCCCACTATACCTACTCCCCTCCCCACGGGAATCCCAGCATTGTGATTGTATGTGTGTTGAATGGTGGGGAGGGGAATGAGGGGGTAGACAAGCCATCCCCAGGGCCCAAGATGTTCTGTGAGTCTCCGGAGCTAGAGAGAGAAAGGTTAGCCTAGGCTGACTCTCTCTGCCTCCCCCTTCCCAGGCTGGCATCAAGATCCAGAATATGTACATCGAGCTGGGATGGTACCCACCTGCTGAAGCTGCTTGAGCTCATCTCTGGGGAGGTGCTGCCCCCGCCCAACCGGGGACGAATGCGAGTGCATTTCCTGGAAAACAACAGCCGGGCTCTAGCCTTTGTGAGGTCCAAGGTGAGGCCAGGAGCCCAGAGGCTCAAGAGGGAGCGTGGCTGTGACTTCCTGAGCCCAGGGCAGTAGCTAGCGCTGAGACCGGAGGACAAAGAAAGACGGACAACAGCGGAAATCAGGGGCAATCCCACCCCCTCCACTATCCCCTCTCAAAACTACACGTGTGGCTTTGAGAATACTCAAGTCAAGTCAGGAAGGAGTAATTCTAGTGTAAATTGGAGTTTGGGTATATTGATATCTATTCTAAGAGCCCTGTTTGTCAGGACGGCTATTTGGCCATCCTGACAGCTGAATCCCAGATGTATGAACTGTGGAATGTAGGAGTGAGGAAAGGAAATAGGGCCATTCTGTAAGGGAAGGTGATGCTGAATAAGGCCAAGATGAGGAGAATTATAATAGATCATGTACATAATGCTTTCAAGTTTGTAAAGAGTTTCAGATGTATTTTCTCATTTGGCCCTCACGACAACCATCACAGCCAAGTACTAGCCGAAATAAGTCGATAAGGATTTATCAGGGTTTCCTGTGAGCAAATATGAGCAGAAAGACAGTGCCTGCCTTCAAGGCTCATACCTTCTTCTAGGGGAAGACAGCACGTAAAAGGAAGCTCAAAAGTGGGGTGGTGAGGGGGGAAGACATGCACAGGGGCATGGTAGAGGCAGTCCGGAGGAGCAGGAGTGAAGTCTGGAGGGGAAGAAAGGCATGGCTGGCCTGGGCACTTTCCTTAGAGGAAATGGCCAATTGGAGGAAGAGGCCTCAGAGTTGAAATGTGTTTCTGGGGTGAGAAATCTAGGGGTGAACTGGACTTTCAGGGTAAGGAGGCTGCTGTGGCTGGTAGAAAGGTCCTGAGAGTTAGGAGTGGAACCTGGAGAGGTTATTATTATCTGTTTTTACATATTAGGAAACTGAGGGTCAACTAGCTTAAGTGAGTTGCCCATGATCACATAGTTATTGTTAGTCAGGATTTGAACCCAGGTATTTCCTAATTCCAGGTCCAACTCTCTTTAGAAATGTTTAAACTTTCTTTTTTATTATGACTTTAACAATCATCAACAATACATATCTTTCACGATGCAATGATCAGGAAAGAAGATTGTCTGTGGCACTGTGGACTTCTGTTATCTACAGCTTTTTAAAAAGTATATATTAAATTTAACACAGTAGTAACAACATTGTCCTTTTTCTAGCTCTCTTTCTGATATATAAAACTGCTAAGACCTATTTTAAAGAAACAAATGAGACACATGGCATGATTAGTTTCAGAGAATAGCTATTGGAAAAGTCTGAGAAGGAAAAGAGGAAAAAGATTTTGCTATGGACTATATGTCCAGGAATGAGATGGGGGTGGGAGGGAGAAGGTGAGACAGAGAGAGAGAGAAAGAGAGACAGAGAGAGAGACAAACAGACAGACAGGGACAGAGAGACAGAGAGAGAGATGGAGAAGGAGAGTAAGAATTTGGAACAGTGCAACTGTGCTGTTCCATACAATAATGTCTATTTATAGACCTTGTAAGAGCTACAGGTATAATAGCAAAGCATTTAGTTAAGACCTCAAAACCATGTAAATAGTAATTGAGAATTTAAAAAGAATTGTCTTTTTTTTTTAAAGCTCTTTGTTCACAGACGCTTTGTGAGGCAGATAGGGCAAGTATTCCCATGTTAAAGATGAGGAAAGCGATACTTAGAGGATTACCTACCCAAGATCTCACGGCTATTTAGGGTTAGAACCAGGGTTTTAACCCAGGTCTCCTGACTCAAAAGTTAGGTTTTTTTTCCCCACTACATCCTGAGATGAAAAGAATGATGGGGAAGAGATAGGAGTGGCCAATGAGGGTGGGATATTGGTGTGCCCCCTCTTCAGTGACCCGGAGGAACCCAAAGGCACGGGCCCAACACATGGATCCCCTAAGTTCTGAGAGCCCAATCGGTCTCCAGTTCTCTCCACCAATCCCCTCCCATCAGGATTCATCAAAGCTCCTCTTGCTGACTCTACAGGTGCCAGTGCCCCTAATTGGTCCAGAGAACATTGTAGATGGGGACCAGACACTCATCCTTGGACTCATCTGGGTCATCATCTTGCGTTTCCAGATCTCTCATATTTCCCTGGACAAGGTACCACTCAGACCCAGCTCTCACTTTCCCCTCACTTCTCCTTTCCTGGTCTTCACTCTCCCTGGTCACACCTCCCCTTCCTCCTTTTTGGACCTTATATGGACATAGCCATTTTATAGCCTGATGATTGAATTATGGCTCCTGCCTTTCTTTACTGCCACTGCCTCCCTGGGCTCCCAGACTCACTGAGGATTCTGCTCCTCTCCTCTCGTGCCCCAAGGACAAAAGAAAAAAGAAGCTCATGTTCACAGATGTTGTTGTTGTTACTATTATTATTTCTGTGTTGTTATATTCTGTCAACTGCCTATAAGTTTAAGGTAGACCTCAGGGGAGGATATATCCATTAAGTCAAGGCTTCTTTTTTTTTATTAATTTATTTTGATTTATCAGCAATCACTTCCATAAGCTTTTGAGTTTTAAATTTTTCACCCCTTCCCTTGTCTCCTCCCTCCCCAAGACGGCCCACAATCTGATATAGGCTCTACATAGAAACATATTTTCACATTAGTGATGTTGTAAGGAAGAATTAGAACCAATAGGAGGAACCACAAGAAAGAGGAAACAACAAAACAGAAGGAAAAAAATAGCAAATAGTGTGCTTTGATCTGCATTGAAACTCCATAGTTCTTTCTTTGCATGTGGATAGCATTTTCCATCATGAGACTTTTGGAGATGTCTTAAATCAAGTCAAGACTTCTTCAATGGCTTATAAGAAAACAATTTTGACTGAGAACTAAGGGGTGAACCCTGTGCCTTAGTTATCCACTTCATTTTGAGAGGCAGTAGATAGAAGATAAAAAGGTGGCCTTGGAGCCAGGAAGGCCTGAGTTCAAGATCTGCCTCTGATACATACTGCTGTGTGACCCTAAGCAAGACACTTGGGGGCAGCTAGGTGGTGCAATGGACCGAGCACTGGCCCTGGAGTCAGGAGGACCTGAGTTCAAATCTGGCTTCAGACACTTACTAGCTATGTGACCCCAGGCAAGTCATTTAACCTTGTTTTTCCTCAATTTACATACATATATATGTGTGTGTGTGTGTGTGTGTACATATACAAAGAGAGAGAAAGAGATAAGGCAGAATAAATATAATGACATATATCTATATCTATCTATCTATCTATCTGTATGAGGCAGGATATGAACTTAGGTGCAATTAGGTCCAATTGGCTTAAAAAAAAAAAGACACACTTAACCTCTCCATACCCCAGGCAACTATCTTGGACTCTTAATTTTTTTGGTGGGGAAAGAGAGAGAAGAATGCTTCCCCTTCCTATAGTGCTGCTGGGCAAGTCATTTAATCGCTCTCTGCCTCAGACAACTTTCTAAGACAAGGGTTTTTACCTTTTTGTGTGTCATGGACTCCTTTGCCTGTCATGGTTTAAAGCCCTATGGACCTCTTCTCGGAATAATGCTTATAAATGTGTAAAATAAAATACGGAGGATTACAGGGGAAAAAAATTAAGTTCATTGGCCCCAGTTTAAGAACACTTGTCCTAAGACATCGTCGTTTTGGTTTTGTTTGTAAGCATGTTTTCCTCTCCTAACAGCTGGCTCAGAGGAGTTTTTGACTGTGTTACACAGTCTGAAGTCTAGACTCTAATTTGCAGGGCAGTTACCAGCCTGCATTGGTAGAAGAGGAGTTGTCCTTGGGAATTCTCTGCACCAATGAAATCATAGGCCCAAACTGCTCCTCTCCCCTCCCGCCACATGGATATTACTCTTTGACATAACTACTTACATTTTTTTTTTATCCCCAGGTTCCCTAATCCTAAATCCTTATGTATTGCCAGGAATTCAAACAGAGTCTTAGTGAAACAGAAAGGAAGAAATATTTGAAGTAGCTAGGTGGCATGGTGGGCCTGGAGTTTAGGAAGTGCTGAGTTCAAATCCTACCTTAGATACTTACTAGCTGTGTGACCTTCAGCAAATGCTTTAACCTCCCTCATGATCATAGAGATAATAATAATACCTATCTGATAAGGTTGTTATAAGAACCAAATGAGATGATAATAATGACTAATATTTATATAAGGACTTACTATGTGCCAGGCACTGTGCTTTTACAATCATTTTCTCATTTGATCCTTACAATGACCCTGGAAGGTAGGTACTATTATTATTCCCATTTTACAGGTGAGGAAACTGAAGCAAACAGAGGTTAAGTCACTTGCCAGGGTCACACAGTAAGTGTTTGAGGCTAGATTTGAACTCAGGTTTCCTAACTTACTGCCCAGCACTCTATCCACTGCATCACCAGCAGCCTCCAGCATATATGCTGGATATATAATATATGTAAAGCACTTTGGGAACCTTCAAGTTTTCATATAAATCAGTATTATTAGTAATAGGCTTTTTATATATATTTATTATATATAACTATATAATATATTTATTGTATATTATTGTATATTTTATTATATAATATATATTTATCATATATTGTGTGTTTTATTATATAATATATATTTATTATATATTGTATATTTATATATATTTTATATAGAAATGTATTCTCTGCCAAGCATAAGGTTGGCAGAGGAACGCAGGCTCTGACCCCAGCCCTGTCCCCCACTTCTCTGAGCTCAGTCCTGTTCTCCTACCAGGAGGAATTTGGGCCCAGTGCCACTCAGCTGTCTGCTAAGGAGGCGTTGCTGGTCTGGTGCCAGCGGAAGACAGCTGGCTATCCCAACGTGAACATCACGGACTTCTCTCGTAGCTGGAGCGACGGGCTAGGCTTTAATGCCCTCATCCACGCCCACAGGTCAGGAAACCAGCACCCTATTCTCCTGCTTTCTTTCTCTTGCCAGATAGACCTGTGCCTCATTGTCAATGAACTCCAGGACCATCTTTGATTTCCCCTGAGCCTAGGAGTAAGCACCCTAGGGCAAGGGGGAGGAGGGAAAGTGTGCCTGGGAAAATGCCTTGCTGTCTTTGAGGGCTGGCTTGTCCCTCCCCCACTTCCCTCTGCGGCACAATCTGGTCATTGGGTAGAGACTGGGCGTGGAGCAGTGGCATAGGGGATATGAGAATAATAATAGCCAGTGTTTATATATAGTACTTTAAAATATTCTGAGCATCTTACAAACATCTCATTTGAGCCTACCAATAAACCTGCGAGGTATTATTATCCTCATCTGTAAAATTGGTGGAGTTTAGAAAGGTCAAGTCACTTGTTCATGGTCATATAGGTAGTGTCAGAGGTGAAAATGGAACCTAGATTTTCCCAGTTCCAAATCCAGCACTCTATTCACTATAAAATGTGGGAATAGTTAGCGCTGAAGTAAGGGGCAGGGGCAGGGGGAGTGGGGGAGTGATCAGTATCTGAGTTCCTGGCTCCCAGTTCAATCTTGTGGGCTAGCTCTGCCCTGGGCAATACTGCGAACCTGGCAAAGTTTATCTTTAACATAACCTACTCACTTTTCTCAGTTTCTCCCTCATTGGAGTCCAGTCTTCAAGCAAAGGTTTTTATGACCACTTGTCCAGTAGGGTTGCTGGGTAGCACAGTGAATAGACTGTTTGTTGGACCTGGAGTCAGAAAGACCCGAGTACAAACCTGGCCTCCAATACTTAATAGCTGTATGACCCTGTTCGAGTCACTTCAATGCTCTCAGCCTCAGTTTCGTCATCTGCAAAATGGGGATAATAGTTACCTATCAAATAGCACAGGGCTGTTGCGAGGCTCAAATGAAATCACATATGTAAAGTGCTTTGCACACCTCAAAGTGCTATATAAGTGTTAGCTGCTGTTATTATCGTTGTTGTTTTAATGGGAGGGATTCTTTTTCAGATACAAGTTGGATTAGATGGCCACCTGGGTCCCTTCCACCTCTGAAATTCTGTGATTCTATGATAGAGTAACTCAACCCAAGCTTGGGTAGGCAGAGGGACTTTATTATTATCATTCATTTTATAGGAGGGATTCTTTTTCAAGTATGAAGTGGTCTAGATGGCCACCTAGGTACTCCAAAATTCTGTGATTCTGTGATAGAGTGGCTCAGTTAAGGGGAGAGACATATGCCCCACCTGACGAATGGGTCAGCTCCACGGGGCTCTCTCCATCACCCTGCCATCCCCCTCCTCGGGTTCTGGCTTTGGTCCTTTGCTAGGTCACAATCTCCTGCCAACCTCCCACAGGCCTGACCTGATCAGGTACAGCTCCCTGCGGCCAGAGCACCCCCTGCACAACCTGGAGAATGCTTTTGAAGTGGCTCACAGAGATCTGGGCATCTCCAGGCTGCTTGACCCCGTGGACGTCGCTGTCCCACAGCCTGAGGAGCGCTCCATCATGACCTATATCTCTTTCTACTATCACTACTTCTCCCACCTACACCAGGGACAGACGGTCCAGAAGAGATTGGCCAAGGTCGGTGTGGAAGGGTGGGAAGACGGGTATAAGAAATGGGGGGGGGGTGCTCAGCTGTGCCTTACCCCCCTTCACACTTCCACCTCAGCCCTGAGGTCACTAATTCCTTAAGAGGATTGCCCAACAAGACTCTGGCAGGAAGTAAAAGGGAGAGTCAGCAAGGGCAAAGCGCTTGCTTTGGGGAGAGGGGGAAGCGGGAAAGCCCATCCCCGAGCACAAGCCATGAATCTTTTCGGTGCCATGAGCTGCTGGGGACGGTGGCAGAGCCTGGGGCATGGGGCCGCTATCGTCAGGGTGGGTGTGCCTCGGGGACATTCAAGTCAGTGGCCTTGAGATGCCGGAGGAGGGGAAGGGGCAGAACAGGGCATAAGAGGGCCAGAGAGTCTGGACGGGCCGTGGAAGGATCAGGGATCCCAACCTCCACAGCTGAAGGGCCAAACCTGTTCCCCTCCCTTCCCAGCTGCCCTCTCCGTGCCTGGGTGAGGGTAGCAGGAGGCGACCTTGCAGGACGATCGGGCCTCTGGTCTGTGGGGCAGGCAACCTTTTAAAAATGTTTCCATTGCAAGAGTAGGAGAAAGCCACTCTGTGGTCATTGGGGGGTACTCAGGTGGACCTCACCGCGGGAGCTGAGCCATCCTGAAGAGGATAGCTCTCCCCAGCTCTCAGCCCACCCCATTAATTCCTGACTTTCTCCTTCCCTCTGTCCCAGATCCTGCAGCAGCTGCAAGAGACAGCCAAGTTGCAGGCTCAGTATGAGCAGCTAGTGTCCGACCTGCTGGGCTGGATCACCGAGCGGGCGGCCCAGCTGGAGGAGCGACGTTTCCCAGACACCCTCCCAGCCATGCGTCAGCTGCTGGCCGCCTTTGCCGCCTTCCGCAAGGAGGAGAAGCCCCCTCGGCTAGAGCAGCGAGGGGCGGCCGAAGCGCTGCTGTTCCGCCTGAGCACTGCCCTCCGCGCCCAGAACCGCCGGCCTTTCCTGCCCCGCGAGGGCCTGGGGCCGGGGGAGCTGGGCAGGCGCTGGGAAGGGCTGGAGAGGGCCGAGGCCTGTCGGGAGCAAGCGCTGCAGCAGCAGCTGCTGAGGCTGGAGAGGCTGGAGACGCTGGCCCGACGCTTCCAGCGCAAGGCGGCCCTCCGGGAGAGCTTCCTGGTGGACGTGGAGCAGGTGCTGAGCCGGCTGGGCACCCCCGTGCCCAGCTCTGCCCTGCTGAGCGCCGCCGTCCAGAAGCTGGGGTCGCTGGAGGCAGATGTGCTGCCCCAGGAGGGCCGCTTCCAGGCCTTGGCTGAGATAGCCTCCTTCCTGGAGCAGGAGCGTTACCATGGCTGGGCGGAGGTGGCCCGAAGGTGAGGGTCCTTTCCCAACAGCAGCTGCCCCTTCCCCTGGCCCCCTTCACCCTGATTCCATCCCAAGCTGCCCGACCTCCCCAGTCCTCAGGGCCCCCTCTGCACCCCCCCACAGGACCACAGGGGAAGCCTCCCCAAACACCAGTCATTTCCAGCAGTAAAACTCCCTTGAGAATATCTCTCTCAGGGATGCCTGAAGTGCGGACTCACTCAGCACCTGTCTAATCTAAAACACACCATAAGGGAATCCTCACCATCCGATACCAAGACTCTTTCACTATTAACAATTCATTCCTTTGACATTAGCGCCTACCCTCTAGGTCAACTCTCTTTAAAGTAAAATACCTCCTAAAGGGGGTAATCCATTAAGCTTCTTATACCTTCATGTGAATGATTTTATTAGAAGAGAGCCTGCCAATATGAGGGCCTAAGGCTCTTGTTTTAGAAGAGTTTTTAACTTTTTTACGTCATATTCCCCTTGAGTAGTCTGGGTGAAGCTTATGGACCCTTCTCAATAACAGCTAGCTAATAACAGTAGCTAACATTTATAGAGTGCTTACTGTATGCCAGGCACTACAAAGAGCACTTTACAATTATTGTTCATTTGATCCTCACAACTACCCTGGGAGGTAGGTACTATTATTATCTCTATTTTACAGGTAAGGAAACTGAGGCAAACAGAGGTTAAGTGACCTGCTCAGGGTCACACAGCTAGTAAGTGTCTGAGGTCAGATTTGAACTCATATCTTCCTGACTCCAGGTCCAGCACTCTATCCACAAAATAAAATATATAGAAATACAGAGGAAACCAATTATATTAAAAATACAGTTATCAAGATATTTTTAAAAATCAAGTTCACAGAGCTCAAGTTATGAACCCCCCCACCTTAGAGGAAGGGCATATTTGGTGAGAAGGCCCAGAAATGAGGGCCTAGGACACAGGGTAAATTGTATGCATGGTGGCTAGGACCACTCTGCCTCTGGATGAGATTCCTCAGCACACACTAGCTGGCAAATAAGAACCCTAAGGCAGGTGTAGACCAGTAGGACCTCTCTATCTGCATTGTCTAATCCATCCCTGATCTTATCTCTGCTGTAGTGAATGAATGAATAAGCCAATGAAAGAAAGGAAAAAAGTATTTGTTAAATAAAGGCTTACTATATGCTAAGCCATAGGGGAATTTAAAAAAATAAAAAGGTAGTGCAGTGGATAGAGCTCTGGGCCTTGGAGTCAGGGGAACCTGAGGTCAAATCCAGCCTCAGACACTTGACGCTTACTAGCTGTGTGACCCTGGGCAAGTCACTTAACCCTGATTGCCTCACTAAAAAAGCAAAAAAAAAAAAAAGAGCAGAAATGGGCCCTGTCCTCATTTCTAATAAGGAGAACATAACACATATAGGCATATAGGTGATTAGTGGCAGGGAAGGGCGTTTTTGGTTTGGAAAGTTATAGGTTTGGTGATAAGGCAGCAAAGTAGTACGTCCTTTCCAAGAATGGTGGCAGTACAAGTTTGCTTATGGTTCCAGAATTGGAAGGGGGTGGGATGGAGTAGGGGATTCACCCTTAGGTGAAGCAGGCCAGGTGAGACCCTTATCAGACAGCTGGGACCCAGGAGAGGCGTTCTAGAGCTGATAGAATGAAGACATCCAGGACATGATGCAAGACGGCAGGTGAGAAAATGACCTAGGTAGAAATAAGAAAGGTTTGGTCTGGGGGACTGGGGTAGGGGGAATGACCTGATGTTGGCATCCCAGTTTTGCTACTGCTGTGTGACCTCAGCCAAATTATTTAACATCTCTGGGCCTTTGTCTCTAAGGACTCATCTGATTCTAATCCTCGATTTACAGAGGAGGACTTGATGTAGCCATTGCAAGGGGCACAAAATCAGGGGTGAAGCTCCTCTGACTTTGGGGTGGCCATTCCCAGAGTCCTTAAAGCTACCAGCAGACTACACCAGGCCCTCTCCACTCCTGTATGTAGCTTCGGGCCCAGATGGCTTCGTCTGCCCCCATCCCTCCTCCTGTATCCTCCCCAGGCAGAAGGAGATCTCTCAGCGCTGGGAGCGGCTCCTCGGAGGGCTTCATGAAAGGAGGGAACATCTGGCAAGCTGTCGGGTGGCATTGGGGCTGCTTCAAGAAGTTGACGCTGCTGATGAAGAGCTGAAGGAACTACAGGTCGTATCCAAGGACTGTAGCCCACTGGGTCCGTGGTATTTGGGCAGCTAGGTGGTGCTGGGCCTAGAGTCAGGAAGACTTGAATTCAAATCTGGCCTCAGACACTTACTAGTTCTGTGACCCTGGGCAAGTCACTTATCCCCATTTGCCTCAGTTTCCTCATCTGTAAAATGAGCTAGAGGACTTCAGGATCTTTGCCAAGAAAACCCCAAAAGGGGTTACAAAGAGTCACACTTGACTGAAAACAAATAAACAACAAAATCTAGGGCACTGAATTAAGGGGCAGGAAGACTCGAGTTCAAAACCTGTCTCAAGACACCAGCTATGAAACTCTAGAAAGTCATTTAACCCTGCTGTGCCTCGGTTTCCTCATCTTTAAAATGGGAATAACAACAGGACCTACCTTATAGGTTTGCTGTAAGGATCAAATGAGATAATACACATAAAGTGCTTTACAAACCTTAACATAATATACAGGGTGTTCCAAAGGTCTTAGTACACTTTTAAGCTAATAAAGCTTAAAATACCAAACCCCAATAAATCCACAACAGTATTAATGTCATACCTAAACTAAAAATATAAAAGATACTAATATAGCACTTTTAGCTAATAAAGCTTAAAAAACAGCATTAAGACTTTTGAAATACCTTGAATAAGTATTAGCTATTGTTATTATTATTAATTATTATTACTCCAGGATATCACCCCACATATGGTGCTGTCTACAGCATTGGCCCCAGGGACACTCACTGGTCCTCACTTCAGTATGGGTGCATCACCTACCCAAGGCACTGAACCCTGGGGGCAGCAGTGGGGACTGGGAGCCGCGTGATGGGCACTGCACTGACCGTGGTTCTCTGGCCCCAGGTGCTGGCAAGTTCTTCCATCTGTGGGCAGCATCTGGCAGAGGTGGTAGAGCTTCTGCAGAGACACGAGCTGCTGGAGGCCCGAGTCTCCTCCCACAGTGCTCCTGTGAGCCACCTTATCCAAAGGACCACAGAGCTGAGCGCCGTTACAGGCACCCATCTGGACGGGCTGCAGATCCGAGCCTGGGGCTTGTCACAGGTCTACCAGAGCTTGATGGTACTCGTCAGAGCCCGGTGAGAACCCGTTCTCCACCCCTTCCCCTGCTGAGACCTGTTAAGGCCAAGGTCCCCCCGCTGCATCCAGGGCCATCTCCATGTCTGGCCACCGGATCCAGATGGCTCTGGAGGTGAAGGCGAGGCTGGTGACTTTGCACAGCCCTCCCTCACTCAAATCCAATTCGACTGCACATCAAGCATCGCCTCCCTGATGTCATGGTCAACAACCCCACCCTGTCACATTCTTGACCAGTTTCTGAACTCCTTATTTCTCATCTAAAGTTGTCCTGGGACTCTGAGGACCACGCCACCCTACTCGAACCAACGTCCATGCCCTAAGCATCTCTCCCTCGACTCTCTCTGCTCCCCTGGTACTTCCCTCCCCTTCTCCAAGGGCTTCAACAAGAGAAAGCGACCTTTCTGAGGATGGGTGGGACTGCTCCCGTCCACATAGGGGGCTCCATTCTCTCTATTGCCAGCTAGGCGGCTAGCGCTCTAGACCTCGAGGCGGGAAGACCTGAGTTCAAATTTTGCCTCAGGTATTTACTAGCTGTGTAACCATGGCCACGCCCTTTAACCTTTCTCTGTCTCAAGTGACTCATCTGTAAAATGAGATAATCATAGGCCATACTTCAAATTATACATAAAGTGTTTTACAAACCTTGGAATGTTATTATATAAATGTTAGCTATCATTATTATGGTTATTGTTATTATTACGACTGCTGCCTCCTAAGCCCCCTGGACTGGTCTTTCTCCCAGGCGGGCTCTGCTGGAGCAGGCTCTACAGCAGGCTGAGTTCCTGAACAGCTGTGAGGAAGAGGAATCCTGGCTCCGAGAGAGGTTACAGCTAACTCAGGCGGCTTCCTTGGGCTGGGACCTGGGCCACATCACAGCAACTCTGTGGAAATACAAGGTGCTTGCAGTAGCCTCTACCCATGGTCCCCTGCACTTCCTTAATCTCTCCTCTTTCCTCCCCTCTCTTCTTCTCCCACTGTGGACCCTGCCCCTCCTTTCACCTTCTTTTTCTTCCTGCCTCCTTCCCTTCCCAGCACAGTAATCCCTTGTCCCTCATGCCTCTGCCCCTGAAAGGCACGGTGATATAGGGGATAGACTACTAGACCAGGAATCAAGAAGACCTGAGTTCAAAGTCCACCTGAGATACTTACTAGCTGTGTGACCCTGGGCAAGTCACCTAACTAACCTCTTTGTACCTCAGTTTCCTTATCTGTAAAATGGTGGTAATAATAAATAGCAGGTATGAGGATCAAATGGGACAAAGAGAATGTAACCCAGGTCCCAAGGCTCATTGGTACGGAACTCTACCCTTATTGATGGAGATGAAAGCCCTGCCCTGTGTGAGGGGCAGGGCAGAGCTGGTGAGAGGAGAGAGCCTCAGTTCTTGGCCGGTCCTCTTTGGGACTCCTTAAGCTTCAGGATTCTCCAACTGTTGAGTCACTGTGGCCACTTCTGGCTTCCAGCTGCCAGAGAGAAGATGGAAGAGGCCAACCCCACTTCAGGGTGCTGAAGGAAGAGATTCTGGGAGGAAGCCAACGGGAGAAGAGCGGGCAGCCTCCATCATGTCCCTGTTCCCAGCTTGTTACCCACTACATTATGCAAGGAGTTTCTCTCCTTAGGCTGAGCTGTTGTTACCTTGATCCCTGTAGGAAAGCTCCTTTGCTCCATATCATCTGGTATATATTCTCCTATGTTTTTCAGTCATTTCAGTCACTTCAGACTCTCCCTGACCCCATTTAGGGTTTTCTTTGCAAAGATACTGAAATGGTTTGCCATTTTCTTCTCTGGCTCATTTTTATAGAAGAGGAAACTGGGGCAAACAGGATTAAGTGACTTGCCCAGGGTCACACAGCTAGTCAGTGTCTGAAGGCAGATTTGAACTCAGGTCTTCCTGACTCCAGACCCTGTGCTCTATCCACTGTGCCCCCTAGCTGCCCCTATGCCTTCTCTGATTACTAGTTTGCTACAATTTGGATAAATGCTATTTTCTTTGCTATTCCCTGTATTCATTATTTGATGGGAAAGGAGTCAAACCCTGAATATAGAGCTTGGGGTCCTCCTTCCCCCCAATAACGACAGAGTGATCAGAAGTTAGATGAAACCTGATCATATTATCCCTAAACTAACAGTATTTAAGGGAACAGATAGATATAATTCTAGCCCTGGAGCCCCTCTCTCTGAGGAGAGCAGAATGGGGGCTTTCCACTCCCCCTGTGGCAGGAAGAAGAGTGGGGGGAGAAGAGGCTGGAGATATCTATTCTGCCTCCCTTCAAGCCATATGACAGTCTTCCCTATACACATTACAAACCTTAGATTGTTATGTGGATATGAATTGTTATTAGTACTAGTTATTATTAAAATAACAATAATGATAGCCAGCACTTTAAAGTTTGCAAAGTATTTTACATTATCTCATTTGCTCCTCACACCAACCTTGATGTTGGAGCTATCATCACTCCCATTTTACAGATGAGTGGTTAAGTGCTAGATCTTCCAAACATCGTTAGGATCATGGTTAGCAGCAGTACTTTCCCCCTCTTCCACCAGGCCCTCATCTCTTCTCCTTCCTCCCTCCCCCATGACATCATCTGACTTTTCACTTCTGGGTTGTCTCCTCTGCTTGGTCAGGCCCTGGAGACTGAAGTCAGCTCCCACCAAGCGGTGTGCATGGAAATCACCAGGAAGGCTAAGGAGCTGAGCCCCCAGGGCCACCCAGGCCAGCCAGACCCACGGGATCGGGCAGAGGCCATCCATGGTCAATGGCGGCATCTCCGAGACAAGATGGCAAAGCTCCTGGCCCGTCTGCAGGCCGCTCTGCTCATCAAGCAGGTACAAGGCTTTGGAGAAAGGATGGGAAGGAAGGGTGGGAGCCATGCATCTCTCTTTCCCAATTGCTATCCTTGAATCCAAGCTGTCACTAAGAACTCTTGTGCCAGAGGAAATTGTATTGGGCTACGCTGAATAGAGAATAGTCAACCTTAGGTGCAGTCCAGGAGATGGAGCAACCATCCAATAGTGTGGCCAACAGTGCCAGACCTCCCAGTTCCAGGGAGGGAGCACAGAGGTGAGAGAAGGAAGACCTTAGGAAAAAGGTTGCTATGGCAGAACAACCCTGGGGCTGGCATCCTCCTGCAAGGCAAAAGTAGGTGGGCCCCTGGGAAAGAACCATTCCACCATAAGGAAGCACCTCTTCCACCTTGGTGGCCCTGGAGAAAATGTCTTCCTCCACGTTTCGGGTTCCCCCCACCCTAGTATTTTGCAGATGTGGGCGAGGTAGAATCGTGGCTGCAGGAGCAGCAGTCCCTGTTGGCCAGTGAGGACTGCGGGAAGGACGGGGCTGGCGTGGCGGTCCTGCTCCAGCGTCACCAGCGACTGGAGAGAGAAGTGTGGGCCTGTGGGCTGGAGGTGAGACGGCTGGAGGAGAAAGCGCAGACTGCGGCCACCCAGGCCCCACTCATGGTAATCAACCTGGCCCTGGTGAGAGGGGGGAAACAGGATGAGCCGAGGATCAGACCAAAGACTGGACTCCCACTCCCCAGCCCCAGGGAGGACTGGGAAGTGATCCCAGAGCGATGGAGCCGCCTAATGGAATGGAGTGAACTGATTTGAATTTAGAGATTGTCGCTGTTCAGTCATGTCAGTCGTGTCCGACTCTTCCTGACCCCATTTGGGGGTTCCTTGGCAGAGATACGGGAGTGGTTTGCCATTTCCTTCTCTAGCTCATTTTATAGATGAGGCACTGAGGCGAACAGGGTTAAGTGACTTGCCAAGGGTCACACCACTTAGTAAGTGTCTGAGGCCAGATTTGAACTCAGGTCTTCCTAACTCTAGGCCCAGCACTCTATCCACTGTGCCACTTGGCTGTCTCAAGTTAGAGGACCTAGGATCTGCTATTGATTACCTTTGTGAGACTGGGAAAATCACCTCCCCTCTCTGAGCCTCAGTTTCCTTATCTGCAAAATGGTTGGGTTGGACTAGATCATCTCTAAAGTCACTTCTAGTTCTAAATCAATAATCCTTTAGTTCCAGAAACAATTGAAACATGATTCTTTTATTAATCTTCTTCTGACTCAAGGAAGACTCAAGTTCACATTCCACCACAGACACTTATTAGCTGTGTGACCCTGGGCAACTCACCTAACCTCCATCTTCCTTAGTTTCTTAGTTTCACCTCTAAAATGAAGGTAATGAAAACTTCATCTTTCTTACAAATGAAAGCATGCAAACCTTAAAGGCCTATGTGCATGTGAGTTATTAATGGTTATTAATTATTTTCTCATACCTTATAGAGCATTGAATTTGGACTCAAGAAACCTAGGGCTTCCATCCAGCCTTCTCATTAGTAAAATGAGGGCCTTGGACTCAATGACTCCAGCGTCCCTACAAGCTCTAACACGCTGCTCCTATGACCTTCGAACTCACTATTCTTGAAGGTCCACCTTGTTTCCCCTTTGAGGCCTAGACTGAGTCTTCTCCTTTGGGTCAGCAGTTCTCCAAGTGTCATACAGGTTCCTGAGATCCTTTCAGGTGATCCCCCAGGTCAAAGCTATTTTCATAATATTACTAAGATGCTTTGGTCAATCAATAAACATTCATAAAGCACTTATGATGTACCAAACACTGTAGTAAGCACCAGACGAACAAAAGGAGGCAAAAGACAGTCCCTGCCCTCGGAGGAGATCAGATCTCGAAGAAGCTCTTGGGGTGGGCCCTCAGTAATTTTTTTAAGAGTATAAAGGGGTTCTGAGATCAAAAAGTTTGAGAACCACTGCTATCGATTGCTAGGTCTCTGGGAAATAAGGATATTTTGGGGGCAGCTAGGTGGCACAGTGCATAGAGCACCGGCCCTGAGGTCAGGAAAACCTGAGTTTAAATCCGGCCTCAGACCAAACACTTAACACTTAACTAGCTGTGTGACCCTAGGCAAGTCACTTAACCCGAATTACCTAAAAAAATACACACACACACACACACACACACACATATATGTAAAGAAATAAGGATATTTTGGGGGGTCACAAAGGCCACCTTATCTGAATCTTCATGACTATGGACACTCAGGAGCCTCAGTTTCCCAGAATTAAGCTTCCCATCACCAGCACATGCTGGAATACCTGCAGCTCTCTTCCCTTGCTTTCCCTTTTGTCTTGTCTTTGCTTTTAAGATTTTTTTTTTCAGTTGAAACCGGTTCATGTTATTTTCTTTAAGCCCCTTTCTCTGAAACTATAGTTTTGCTCAAAAGCCCCCTTGGGTCTTTACAAACTCTCCTCATACTGTATTATGCCACAGTGGCCCATCTGAGCCTCTTTCAGTGATCACCACAGAAGACCATGACAATGATCACAACCACAACTACTACTATCACCACCACTACTACCACCACCACTACTACTGCCACCACTACTACTACTATTACTACTACTACTACCACCATTACTGCCACCACAACCACCACCACCACCATCACTACTACTACTACTACTACTACTACTACTACTACTACTACAAATAATAATAATGATAACAGTTGACGTTTATATCGTATGAGAGGCAGCATGGTAGAATGAATAGAGAGTTCACCTTGGAGTCAGGAAGACCTGGGTTCAAGTTCTGCCTCTGACACATCCTGACTGTGACTCTAAGCACGTCACTTAACTTCTTAGTGCTCCAGGTAAGTCTCTAAGACAACAGGTTGCAAAGCAGGTGCTGATCTGCATTGGAGGATGTAATTTCCTCACTGAGAGCTCCCTATGCTAAAAAAAAAAAAAACTCTCGCAAATATTGATGTAACATTTTAAGGTTTGCTAAACACTTTATCTCACTTGATCCTCATGACAACCATATGAGGTAGGTGCTACTATTACTCCCATTTTTTTGTTATTACCATTCAGTCATTTTTTTTTAGTCACGTCCAACTCTTTGTGACCCTGTTTGGGGTTTTCTTGGCAAAGATACTGGAGTGGTTTGCCATTTTCTTCTCCAGCTCATTTTACAGATGAGGAAACTGAGGCAAACAGGATTAAGTGACTTGCCTAGGGTCACACAGCTAGAAAGTGTCTGAGGCTGGATTTTGGACTCAGAAAGATGTCTTCCTGACTCAGGCTTGGCACTCTGTGCACGAATGGCACCATGTGCATGGCTTACTTCCCACAAAAAGTTTGTAAGTTCCTTCTGGGTCAGCACTATACTTTATACTGAAAGCCACAACTAGGAATTCCTATACCCAGAGCAAATTTTATTGGGGATAGGAGAAAGACTGACCTCAGTGACAGGCAGCACAGAGGATAGTCTGACCACCGCCCATTCCCTGAGAATTTGGTCCATGACTTCTCATAGATAGCCCTAAGAGACAGGTGGGAAATCAACAGGATCTTACTGGTCTGTTGTCCAGGACCAATGGACCTGCTGGTCCAGGTGCGTTGAGGGTCAGTAGAGAATTTCCAAGCCAGGCAGGAGGAGAAAGCCTAAGCCCCTCCCCATCAGATACCAGTGCCTGGGACCAAAGCCCAATTCTCTCCACTCTGCTTAAGTACTTAATTTATTATCCCCAAAGTGTTCGATGTTTTGCTAGGCACAGAGTAGACACATATAACAGGATCAAAGATTTAGAGCTAAAAACCACCGTTGAGGTTATTTTGTCTAAGCTCCTTTATCTTACAGATGAGGAAACTGAGGCTTAGACAAGTTAACACAGCTCATGTCAGAGGTAGGATTTGAACCTTTGTGACTCCCAGTCCAAGGTTCTATCCACTAGGCCAACTAGCTGCTCTGAGTTTTTTTTTAGGGGGGGCTTTGCCCAATTACTTATAGTCCGTAGCCCCTCACCTCATCCACTTCAGAGCCTCACTTTGTTCAGAATTTCTGTACAACCAATCTTCTGGGTAAGGGATGGAGAGAGAGAGAGAGAGAGAGAGAGAGGAGAGAGAGAGAGAGAGAGAGAGAGAGAGAGAGAGAGAGAGAGAGAGAGAGAGAATATGAATGGGAGGGGAGGGAGGAGAGGAGAAGGGAGGGGAGACTTCTCCACGGCTTTCAGCCCAGGAGGAGTGACAAGAAGCCTATCTGGAGCTCTGATCGGAGCTATCCCCTCCTCCAGGTGGAGAACCAGGAAGACTGGAGTCAGATGGATGGTGATGGAGCTAGGAGGTCCCAGGGCTGGCTACAGAACTCAGCAGCCTCAGCAGTGGCTAGCCATCAGCTCTGGGTCAGGATGCGTTTCACATACAGAGGTACCCAGGGTTGAAGAATGGGGCTCTGAGGGGTACCATGGGCTCCTTCCCCATCTGGTTGGCAAAGTGTGGGTAGAAAAACAGCCTTCCCTTTAACCCCTCTGCCTGACCTTGCCTAAGGCTCACATGTCTCTGCTGCCCCTGGAGCTTGGGGGACAGTGTGTGTGTGTGGGGTACCATTAGACACTTTGGAGACTGGAAAAGTATGATGTCTCCAATGGCCCCAAAGAAGCCCATAACCCATCTCTCACACCATCTAAGGGCAAAAACCTGACTGGGGTGTTTCCCCAGTCCTTAGAAATGCTCATCCCGGGACAGCTAGGTGGCACAGTGGATAGAGCACTGGCCCTGAAGTCAGGAGGACCTGAGTTCAAATTTGGCCTCAATACTTGACACTTAGTAGCTGTATGACCTTGGGCAAGTCACTTATCCCTTATTGCCTCACGCCCCACTCCCCCACCAAAAAAAAAGAAATGCTCATCTCTAACTTCCTTCAAAACTCAAGTCAAGCATGGCCTCCCACGAGAGGCCTGTCATCATCCCCCCCCCCCCCCCCCCCCCCCCCCCCCCCCCCCCGCCAGCTACTATCAATCAATCAACATTGATTAAGTGCCTACTATATGCCAGGCAGTGTGGTAAGGGCTAGGGAGACTCTCCCCCAACTCAATTTATTTTGCATTTTTTGGGTCCATACTTATATGTGTACATGTGGTTTTTCTGGTAGAATGTAAGTTCCCCCTCCCCACGAGGGCAGTGAATGTCTCATTTCTGAATTCATATCCCCATTCCTTAGCACAGTTTGTGGCACATAGTAGGTCCCTAACATATTCTTGTTGTTTGGTTGATTCATATCCACTACTTTCCCTCTACACCAGTTGCCAGGAATAGCCAGAGCACTGAGCAAAGGGAAACTGAGGCAGCTACAAGCTCCCAACCCCTAACTAAGAAAGACTGTAGTGTCCAGGGCAAGGACCACATGCAACACTTGTGCTGCATGTTCTCACTTCAGGACCCAGTACTGTTGGGTACATAGTCAGTGTTCATTAAATACTTATCGATGATTAGATTGACTGAAAAGGGGGCTACTGGCTCTCAGCTTCTCCTCCTCCCTCCACCCCATGCTACACTCAGATCACTCCTCTCTACAGGGGAGAACCTCACCTGGATCCGGGGAGAAATCCTGGAGCTGGTTGCCAAGACGAGTCCTTCCACCTGGAGGCTGAAGGACCTGGAAGGTTGCCAGGCAGAAGTGCCAATAAGCTACGTCACCGAGCTTGAACCTCCCCAGGTACTGCTTCAGAAACCTCATTCTGTGCCCAGATACCCATAATCGAGCCAAGCGACTTCCCTTTTGGGTCATTTCTAGAAATGTTTGTCTCACAGAAGGAGGTTGGGGTTTTTTGTTTGTTTTTGAGATCAGGCCTCCTTGTCTGGCACAGACTAGAAATGTAGGAGCTACTCATGGGCTCATGCCGACTGTTGACGGACACCAGAGCTTTGATGTGTTTCTCTCGTGGCTCTGCCCACACTGGGGAGGCTGAGACTGGAGGATCCCTTGAGCTCAGGATTCTGAGCTACAGCAGGGCAAAAGCCCATTTGGTCAGTCTGCTTTAAGTCTGGCACCAATATGGGTAAGCCCTCAGGAGCCAGGCCATCTGACATGCCAGGGACGTACCAGTCAGCAGTGGAATTAGGTCCATGGGTGACACTGCACTTCTGCTCTGGGCCACAGAAGGAAGCCAAGTCTCAAAAAACAAACAAAAGAACCCAACCCAACCTCATTCTGAGAGACAAAATTCCTGACCTGGCATAAGAGATATTATGAGTATGAGTATTTGACTATGGGTATTTGTTTTCTTTTTTCCTTTTTATTCAGTTGGGAGAGAGGGGTGGGATGGATTGAAGGGGGAAATAAAGGCTTGTTAATTGAAAACAAATTAAATTAACTTTAAAAAAAGACTGGTCTTCTATCTACTATACACATGCACTCACACATGAAACTTCATTATTTTGGGGAAGCTGGTCACTGATCACATTAGCCCTCTGTCATCACAGGTGGCATCACTGATGAACCCCTTATGTGAAAGACCAAAGAACCAGGGAACCAGGCAGATGCCCGCATGGAGATCTGTCTGCTGGGGTACCCAGGAGATCACTAGCCCATTGGAGCTAGATATTCATTTTTACCCTGAAACAATCCACAAGACCCAGGACCACCTGAACCAGGAGTACCAGGGCGTACAGGCCTTGGCACAGGTATTTGATTTATGTCTTTGGAAAGTGCCACCTCTGAAACAGTAGTTCTCAAAACCTGGGTCTCTGAGACACCTTCTGAGTTGCTTCAAGGTCAAAACTGTTCTCATTATAATGCTAAAATATTTTAATTTCTAACATGGTAAGTATCAATAGATATAACCCACATAAACAATCAAAAATCTCTGAAGAACTCAATTTTCAAATGTTATTTTTAATTTATTATTTATTTTAAATATTCTTTTTTAAAATTTTGAGTTCTGAATTCTCTTCCCTCTCCAGACCTTCCCCCACCCATTGAGAAGGAAAGCAATATATCAGTTCTACATATGAAATTATGCAAAACAAATTCCATGTTATCCATGTTGCAAAAAAAAAAATAAAGTGGGAAAATTGTGCTTTAATTTGCACTTAGAGTCCATCAAGAACTCAGTAATTTTTAAGAGACCCTGAGACCAAAAACTTTGAGAACTGCTGGTCCAACAGCTGTGTGAATGGCCCCCCCCCTTCATTCTTCAGCATCTACAACCCTCAGACTATCCAGTTCTGCACAGCAGGAAGCCTGGGGAAGCGTGAAGTTCTGGGAGAGGGGCTGGGTCCTTGAACCATAAGACTCAAGGAGAAGTAGGGCTGAGGACCTGAGAAACAACTGATTCCTCCCATCTGACCTCCACTCAGATGCCTAGAGAGAGCTGGTTGTCAGCTTCTCCATCCTCTCTGCCGGGCGCCTCCACCTTCATCCTGAGGCATCCTGGACCTTTCTGTCTTTAGCATCGCAGGACCCAGCTAGAAGAAATGTCCACCTTGTTCTGCTTCTATGACTCTTGTGGAGAACTCCAGTCCTGGCTAGACGACCAGACAGTGTTGTTCCAGACCCTGAACCCCCAGGCTGAGAACGTGGAGGTCGACAGGAATAAATTTGAGGTATAGCCATGGGCATGCTGGTAAATGTTTAACCACCAGCTTTCAAAAAAAAAAAAAGCTCAGTTCACATTTTCAAATTTAATCTGCATTATCAGCATATTTTCTGACACTTTCTTGAGGTTAGATCAAATCAGGGTCAAATTCAAAGCTTGTGGGCCTTAAGCAGCTAACAAAACTCTAGTGCAGTAGAAACAGATTAAAATGTTATTGAGAAATGTTTAACAAAATAAATAAAAATACAACATAGATAATGTCAATTTGTGGTTTTCTAAGTCACTATGAGGTCTACAGGGATCCCTTTCTGAGTTTGACACTGCTGGTCTAGACAATCAATAAAACCACAAATCCAGCCCTAATTTGTAGCATCTGCCCATTTCTAAGGTGTAAATGCTCAAACTGAAAATTTAACAATCAGCTCTTGGGACTGGCTCAAGTACAGAGGTTTCCTGAGTATTTAAGCCCCCGCTCTTCCACCTCATCATGACTGTCTCCTCTGCCCTCAATCCTCTTCACTTCCAGATTAAGTCATTTACCCAAGGTCATATACACAGGCGGTGGTTCAAATCCCAGCTCTCCCTCTGTCTCTGTCTCTCTCTGTCTTTCTCTGTCACACATACACATACATATACACACAGTGGCAGACCTGGGATTTGAACCCAAGTCCCCTGACTCCAAATTTAGTATTCTTCTCATTGTATTTGAAGTCAGAGGACCTGATTCAAATCCTAGTTTGGCTGCTAGTAAGGCCCTTCATGTCTCCTGACCTCTATTTACTATCTGTAAAATGAGGGGACTGAACTAGCCCCAGGAGGTCAAACTCAAATAGAAACAGATCCCTGTGGGCTGAATATTGGCTTAGAAAACCACAAATGAACATTATCTACATTATATTGTATTGGTTTTTAAACTTATTTTGTTAAATTACATTTTAATCTGTTGGAAGCACTGGAGAACTCTGGGGGCTGTGGGCACTGAGTTTGACACCTCTGGTAGCTACCCTTATATGTACCCTCCCTGATCTAAATCTGTGAATCTCTGATTCCTGCTGTTCTTCACCTCTGGTGCCAACATCCCGAAGGTTCTTGTTGGTGATTTTGTCCTTGAGTAACCACAGATCGGGGGGGGGGGGGGGGGGCTTCTGGTCCATTCCCTTCACTCCTTCAGGGACCCAATTCATGGGCTCTGAAACAATGTCTCTGGCCTCTCCAGGAAGGGGTAGGACTGAAGTGTCAGTGGATAAAGTGCCATGCCTGGAGTCAGGAAGACTCATCTTCCTGAGTTCACATCTAGCCTCAGACACTTACTGGCTGTGTGACTTTATTTGCCTTAATTTCCCCATCTGCATAATGAGCTGGAGAAGGAAATGGCAAACCACTCCAGTATCTCTGCCAAGAAAATGCCAGATAGTGTCACAAAGAGTAGGACATGACTGAAAAATGACTGAAGGACTGAGGTATCACTGTTGTAGTCTAGGGATCTTGGGGACCCTGAAATTCAAGGGCAAAGGGCACAGATCTGCCTCAAAAGAATTCGACCACTCAAGCCTCCTTTCAGTCCATGTAGTTTATTAAAACACTAGTTAGGGTGGGCAAGATTCCTAGTGAGTCTGTGTTAATTGTGATGCCCATACAAGTGGGTCAGATTTTAAGAATCTGAGCAATGTAATGGTGGCAGGATGGACACTTTTATCCCGAAAGACTGTAGGAAGATCTGGATGGGATTAAGGAATGGTGAATAGCCTGGGGTGGGGCCAGGTACAGACAATGAGGGCCACAATGAAAGGTCAGTTTAAAGGATTATTGACTGGGAAGGGCCAGGTATCTCAGGCAAACGCCAGAGATCTGGGTTTAGGGACTGGGTTGTGTGGGAAAGTTTCTGGGACTTTTAGGGGGTTCAGGTGCCATCCCCATTATCACCAAGGAGAAGCAGAATTAGAAGTTCTCTCTATTTTCCTGGGGTTGGAGATGGGGGCTGTAGGGCTAAGGATGAGGAAGAAGAACACATTCAGAACACCCCCTCTGCCCTCACCCATTGCTCTCCCCTCACTCAGAATTTCCTCACTGCTCTGGCTGTGGGGAAAGGACACTTGGCAGAGATCAGCAGTTCAGCAGAAAAACTGAGGCAGAGAATTCCTGATCACACAGCCAAGATCCAGCAGTGGCAACAGGAACTGGGCGGGAGGTAAGACTAGAGTGAAAATTCAAAGTGAGAAGGGGGAAAAAAGTAGGTGTCTTTGATGCTTTGTTTACTTTGATCCCTGGGGTGGGGTAAAAGATCTGGAATAAAACAACAAACCTATGGAACTGTAACTGCTAAGCTTGGCCCTGGGTGAGATGAGAAAATGTATCCTCTTCCTTTTATTGGAGAAGTGGGGGACTATGGGTGTGCAATGTTGCATATACTATCAGATGAGGTCATTGTGTTAGATTAATCTAGGGGTGTAGAACCTGCAGCCTCAAGGCCACATGTGGCCCTCTAGGTCCTCAAGTATGGCCCTTTGACTGAATCCAAACTTCACAGAACAAATCTCCTTAATAAAAGGATTTGTTAATAAAAAGATTTATTTAGCCAATCATTGATTTAGGTCTCTTCTGTCCATCAGAAAAGATTTACTGAACTCTGGGGGGGGTGGGGGGGGAGGGGCAGCACCAGTCTAAGGATTAAGATTTGTTCTGTAAAACTTAGACTCAGTCAAAAGGCCTAGGCACCCAAGGACCTAGAAAGCCACATGTGGACTCAAGGCCATAGGTTCCACACCCCTGGATTAATGGGTCAGTTGGTTTTGCTGAACTTTTTTTTTTTTAATTCATTGTTATGAGGCAATGTTTGCTGGGCAGGGGATGTGGGGAGGGACACATTTGGAAATGAATATGGTATAAAAACAAGGGATATCAATAAAACAGAGAGAAGAGAGAAAAATCAATCAATCAACAAGCTTTTTTCAAGTGCCTCTTATGTGCCAGATGCTGGATTACAAAGACAAAAAATGGAGCCATCTCAAGGCACTTAAGAGAGAAGTTCTAAGACTGAGACAGAATACAGGGGTCCTTGGATAGACCCAGGGTTTGAGGACACCAGTGGTAGGCTAGAGCAAAGGATAGCCCTGTTAGACTTGAGATAGGAAGGTTGGCTTGGTAACCTCTGGGTGAATGGGGCCTGTCCAGGAGGCAGGGGAGGGCAAGATGTCTCAGCCAGGCTGAGTGCTGCTCTCTGTTCTCTGGATAGATGGGAGCAGCTGGAGGCACTGAAGGAGGAGAAGGGATCACATCTGGCAAGCATGGCAGATGTGCACAGCTTCCTGCAGGAGTGTGGACCCACCCAGAACCAGCTTCAGGATATTATGGTGAAGCTAGAATCTATGAGGCCAGTGGACTCCGTGGGCAGCTGTCGACGTTCCCTGCAGTCAACCCAGCATGAGATCTTGGTGCTGGAGCGCAAAATCTGCTACCTCGTCAGTGTGGTGACCAGGTAGGGCCTGGGCCCAGCAGGGTTCTGGAGGAGGCACGAGGACTAGTGGGTGTCTAGAGAAGGAGAGAAAGAGATCAGTGTAGTGGACAGAGGACCAGCGAGAGAGTCAGGAAGGCCTGCCTCTGAGACACACTGTCTCCATAAAACCTCCAAACAAGCCATTCAAACCTTCAGTGCCTCAGGCAACTTGCTAAAACTACAAATTACTGATAAAATTGATTTTAAAAAACTACCAAGTCCAGGCATAAATCCAATGTATAGAAAGGCATCATGGTATAGTGGATAGACTACCATACTTTGAATGAGAAAGACTTGGGGTTCAAATCATGCCTCTGATACATAACCAGCTGTGTGAGCCTGGACAAGCAATTTAACTTCTCAGTGCCCCAGGTAACTCTCTAAAACCCTAGGTTGTGATGAACTAGAGGAAGCCTCCTCACTGGAATCAGAACACCAGTGGAATCACAGGACCAATAAAAAAAATAATAATTAAGAAGACAGAAGTAGAGATGGGGGAGGAGGTGGGGAAAGGGTTGAGGAAGATTGGTGGGGAGTGGAGAGTTGAAAGGTTTATGGGAAATTTTTGCTGCCCCTACCCCAAGCATAATGAGGGATCCTTGGAAGAGACAGAAACATTTTCTTTTTGAGTAGACTCATCACCATAGGCTTAACCAGAAAGGATTTGGGGATGGTGGTGCCAGTGTGTGTTGGGGTGGTGGTAGAGTGGGGAACAGCTTTACCCAGCGGAAGGTGGGGAGGGTGTTGATACAGAGTTCCTGAGATATTTCCAGTCCTTCCAAGGCAACCAGGATACCCTATGCCCGCAGGATTGAAGAGACAAGTCCTATGGAGAGCCCAATACTGCGGGAACGAGTAGAGACCCTACAGGCCCTGCTAAAGCAAGTGCAGGAGCGAGCTGCCCAGATGGCTCAGGCCCAGGCCCAGGCCCAGGCAGGGCACAGCTTCCTGAGGGAGAGTCGGCAGCTGCTGCTATGGGCAGAGGGCATGAAGTCCCAGCTAGATGGCAAGGAGATGGGAGTGGACGTGGCCTCGGCCAAGCACCTTCTGGAGGAGCACAGAGGCCTGCTGGAAGAGATCCATGTCCAGCAAGAGAGGTAGGGGTAGCCTAGGGAGGGGGAGGATGGAGGTGGGGAGCACAGGGAGCCATGTTTCTGAGGAGGCTCAATATGAGACCCCTCAAAGCAAAGTACATAGGGTCTGCTCTGGGCCTCCTGAGAGGTCTAAGGCACTCTGGTCTGCAGCAGCACAGCCCAAGGACTTAGGGCAAAGTGGAACAATCCCATGGTAATCCCTCAGCTCTCCAAAGTCATCCTATGTCCCAAATTCTACCTCCAGGAGTTAAATGGACCGTCCCATTGGCCTAGTGTATCCACCACTATAAATATAACAAAGCCTGAATATGCTTTAATTTGTTTTAGTGGTAGCATGGCAGATGGGATGTACCCAGAGTCACTAAGGCCTGTGTTCAAATCCCACCTCTGACCCTTGCTGGCTGTGTGATGACAGGTAGGTAGACAGACAGACAGACAAAGGGTGAGTAGATAGACAGATAGAAGAAGAGTAAACAGACAGATAGTAGATAGACAAATAGTAGATAGACAAACAGATAGTAGGCATACAGATAGACAAAGGGAGGGTACTGGAAGTCAAGAAGAAAGAGGATTTGGGAGATAAAGTCCAAGCAATGAGTGAGGTGAATCATAGCTAGGGTCTTTCCTAAAGTTTAGGTGGTTCTCGGAGGAGAGTTACTACTCAAAAGAGCAGGGAAATGGTAGCCAGTAAACCATGCATAAGCACCAAGGAGCTGGATATTGACTTAGAAAACCCCATTTTAAAATTGTCTGTGCTCCATTGTATTTTTATTTATTTTGTAAATATTTCCCAATTGCATTTTAATCTGGTTCTGTCTGCATTGGTCTGTGGGCCACGAGTTCGACACCTCTGCATTAGAATATTAATATAGATAAGACACGTGAGGATATCCTGAATTCTTCCTTCCTGGTGGAGGGTAACAAGATATTTCCAGTATCAAAGATATGAGAATTAATTAGATTGGGGAGCAGGGGAGAAGAAGAGGAGCTGATTAGGGCTCTACCTGTTATTGCTTCCCCTGGACAGGATGAGACAGCTGGAGGCTCAAGGCCAGCAGCTAGCCAGCTTGGAAGCCCAGGATTCCCAAGCGGTGGCCAATGCACTGAAGCAGCTGGGTCAGCAGGCCCGTGGAGTGGACGCGGCATGGGAGCGGTGCCATCGGCGGCTGCAGCAGGGGCTGGAGCTACAGATGTTTGTTCGGGAAGCCGACGGCTTCAGTGCTACCTGTGCCAACCATGAAGCATTCCTTCGACTGGACAGCCTTGGGGTACACAGTTGAGCCTGGGGCAAACCACTTTGGGATATGGAGCTGGGGGTGCTGGGGGACTGATTCTGAGAACTGCGGGATCAGGATAATTGTTCACATGTGTGATTTGAAGGTACCATGACATAGCAAATGGTGAACTGGCCTCATGAACTGGGTTCATGCTGCCTCTGACTCATGCTGGTTGTGTGACCCTAGGCAAGTTAATTAACTTCTCAGTGCTCTAGACAATTCTCTAAGACTATGTGTTGCAGAAAAGATGATTGCTGGCATTGGGAGAAGAACTTTTTTCCTCTGGGAGTTCATTTATGCCAGTGAAATCATAGGTCCAGTACTGATCCCCTATCTGTTTATGATTTTCAAAATTCTCTAAGGGGCAGTTAGGTGGCATAGTGGTAGATAGAGCATCAGCCTTGGAGTCAGGAGGGCCTGAGTTCAAATTTGACCTTAGACACTTACTAGCTGTGTGACCCTTGACAAGTCACTTAACCCCAATTGCCTCAAAAAATGTTCTAGATAACATTATCTCATTTCATTCTCACAACAACCCCGCAAGGAAAGCAGCATGAGAAGTTATCAGTCTCATTTTACAGATGAGAAAACTGAGTCCCAAAGAAGTTAAGTGACTTTGTCCAGGGTCACACACTAAAGAATGGCAGAGCAGGGGCTCGAACCCAAGTTCTAGGTCTGAAACTGCAGCATCAGGCTTCAGGGGAAAAAAAAAGAGATTCCTTGTGTTTGTCGCTTAGAGGGGTGGAGAGTAGAATTGGTGGACAATGTCTCCCTTCCTGGGACGTGGAAGTAGCACTATGTCTGTGTCCCCAGGAGGATGTAGGAGATGTGCAGAATTTGTTGCAACGACACCGGGAATTTGACCATCTGCTAGAGACACTGGGTCCACGCGCGGAGAGCCTGAGGTCCCACGGGGAGAGGCTGACAGAGAGCCAACATTTTGCTACCCACATGTAAGTTTGGAGTCTGGACCTTCAGGGTCAGGGTATATGTCTTCCTCGCCTTCTCTGCCATCTTGCCTGGGGTGTCTTGGTGAAGGTAGGAGGAGCTCAAACCAGGGGAGAGAAAGGGGCCAGAGCGACAATCAGGATTTCAATTAACAAGCATTTACTAGGCAACTGCTAGTATGTGTGGTATGGGGCAGCTAGGTGGCACAGTGGATAAAGCTTGGGGTCTGGAGTCAGGAAGACCTGAATTCAAATCTGGCACACACTAGCTGTGTGACCCTGGGCAGGTCACTTAACCCTGTTTGCCTCAGTTTCCTCATCTGCAAAATGAGGTGGAAAAGGAAATGGTAGGATCTTTGCTAAGAAAACCCCAAATGGGGTCACGGAGAGACAGACACAAGTAATCTCCTAAACAACAGCAACAACATTGGGGTGTGTTTGAGTTCTGATTTCTGGGTGAGGACAGGAGCAGAATATAGCAATCACCCAGAATTCCCCATTCTCAGGATCAGAGAAAGGATAGCAAATAGCCAGGATCGATGGACCAAACTCCAAGAGATGAGTAAACAAAGGAAGAAGCAGCTGCTGACTTCCCTCCAGTTACAGGTAAGCGTGGGACCCTTGGCATGGCGTTGGAGAGCCATATTTCATTATTGGGGGGCATCTCTGAAGATTAACCATAGAGGTGATCCTAGGGCAGATGGAACAGAGTCATGGAGGATCTCAGAATACAAAAGCCATATAATTCAACCCATACCTGAACACAAATCCACATCCCTGACAAGGGGGCATCCAGCCTCTGCCTGCAGTGAGGGGAAAAACAGCCCATTCCACTTTGGGATAACCCTTAGCTGTGTGACCTTGGACAAGTCATTTACCCAAGGACTATTAGCCCAAGCTACCAGAAAATCGCAGGTTTCCATTTGTCTTATCAAAGGAGGCACAGTTTGCAGAATAAACTCAAAACATTGGACATACTGGAGTTCAAACAGCTCACTCCTACTGAGCACCAGTCTAATGGGGATTCATGTTATCCATGCTTGCAGTAATGAACTTCCCACTTTTATCCCCTGTGGAGATGGAGAGGTTGGCAGAAGATTTTGTGGATCTGGTTTTCAGTAAAAAAAAAAAATTCCTACTATTGAGCTGCTATGTTCTCTGAATCTTCCACTCATTCCCTGTTCCTTAGCTCTGCTCTCTTCCACGAGGCAGCCCTTCAAATAGTCAAATCAAATTTAAAACATTTATTAAGTATCTATTATGTGTCAGACGCTGTACTAAGCACTAGGAATACAAAGAAAGACAAAAATAGTCCCTGCCCTCCAAGAGTTCATATTCGAATGGTGGAAACAACATACAAGCAACTATGTACATACGAAATGTATTCAGGGTAAATTGGATGTATTCTCAGAGGAAAGGTGCCAGTATGGAGGACAATCAAAGACCTGCAGGAGGTAGGATTTTAGCTGAGACTTGGAGGAAGCCAGGAGTTGAAGACAAAAGGGAGAGCATGGAAGATGGCCATCGAAAAGGCAGGGAGTCAAGAAATGGAGTCAATTGTTAAAGGAACATCGAGAACGCCAGTGTCACTGGATTGTAGACTATGTCATAGGGAGTGACCTGTAAGACTGGAAAAGTAGGAAGGGGCCGGCTTATGAAGAGCTTTAGAAACCAAACAGAGAATTTCATATTTGATCCTGGAGGTAATAGGGGACCATTGGAGTTTATTGAGGAGGAGGGCGACAGAGTCAGATGTGAGCTTTAGGAAAATCACTTTGGCAGCTGAATGGAGGATAGACTGGAGTGAGAAGAGGCCAGTCAGGCAGGCCAGTAGTCCTATCATGCTACCATCACCCCTAAATAGTCTCTTCTCCAGGAGAAGCATCTCCACTTCCTTCAGCCTAGCCTCACGTGGCGTGATCTCCAGTCCTCTCACCACCTTGGTTGCCCTCTAAGACTTCCAGCTTGTCAATACCTTTCCTAAAGTGTGACATCCAGAGCTGACCACAACACTCCAGATATGCTCTAACAACACTCATTCTGGAGGCTGTGTTTCTCCATGTAGCCAAAGATCACCTCAGCCTTTCTGCACGTGTGTCCATGCTGACTCATACTGCGCCTGCTATCTACTAAGCCACTTCTCACAAGAAATCCTGTCTAGCTAGGTCTCATCTTTTTTTTTTTTTTAAACTCATGAAGTCAATTTTCTGGGCCCAAGTATAAGAACAGAGACGCACAGGTCCACAGTTGGAAGGGAACTCAAAGGTCTCCCAATCTTAAGTACAGCCCTAATAGATTCTGGGCAGGACAACAGGCTTCTAGGTAGATGCCTAGTGAATCACCTACAGCTTGAGGGCCTATTGTTTGTCCCACCCGACCCTTCCCAATCCCTACCCCCAGTTTGGTCAAGGTGGTGGCTGTTGTGGTTTCTTTTCCTCTTCCTCCCCTCCCCCTCATCCCCCTCTTCCTCCTCCCCCCTTCCTCCCCCTTCCCCTCCTCCTTCTTCTCCTTCCCCTCCTCCTCCTCCCTCTTCCTCTTTTCTCAAAGAGGACCAATGACTTCACAAGGGCGTTGTCTTGCCTTGCAAGTGATTTGGGTTTAAGCGAGGCAGCGCTGCACAAAGTCATCAGCCTCACTTTCTCCAAGATATGCTCAAACTCAAGTATCAAAGAGCTACCTTACTCCTGGAGGTAGCCAGATGGTGCAGTAGATAGAGTGCAGGGCCTGGAGTCAGGAAGACTCATCTTCCTGGGTTCAAATATGCCTCGGAAACTTATTTAGCTGTGTGACCCTGGGCAAATAACTTAAACCCATTTGCCTCAGTTTCCTCATCTGTAAAATGACCCAGAGAAGGAAATGGCAAACCACTCCAGTATCTTTGCCAAGGAACCCCCAAATGGGGTCACAGAGAGTCAAATGGAACTGAACAGCAACCACCTTCCTTCCCATAACGGGTCCCCCCCCATGCCTCTTTCCCACCTACCACGATGTCTCTGCCCTCAAGGAACATAGGAGCCAACTGGAGAGATAAGACACATGGAAAATAATCAAGAAGAACATCACTGACCTCAGTTATACCTTTTGCCATAGGAGCTTAGAGAAAACTCCTATGTGTGGGTAGGAATACTGAGGTAAATAGTAATGGGATTCTCCTTATCTTAGAGACCTTAATAGGTGCTTTAAGGCCCAGCCCAAGGCAGTGGCCCTGCCTTTCCTCCCTTCTTCCCTTTCCTGTTTGTGGTATAGTGGACAAATGGTAGATTTGGCCCTACTATAAACTACTTTTGTGGCCTTAAGCAAGTTTTTTAACCTCATCTGTAAAATGAGGGAGTTGTATTACGTGGAATCTAGGGTCCCTTGCATTTCTAAATGCATAATGCTATGAGCTCTCATTCTGTCTGCTTCTGCTCTCCAGGGCGGAATAAGCACATCAGAGTTATTGGGACTGGGGCCTGTTCCCTCTCCCCAACCTCTGCATGTGCAGAATAATCCCTTAGGCCTTTCCCTTACCCACAGACCTTCCCCCAACACACTTTCCTTGGACGTCCCCAGCCTACCTGCCCTAACTTCTGGGGCCATGAGACTCATAGCTTCCCTGGTGGTTCTCCTGGGCAGGAATGGAGCCAGGATGTGGCCGAGATGATGCTGTGGATGGAGGAGAAATATTTGATCGCTGCAGATGAATCATACCGAGAGCCTGGCATTGTTCTCCGCAAACTCAAAAGACATGAGGCGGCTGAGAGTGAGGTCCTGGCAAACCAGCCAAGGGTTGAGCAGCTACGGCAGGTGGGAGATCAGGAAACTGAGTGAAGTCTCCCTGAGGGGGCTGAGCCATTGCTAACTTGTTTTCAATAACTCAAATGAAATCTCAGTGGAAGCCCCCAAGACACACACCCAGTGATTGACCCACATCTCCCCAGGGGAGCCTCAGGAGCTCTGAAATTGGCAAAATGCCAACCCCCCCCCCAACTCCCACCTTGATCTCCTTTAGCCATCAATCTACCCCCTGGCCTCTGGGTAGGACTTGAAGGAGCTCATAAAGGTAACTGTCATCTCTTTCCTTAAAAAATATTAACAACATCCCTAACTGATGTGCTCCAAATCCCTAATCACACAGACCTGAAATGCACTCTGATGTCTAACGTAACACTTGCTACAGCAGTCCTGGGGAGGCCGTGTGGCTTAGGTGAAAACATGCTGGAGACTTGTGTTCAAATCCTGCCTCTGATATTTAATTAACCACATGACCTGGGCAGGCAACTCAGAGCCTCAGTTCCTTCATCTATGAAATGGGGATAATAATACTTATTATTAGTATTATCTACCTCATAGAGTTGCTATGAGGAAAACATTTGAGAAACTTTAAAGGGCTATATAAATGTGAGTTATTATAGCCACCATCCTTAACTTTGTCTGGACTTCCCACTCTATCCCACAGCTTCAGAGGGTAGCTGCCCCAGTCCATGGAATGAGCTAAATTGCAGCAAGCCCAGATCCATAGGTCTTCCCCAGCCTTTCCATCCTAAAAAATTTCCACCTATGGGGCAGCTAGGTGGTGCAGTGGATAGAGCACTGGCCTTGGATTCAGGAAGACCTGAGTTTAAATCCGGCCTCAGACACATAACGCTTACTAGCTGTGTGACCCTGGGCAAGTCACTTAACCTCATTGCCTAGCCAAAAAAAAAAAATTCCACCTATCCTTGGGTGCTGGCCCCATCCAATCCTAAGGGTTTCCAGTGCCTGGCCCACTGAGGGTCAAACTAGCTACCCCAGCTCAAGAATAACCACCACCCCCTCCCACCTATCTGGGTCTTTTGCCTCTACTGCAGCTTGGAAACAAGCTTCTAGATACCAAGCATGATGCCCTGGTTGACATTCAAGCAAAGCTACGGACCCTGGAGAAAAAATGGGAGGAGCTGAATCACAAAATGGCAGAACATGGAGATAAGCTGCGACAGGCAGGACAACAGGAGCAGCTCATGGAGCTGCTGCAGGTCAGCCGCAGCTGGGAGGGCAGGGAGTCAGAGAAAATAAGAAGCAGGAGAGGGGTGAGAGGGGCTACTCAGGAAAGGAGCAGTCTATAGTAGAATGGGTGTGGACAATCCGAGCAAGTGCAATGTTTATTGAGCGCTTCAGTGCATCACACTGTGCTCAGCTCTAATTAGCTCAGTACCAGCCGAACATTCAACCCTTTGCCAGGTAAGAACCAATTGAATTCAGCCAGGATCACTCCATCCATTCCTTGCATTCGTCTGTCCTGATGAGGTACCTCTCACCTGCCCGTAGGAAGCCAAAGATAAAATGGAGCAGATGGAATGGGGGCTGCAGAGCGCAGAGACTGGTGAAGACCTCCGCTCCAGCCGAGAGCTACAAATGAAGCACAAGAGATTGGAAAGTGAGAGCCAAGAGCTGGCAGATAAGATGAGCACCATTGTTACCCGGGCCCGAAGTGTTGCCACCAATCACTTTGACTCCCAGACCATCCTGGATGAGACACAGAAATATCTCCAAAGGTGGGCTTCCTGCCGGCTTTCCTCCTTCTCCCTGCTCCCCCATACGCCTGTTCTCTACCGCATAGAATCCTAGAATTAGAGGCAGCCAGGTGGGACGGTGGATAGACTGTTGTACCTGGAGTCACAAAGACCTGAGTCTAAACCCTGCCTCAGACACTTAGTAGCTGTGTGATACTAAGCGAGTCTCTTGCAGCCTTTCTTTCCTCATCTGTAAAATGGGAATAATAATAGTGCCTGCCTCCCAAGGTTGTTGTGAGGTTCAAATGAGATATTTGCAAAGTGCTGTGCAAACCTTAATGTGCTGTGTCAATGTGGGCTATTCTCATTAGAGCTAGAGGTCACTGAATACAATCCCCTCATACGTAAGGAAACCGAGGCTGAGAGACTCCCAAGGTCATATAGCTGGTCAATGTCTCAGGTAGAATTTGAACTCGGGTTCCTGGCTCCAAGTCAAGCACTGTATTCCCCACACTGCACAGGTAACTTCTGAGTTGTGCTCTTCCTAGAAAGGGCAGGAAGGTGTCACCAGCTCATACCTGAGTTTATCCAAAATTCTTTTTCTTGTTGGCTGTTAGCCTGGAAGCTCACTCTTTCAGGATGGAAGCCATTTGGGATCCAATTTGGGGGAACTGGGAGGGATAAACCCAGTTAGTGCTCTCAGGCCATGGTTTAGCACTGGAACGGACCCTAGCAGCCACTGAGTCTAACCCCTTCATTTTATTCATAGACAAACTGACACCCAGAGTAATCAAATGACTTGGCTGGGGCTATATAACTAGTTAAGTGTCTGAGGTGACATTCGAACCAAGGTCTTCCTGACTGCAAGTCCAGTACCCTACCTACTAAGCCAATAACTCCTATTTCTACAGCATATCAAGATTTACAACATGCTTTCTTCAAAACAGCCCTGCGAAGTAGGTAATGTAAGCATTATCACCCCTATTTTCCATATAAGGAAACTGAGGCACAGAAAGGTTAAGGGACTTTCCTAGGGTCACACAGCTAAGTGGGATTTGAACCTAGGTCTTCCTGACTCCAAGTTCAGTCCCCTATCCACTATGCCATCCTGGGGTGGGTGGTACAATGGTTAGCATGGTCAGACCTGGAGTCAGGAAGAACTGAGTTCAAGACTCATCTCAGACACTAGCTATGTGACCTTGAGCAAGTCACTTAACCTCTATTTTCCTCAGTTGCCTTATCTGTAAAACTACAGCACTTACCTCCATGGTTGTTGAGAAGATCAAATGAGCTGACAATTGTAAAGTGCTTAGCACAGTACCTGGTTCATAATAAGCCCTCTATAAATGTTAACTATCATCGTTGCCATTATTATTACTCTATGAATCAAGACTCGGCAGAAGCAGCCCAAAGCATGCCAACTACTGATTCATGGTGCCCAGCACCATCTTTGATCTTCATTCTTGACCTTGCCAGGGGGAGGAAAGGACTGTCCATTCCCCTGTTCCCTCTCTCCTCCCTTAACCCAGGTTTCAGGCTCTTCAGGGGCCGCTGGCAGCACGCGGGCAGCAGCTGCAGGCTTCGGTGGAGCTTCATCAATTCTACCACCTGCAAGGTCTGGAAATCAGCTGGGTGAAGGAGCGCATGCCCGGTGCCAGCTCTGCCACCTGCGGCAGGTCCCTGGATGCAGCCCAGAGGCTTCTGTACAAGCACAAGGTGACTCTGACCCTGCTCCATCCCTCCTCGGTCCTTTGAACCCCAGCCACTTCACTCCCCACACCCCGGCAACCCTCTGCTCCCAGACCCCTGATTCTCTAAGCTCTCCAGAGACCTACCCTGGTGGTTGGATCCTTCCAGCATCCCCACTTCCAGCTGCTCTGATGTCAAGATTCTTGGTGGGATGGTTGCTTCCAACCCCAATGTGAACGAGGCCAGCTAGGTAGTACAGGGCGGGAGATAGCTCGGGGCTTATAGTCAGAAAGACCTGAGTTCAAATTCTGCCTGAGACACAGACTAGCCGTGTGACCCTGGGCAAGTTATTTACTCTCTCTGTGCCTCGGTTATCTCACCTGTAAAATGGGGATAATAATAATGGCACCTACTTCCCAGGGTTTCTGTGATGATTAAATGAATTAACATATGGAAAGCACTTCACAGACCTTAAAGATCACTGCAAATGCTGGTTGTTTATTATTATTATGATGATTATTATAAAGACTAATTAATTATTAATAGTAATTGCCATCCTCATCCTGGGTTCTGGACACTCTTGAGCACAAGGTTTAGCCCCAGAGGGTCCTCATTTTCCCCTTAAGCTCATGTTTGATTCTGTCCCAAGGAGCTTCAGGCAGAGGTGAAGGCTCACCAGGTCCAAATGCAGAAGGTGCTGGGATCTGGGCAGAGCATGGCAGCCTGCGGGCACCCTTCTGCACAGGACATCACGGAACGGTGCCAGAAGCTGGAGAGTTGCTGGCTAGAGCTAAACGAGGCCTGCGAGGGGCGGGCCAGGCGGCTACAGCGCTCTATTGCCTTCCATCAGGTATGAAACAAGGAATGGGGGGGGGGAGCAGGTCACTCAAAGGTCCAGGAACAGATCCCAAGAGTGGAGGCATCACAGGCTTTGGAAAGGGTCAAGTGACTCGTCGTGGCTTGTGCAATGGCAAGGAAGTGTCAGAGCTAAGTCTGTCTGACTCCAAGCCTGGCACTCTATTCACTCTCCCACACTTCCCTTCAATAATTATATAAGCAATAATAATAACAGTGAAGATGGGTCAACGTGCTTTTGCTGTCCTTTCGTTCTTGGGGGAAGCGGTGGTATGTGGAGCGAGTCTGTAGGACTGGTAGAGGTCAGGCTTGCCTTTAGTAAGGTGTCCCATGGTGTGGAAGTTCATTATTGTTCAGTCATTTTTCATGTCCCACTCTTTGTGGCCCCATTTGGGGTTTTCTTGGCAAAGATACTGGAGTACTCTGCCATTTCCTTCCCTGGCTCATTTATACAGATGAGGAAACTGAGGCAAACAGGGTTAAGTGACTGGCACAGGGTCACACAGCTAATAAGTGTCTGAGGTTGTATTTGAACTCACAAAGATGAGTCTTCCTGATTCCAAACCCAGTGCTCTATCCATTGTGCTGCTCAACTTCCCTTATGTATTAGCCATGTGACCCTGGGCAAGGCACTTAATCTCTCTGTGTCTTAGTCTCTTCATTTTCAAAATTGGGGAGAGGAGATGGAGGATCTCTACCCCATAATGGCCTCTGAGGTTCCTTCTAACTCTAAATCCAAGATTCCATGGCTCCTGAGAAGGTGGGAACAAGAACCAGGTTCATAAAGGTTGGCACAGGAATGTAAAAATCATGAGCATCAGGGAGCAGATGCCACTTGTAAGCATCCTGGTGGTGGTAGACACAAGAGGGAGTGGTGAAGCAGCATTCTAGGACCAAAGCAAGATGGCGCCTTGGGAGTACCCTAGCTGACCACATCTCTCCTGGCAGTACTTGCTCGACGTATCAGACTTGGAAGGCTGGTTGGGCGAGAAGCGGCCGTTAGTGAACAGTCAAGACTATGGCAAGGACCAGTTGGCCACCATCACCCTCATCAAGAAACATAAGGTACTTTCCCCCACAAAGCTTGCTAAGTACAATCCCAGACTGCTTCATGGGGTGCGATGAGGGTAAGAGAACAGGGAATTTTGTGCTCTGACTTTTAAAATCACGTCACAATAATTCTCCCAGAAGAAGCAGATCCCTAGAATCTCCCATATGGGTACTCAGTAAATGATTGCTGAATGAATGAAAGAGTGATTTTCCTACTCATCCCTTCCTAAGTATCCAACCCTGTACTAACACAGGCTCTTACATCCAACCCATGTCTACAGGTCCTAGAACAGGAGCTAGCCCTCTATGGGAGCTTTGTAGCCGAACTCGTCCAGACGGCACAAACCCTCACGAGCCCCGGGTCCCCTAATGAGATCCCCGTGCCTCCTGGAAGGCTACAAAACCAGCTTCAGGAGCTGAAGGAACTGGCAACCACAAGGTGAGAGCCCCAGACCACAGATGCTCTGCAACCTTCTTCCCCTAGCCGGGCAAAGTGGAGCCTGCTTGGGGCCAGGCCATTCCTCTAGCAGTAATAACAATAACAGCTAACATTTACGCAGTACTTACTATGTGACAGGCGCCATGGGCTCTCCAATTATGATCTCATTTGATCCTCACAACAACCCTGGAAGGCAGGCACTATTCTTATTCCCATTTTACAGATGAAGAAGCTGAGACAGACAGAGGCTAAGTGACTTGCCCAGGGTCACACAGTTAGTAAGAATTTGAGGCTGGATTTGAATTCAGGTTTTCCTGATGCCAGGCCCGGCACCCACTGCACCACTTAGTAATACCACCTTGAACCGTGGTCCCCTCCAGATATGTTGGGAAAGAGATAGGTCCCTAAAAGAAAGTCTTTTACTCTTTTTAGGAAAAAAAAAATGCTCTTTTCCTCTTCCACTGAGGGGAGGTACTGCCCAAGCAGGGACCTATGATCACCTTCTTTGCTCCTATCCCCACTCCCAGTTATCCTCTTATTCCCCCACCTGTAGGGGGAGCCATTGTGGTACACCAGCTTCAGAGTCAGAGGGCCTGGGTTCAAATCCTTCCTCCACCACTTACAAGGTGTGTGATTTTGGACAAGTCACTTGACTTGTCTGAGCCACAGTTTTCTCATACATAAAATGAGGAGGTTGGACTAAATGAAGATGACGTTTGGTGGTCCAGTAGATACAGTGCTGGATTTGGTGTTAGGAAGACCTGAGTTCAAGTCCCACTTTGTTCATTAATTTAGCTGTGTGACCCTGGGCAAGTCACTCAACGTGCCTCGTTTCCTCATCTGTAAAATGGGGATAAGAATAGCCATTACCTCACAGAGTTGTTGTGAGAACCAAATGACTTTATATATGTATACATATATATGTATATATGTATACATATATATAAAATATGAGAGAACACATGTAAAGTATTGCAAACTTCAAAATATTACATATATATGTGTGTGTGTATACACACACACACACACACACACACACACACTAGCCCTGGAGTCAAGAGGACCTGAATTCAGATCTGGCTGCAGACACTTACTAGCTGTGTGACCCTGGGCAAGTCACTTAACCCCAATTGCCTCCTCCCCCTAAATAATTATATAAATACTAGCTATTGTTACGATTGTTGCTAAATCTATTATGCTGTGATATACAATTCATCTGCACTCATACACACACACACACACACACACACACACACACACACACACACACACACACGCACACAGTTTCCTCCTATGTGCCCATGTCTCATCCAGCCATTTAGTTATCACCCTCCCCGGCTAAGGCCAGTTGGCCACTGCAGGGCTGACCTCTGATGGGCCGGGGGTGGGGGGGTAACCACAGAGGCCATCGGCTGGAGGAGGAGCTGAGGCTGCACGAGTTCATCCAGGAGGCTGAGGAGCTACAGGGCTGGCTGGCCAGGCAGAAACAGGTGGCCAGTGGTGAGGACGACCCAGGAGAAGACTACACACGTGTGCTGGTGAGGGAAAAGGGGCATGCCCAAGGTTGGGTGATGACAAGGGAAGGGAAACCCCTTGGAGAGTGTGAGAGCAGTCATGTCCCGGAAGGCTAGTGGTCCCCAGCTCTGCTTTGTGGAGAAAGACTGGACGTGTCCTTTATGGAGAGATTGGAGCCCAGTAATCAGGGCAGAGAAAGGAGAGGAAGTAAGACAGCTTTGGGGGAGCCCCATCCCCTGGCCAGACTTCCCGTAGGCCCCTGCTCTCTAGTCTTTGGTCTCCTACCCTCTGGCACCCCCAAGTTCTTGGCCTCCCACTTAAGTGTACTCATCTAAGGATCCTGAGGGGTTGTATGGGCTATGCCGACTTCCCAGTCTGGGGCCTGAGGATGCATTTAAGGAGGACAGTGTGGCACAGTGGTATGCACAAATAGCATGGTCTATTTCCTCATTTGTAGAATGAAGGGGTTGGACTTAGTGTCCTTTAAGATGCCTCCCAGCTCTAAATCACTGACCCCATGAACGGAAGGTGACCTCTCTCCACCTGTCCTTCCCACCTCAGCACCTCCGGGCCAAGTATGAGCTGTTTCAGCACCAGGTGGAGACAGGTGGAAGGCAAGTGGCATCCTGCCAACAGCTAGCAGAGACCCTGCTGGAGGGCCGGCACAGTGCCACCCCAGAGATCCGCCAGAGGCAGCAGGAACTACAGTGAGTAGCCAGCTGGCCAAGACTGAGAAATGGGCAGCCCTGCAGGCACTGGGCGGGGGCAGTCCTTACAGCTGGTGAGAGAGTAGGCCCAGAGCGTTGGCAATGCTCAGAGCACCAGCCGTCATCTCTAGCTACCCAACAGGCTGGGGAGAAGAGAGGCACCATGAGGTTATCCTGCCTGGGCTGAAGGCTGTCACCCACAGGGTCGGTGTTATAGCTAGTGTGGCGGGGAGCTTAGGAGCCTCAGGATTCTGAGGTACGGTCTGGAGAAAGAAAGCAGGTCTGCTTTATACCGTACACACACTTTGCTGTTGTCCAGGATTCAGCCATGTCCTACTTTGTGTGACCCCCATATGGCAATGGTACTGGAGTGGTTTGCCATTTCCTTCTCCACTGAGTGTAACTCTATGCTAGAGGCAATGGAAAGTGATCAAAGAAATTGGCATAGTGGAAAGTGATGCTGGAATCGGGGGAGCCAGGTTCAGATCCTGACTCTGATGATTGCTAGCTGGGTAGAGTTGACTAAGCATCCTGGGCCTCAGTTTCCTTATCTGTAAAATGGCATGCTTGGACTAGATGCCATGGCCTCTGGGGTCCCTTCCAGCTGTGGAGCTATGATCTGATTTTTCAAAATAGAAGGTATGACCTCAAAAAAGTTTACAATCTAATTGGCAGACTGTGAAAAACACATAAAAAAAGATCTAATCAAGCGTATTCAGGGCAACCATAGGAATGCTTTCATAGTACACTACTGCCAAGTATGTTGAGACAGTGCAAAGGGTGCTTGATTGGGAGTCCTGAAACCTAGGTTCATATGCTGTGTGACCATGGGCAAATCACTTAACCTCTCTGGGCTTCAGCTTCCTCATCTGGAAAATGACAGGTTTGGACCAGATGATGCCTACATTTCCTTTCAGCTCTAAATTACGTGCTCCTATGAACTCAAGAGACAGTAGCCATCATGGAAAGCTTGGAGCAAAGGAGAAGGGAGAAGAGAGGAGAGGAGGGCAATGGGATGAGGAGCCGTGATGATGGAAGATCTCGGGCTGGAAATGCCCTCAGAGGCTCATTAGCCCAACCCCTTCATTTTTGTTTTCATTTAGTTGCTTTTCAGTCCTGTATGACTCTTCATGACCCCGTTTAGGAGTTTTCTTTGCAAAGATGCTGGAGTTGTTTGCCATTTCTTTCTCCAGCTTATTTTGCAGATGAGGAAACTAAGGCAAACGGGCTAAGTGACTTACCCAGGGTCACACAGTTAGTAAGTGTCTGAGGCTAGATTTGAACTCAGGTCTTCCTGATTCCAGGCTCAGCACTATCTGCTTACACCACCTAGCTGCCCTTCATTTTACAGATGAGCAAACTGAGATTAAGGTCACCTAGCTAGGATTTGAATCCAGGTGTCCCGTCTGTAGGACCAGCATAAGGGTTTGGGGTGAGTTTTGATGAGGCTCAGAAAGAAGGCAGTCTGGATTAGATGAAGGTCCAAGATGGGCATCAGTGAGTCATAAGGATGATGACCCAACCCTTGTGTCTAGGTGCGCCTGGGCAGAGCTGTGGGGGCTGATCCAAGCACAGGGCCAGTCACTCAGGGATGCAGAGACAGTGCTCAAGATTCACCAGGACCTCACCGATGCCCTCGCCCACATACAGGTATGATCCAAGGGGAGGGGTTTCTTCTTGGAGTAGAGGCCCTTCTCCTCCTTCCCCCTACTCCTTGTACCTCTTCCCTAAGACAGATGGCACCTAACACAGGTGGCTCAAGAGTGCCTACATTCAAATCTTACCTCATTTGCTAGCTCTATAACCCTGGGCAAGTAATTTGATTTCTCTCTGCCTCAGTTTCCTCATCTGTAAAATGGGCATAATAACACCTACCTCCCAGGGTTATTGTTAGGATCAAATGAGCTCATACATGTAAAGCACCTTGCAAACATTAAAGAACTATATAAATACTTGTGATAATTATTAAGACAATTCTTTCTTCCTAGGAGAAAGCCACAAGCCTTCCTGATGCCGTGGCACAGGATAGGCATGGAGCCCAGGCTCAGCTCCGGCGGCATGAGGAGCTAGAACACGAGCTCTCAGGCACTGAGCAGCAAGTAAGTTAGCAGCTGCTTCTGCATAGACCCCCTCAGGCCTATGCCCAAGAACACTGGCCCCTCCTGGGCATTCCAATTCCCCAGACACCCTCAGAACCTAGAGAGGCAGCATGATGTAGTGCCTAGGAAATACTGGGTTCAAATCCCACCTCTGCCACTTTCTAGCTGTGTCACCCTGGGCAAATCACTTCACCTTTCTGAACCTCAGTTTCCCTATCTGTCAAAATGAGATGGTATGGTTGGACTAGATCAACTTCTAAGGTTCCAGCACTAAGATCTATGATTCTGTGAATTTGAGGGATTCCTCAGCCTAGCTCTGGTAAGTGTGAATGTGGACCTGGGTGAGGTTATGCACTGAGCTTTGCTTATGTCAAAGCAGGTCGAGTCAGCCAGCATTTATTAAACACTTACTGTGTGCCAAGCATTATGTTATGTACTAGGAATACAGATACAAGCAGAAAGAAGGACTTTTCTTTCTCACCTCGAGTTGCTTAGAAAGCTGGAAAGGGGAAGGGGGCGGAGGGGAGGGAAGAAAGTGAAAGAGATGAAAGTACCTGGAGAGGGATCATCGTAGAGAAAGTCACCAGTATAGCCTGGAGAGGCATGAAAACAGGACTGGGCATTCTCCTGAAAATGGAGGTTCTGGGAGGAACCAGCCAATCGAGGGCTCTGGCTGCCAAAGCAAAGGTAGTTCCAATGTGTGAAGTCCAGGAGTGGAGGGACCAGGGTGAAGAGGCCTCTGGGGCATTACAGAAAAAAAATCTCGACCCTGGAGTCAGGAGAACCTGACTTCAAATCCGGCCTCAGACACATAACACTCACTAGCTGTGTGACTCTGGGCAAGTCACTTAACCCCAATTGCCTCACAAAAATAATAATAATAATAATAATAATAATAATAATAATAATAAATAATAATAATAATAAAGAAAAGAAAAAAGAAAAAAGCCTCAGAGAGCCAAGAGCGTGGTCTGGAGAGGAATGCGAGGACTGGTGCCTTTCCTTTCTATAGCTATGATCCCACGTACCCCTTAACTACAGCGATAGGTTCTTTCTTCCCTTGGATAGGGCACGGCTGCTGCTTCTTTTTCCTTTCAGAGAAGTTTTTTTTTCTTTTCCCTTAAGTTGGTGTCCTGAGGTGAGTGGGAGAGGAGGGGTGTCTCTAGGGAGACTGGGTCCCCTTTGCTTCCATGTGCCTGCTGGGCCCCACAGCCCCCTACTTCTCTAGAGAGCTGACCCCTTCCCTGCTTGCCTGACCCCTGCCCTTCCTCAGCTGCAGGAGCTATTGGACGCAGCTGACAAGATGCAGAAGCTGTGCTCAGGAGCTCAGGCGGAGGCCCTGCAGAGCCAGCAGGAAGCTGTGGTGCAGAGCTGGGAGTCGCTGAGGCTGCGGGTGGAAAGGAGCCGGGGAGAGTTGGAGAGGGCCTGCCTGCTCGCAGCCTTCCATACCGTGGTGAGAAATCCCCAGAGTGCCTTGGAAGAAAAGACATTGGGACTTGGAGGGGTGGGGTATAGAATGTAAGCTCCTTGGGGGCAGGGGTGGTTTTTTTTTTAACTTCGCATCCCCAGCACCTTCGAGGCCACACATGGCCCTCACGGTCCTCAATTGATTGAATCCAAACTTCACAGAACAAATCCCAAATCCCTGATTTGTTCTGTGAAGTTTGGATTCAGTCAAAGGGCCACACTTGAGGACCTAGAGGAATCAGACCTATGATTTAATTGATATAGGAACTCCAGGTGAAGATGCTCCCTCTTCCAGTGCTGATCAACAACTTAACACCTTGGAGAGGTTCCTGGGGCACTGAGAAGTAAGGGAGTTGCCCAGGGTCCTACGGCCAGTATGTGTCAGAGGCAGGACTTAAGTCCCGGTCTTCCCAACTCTGAGGCTGACTCTCTGTCCATGACACAATACTATCTCTCAAATATAACTGAAGGTATTGTGTACAGAGCACAAAAGGGAACATAGATGTGAGGTGTATACGAGTCCAGTCTTAGAATACTTGTGGACAGCCAGGCAAGTAGGTACAATATGAAAAGCAAGATCTGTGAGAAGGTAAGCAAAGAGGCACTCATCTAGGGAGCCAGCTGGCATTGAGGCTAGTAAGTACAGCCCAAGGGACCCAAAAGTGGTGGACAAGTTACTGTACTCACGTCCTACAGATGTGACTCAGTCATTAAGTTCTTACTGTGTCTGGCACTAGGCTGGGTGCAGTGATAGATGCAGAAGTGTAAGACATGGTCCCTGCCCTCAAGAAGATAGGAATAATGTACTAGAAACAATAACTAATATTGTCAGACCATACATTCTTAGTTGGGGGGTACAGACTATAAGTACTGTGGAGCTCAGAGAAGAGAAGCAGAGAAGTCTTCCATGAATAGTCAGGGAAGGCTTCAGGCACGAAGCAGGACTTGAGTGGAGCCGTGAAAGAAGAATAAGATTCAGGGAGGTAGAAGAGAAAGGAGAGGATGTTCCAAGTGGGGGGAAGAAAGCACAGGAAAAGATGAGGAGGTATTGTTTGAGGGATGGTGATGAAGGTGAGCTGGCTGGAGAACAGTGAGGATTTCATGCTGGAAAGTAGCAGATAATAAGGCTGACTATAGACAGGAAGGCCGGGTACTGGAGAGCCCCCCAGCCTCACACCACAGGCTCCACATCTGGAGAACCAGGGGGCATCTGAACCGGCTGGTATCTGAAAGGGGTGATGTGAGGCAGCATGGTACAATGGAAAGCATGCTGTACTTGAAGTCACAGGACCTGAGTTCAAATCCAGACTGTGCTCCCTATCTGTTCGACCTTGGGCAAGTAACTTAACCTCTCTGGGCCTCAGTTTCCACATCTGTAAGATAAGGTGGTTGGATGGAATGATTTCCAAGGTCTGTGATTCAGTGACTTATGGGAGCCTCCAAACTAGCTCTGACATCTGTACATATGTGTACCTTGGTAGGTTCTCTGGGGGAGCACTCCAGAGTTTTGCTCGTGTGAGAACTGGTTCTCTGCATTCCTGCTTGTACCCGACTCCCTCTCTATTCTCTCTGGGTGGCCAGGTGCAGGAGTATTCATCATGGGCGACTGGAGTTCAGAGGGAGCTCCAGGCAAAGGAGAGCTCCCGGGATGCCAGCAGCAGCCACTTGCAGCTTAATGAGCACCAAGACGTCCGGGCCAAGCTGGAGGCCCGGGAGGAGGCGTACCAGCAGGCAGTGCAGCTAGGCCAGGGGCTGCTCCTAGAGGAGGGAGCCCCTACTGAGGAGGTAGCTTTTCGCTCCAGGCTGTCCCCAAGGCAGTGTGGATGAGTTTTCTTCCCTGCCCCATTCCACCCCTTTCTTGCCTTATTATCTTATTACTATCTCATTCTTGCCCTCCCCTACTCTGATGACATCCTAGTCAAGACCTAGGAACACAGAGGGGGTTTGCCCTGATACATATAAGAGCTTAGGAACATAATTCTAAAGCTGGGTGGGGCCAGCTAGCCTGAATCTCCCCATATTTTATAGATGAGGGGTCCAGGGAGCTTAATTACCTTGTCCAGGGTAACAATGTAGTTAATGAGAGATATAGGATTTGAACCCAGGCCCTCTGACTCTGAAATGGTATCATTTCCATTTTGTTGTACTGCAGGAGGGGAGAGGGGACAGACGAGAGATTTGAAGATGGAGATAAGGCAGGGGTTACATACTGGGTCTCAAGAATCATCACACATTAGCATTGGAAAGAGGCCTTAGGGACTCCTTAACCTGAGATCTGTTGAATGCACATACACATATATATTCAACAGATATATACATATACAGTTCTCCCTTCCCACATCGCAGGGAGGGCAGGGTGAGGGGCACAGTGCTCCTGTGATCTGGAAAAATCCCGATAAAATATTTTGGCCCTCCCTTCATAACAGAGAAGAAGTCTGAATTTTTTTCTTTTTCTTTTATAGGGTATTTACAGTACCTTATTGTAAAATTTGGTATGTTGTAAAATTAAGTATTTGGCTCTGTGTCATCTGCTGGCCTTCTCATGTCATCTGCAGCTTCTGCAAAACTCCCAAAAAATTACCATTTAATTTCTTATGCTGACCTGCGATATATATAAAAACCCATGATGGGAAAAGTCATGATGTGGGAGGGACGACTGCGTGTGTGTGTGTACAATATACATATCAACAGATGCATATACGTTGTGTATATAGTATACATGCATGTGTTGTATCATGCACATGTTATATATACATATGTATATTAACACATACATGTGTGCGCATATATATTCTGCTACTTCTATTTCCATATAATTGGTTTCTTTTGTAATCCTAAGTATTTTATCTTATGCATTTAAAAAACATCATTCTCAGAAAGGATCCATAGGCTTCACCAGCCTACCCAAAAGAGGTCCATGACACAGAAAATGTTAATTAGTCCTGTGTTAGAGATTCTCTAGTCTAGCCTCCTTCTACAGATGAGGAAACTGAGGCCTTGAGAAGTCAAGTAACTTGGCCAAGATCATACCATCGATAGCAGAACCAGCCCTTGAACCCTGACCACCAACCTCCTCCTCTGAGGTTCTTCTTCCAAGTCTTCACTAGTGATTCTGCCCACCCACCCCCCGACATCACCTTTCTCAGACTACCCCATCTCTGTGTGCTCCAGATCCAGGAGAGGCTAGGAGCCCTCCGGGGAAGAGCGGCTGAAGGTGTTCCAGGCTTGGGAAGGGAAGCAGGAGCAGCTGATGACCATGCACTTTGGACAGCTCTTTAGCAGAGACTGCGACCACTTCAATAAGATCCTCACTGCCCAAGAGGTAGTTCCCACCCCACCCCGCTCCTCAGGCCCTTGCTGCCCTGTGTTCTCCATTGTCTTTTCCACTATCAATTTCCGCTTCCTCCCTTTCCTCACATACATACTCATGGACACACACACACACACACACACACACACACACACACACACACACACACACTTGTTTCTAGTCTTTCCCACCCAAACCCCTGTTTTAGAAGCGGAAAGTGTGCACACTTGATCCAATTCAGCAAATAAGCTGATGAAAAATGTCATGGTCCCAACTCTCCAGTAGTTTGCATAAGATATATACATACATAAGTATGAAAAGGGATAGATTATGGTGAACAAAGTATTGCAGGAAAAATGAGAAGAAAATTGCACCTTTCAATGTGGCTAAAAGCCAGGGTGGACACTCTGATTCCTTCACCAGCTGAAGCCTGGACTGAGTCATGAGGTCACAGATTTAGGGCTTTATGAGACCTCAGAGGTCAACTGGTCCAACACCTTCTTTTGCATATAAGGAAACTGAGGCCCTGGGAGGTTAAACAGCACATACACTCATCCATCTGCTCTTCATTCTTCTCTTTGGCCCTGATCATGGGTTGGTCTAGGTCTATCTAAAAAGCAGTACCTTGGAAAGCTCCGTGGAGGGACTGGAGAGGCTGATCCGGAAGCATGAAGCTTTCCAGAAGATACTGGCCGCCCAGGATGAGAAGGTGATGGGATCAGAGGGAAGCAGGGATGTTCTAGTTAGTCTGTCTGGAGTCGGGCTTGGAGGAGCATGGAGAAGTCCAGAAATGGGAGGAATGAGCCAAGGTGGTCTGAGTTATACACGGGGCACAGGAATATACAGGGTAGGTGAGGGACCAACATAAAGTAAATGCAGAGAGTCTGAATCCCACACCCTAGAGGCGAATTTGGGATCACAAGATCATCATTTTAGATTTGTCAGGTACCTTCGAAGCTACTTAGTCCGTCCTCAGTTGATAGATGAGAGAGCTGAGGCTCAGACAGGTCAAGAGCTCTGACAAATATCACATAGCTAGGAAGCCTCTGAGGCAAGATTTGAACCCAGGGCATCTAAAATCCAAGTACAGCACTCTGTCTCCTGTGCCATGTTGTCTCCTACCTATCCCTGGAGTGATTACTCAGTCCAGCATGGATAATATGGTATATTTGAAAACAAAAAGTACTGCATTCAGAGATGGGAAGAAATTAATTTTTAAATACTGGCTTTGACAAATATTAGCTGTGGCCCTGGAAAACTGATTTTTACCTCTCCAAGTCTCAGTTTCCTCATCTGTAAATGGAGAGTATACTACTGTGCTACCTACTTCACAGGGTATTGTAAAAAAAAATGTTGTGTTTTCTTTGAGTGCTATAGAAATGTGAGTGGTTGGTATTTTGAATAGGGCACTGGACCTGGAGTCAGGAAGACCTGAGTTCAAATCCTGCCTCAGACACTTCCCAACTGGGTGATGTTTGGCAAGGCTCTTAAATTCACTGCCTTCTGACCCTGGTCAAGTCACTTAACTTCCCTCAGTTTCAGTTTCTTTTTCTGTAAAATGAGGATGGTGATAATAGCATTTACCTCAAAGGCTTGTTGTGATTATCAAATGACATAATATACGTAAAGTACCTTGTAAAGCTTAAAATGCTGTATAAATGTTAGTTGTTATTATTGTTTTTGTCATCATTATTCCTGGTCTGAAGTACCTTGGGACAGGTCGGCTCTAGAAGGGATGAAAGGCTCTGTTTTGTATCCCCCAGCCTTTCAGGCATTAGCGGTAGAGCTCTGATGGTAGGTTCATTGCTATTTACCTGCTCTGCTTTCTGTCCCCAATAAGCTTGTACTGGGGAGGTGGCATGCAGAACTAACGAGGTGCAGCAAGACTCTTAGCCTAGAGGGGTGATACAGGCAGCAAGCTCCTTCTCCCCTCGCACAGGAGGCAGCCCTGCAGGAGCAGGTGAAGCATCTCAAGGGAGCCGAGGTGCATGAATTACTGAATTTGGTGCGGGAGCGACGAAGGCGAGTGAAGGAGCAGGCCCATACCCATGGGGAAGCCCTTCATACCTCCTTGTTGCTGGCGAGTTTCACCAGGGACGTGGCTGAGGTCAGAACCAGGGCTGGACCAGCAGGACAGTAATGGACAGGACAACCGAACAGAGCAAAGAAGGCCCCTATTATTAGGCTGGGGGCTCTGAACATCCAAAGGGAGCCCCCAGCCAACTCCAGAACCCCTAAGACCTTACCTTGAGAGTTATATGGCTCCTTCCGTGTCTCCTCCCCTCTGACTCTCTGTCTCAATGACAAGCATTAGCTGAGCCTTTAAGGAACTTCTGCCTGGTTTGCTAGTAATACCAGCTTAACATAACAGGGGAACTGCCCTACTCTGGAACCTTGCAGGTATCAACCTAGGCCCAGATCATAATTCTAATTCATTATCCAACAAACCCTTAGAAAGTGCTTACCATTTGCTAGGCTGTGTGAAGAGCTGGGGATACAAAGAGAGGTGAAAACATATGGTTCCTGCCCTCAAGGAACTCATATCCTAATGAGAAAGACAGCCTACAAATAACTATATACATTCAAGATACACACACACACACACATACACACACACATAGTGTAAATGGAAGATTAAAAGGGAGGAGAGCACTGGTGGGGAGGGGAAGGTCCTGGGGGGGTAGGGCAGGAGTTAGGAAAGACTCCTAATTTCAGCAACCAATACACTTGATCTGCATCTAGGGAATAATTTCTATAGAATCTGTAGAGACCTAAGTAATGATAGGCTGTCCCATACAATGTTCACTGGGGGTGGCATGCAGAACTAGAAATGTGCAGCTAGGCTCTGGGCCCAGGGAATGATAAAGGTTAAGTTAACTAACCCTATTCCTGCCCTGCCCCTGGTGTGTGCAGGCAGAAGACTGGATCCGGGAGAGGGTTCAGCAGCTGGAGGAACCAAGCCCATGGGGTTCTGGGGAGCTGAAGGACAAACTGAAGTGCTTACAGAAACACCAGGCCTTCGAGGCAGAGGTCCAGGCCCATGAGGAGGTTATAACCCAGGTCACCAAGGTAACAGCAAATAGCTGTCCAGGAGCTTCGCGTCTAATTGGTGAAGATGATACATTCAAGCAGCTTTGTTGTTGCTGAGTCATTTCAGTCATGTTGTGACCTCATTTGGGGTTTTCTTGGCAAAGAGACTGGACCGGTTTGCCATTGCCTTCTCCAGCTCATTTGACAGATGAGGAAGCTGAGGCAAACAGGGTGAAGTGACTTGCCCAGGGTCCCACAGCTAGGAAGTATCTGAGGAGGGATTCGAACTCAGGAAGATGAGCCTTCCCAGTTCCAAGCCCGGTGCTCTATCTGTTGAGCCATCTAGCCGCCTGAGCAAAGCCGTGGTAGTAAATGCTTCACAGCCTACTGTCTGAAGAGAAAAATGTGCCCACAACACACTTTTAAGTTTAATCTGCATTATTGACATTTTTCTGTCATGTTCTAAGTGTAGACAATCAACAAAACAAAAACACGGGGCCCTGATGTGGAGCATGTGCTGATTTCTGGAGCAGAAATGCTCACACTGCACATTGAGCAGCTGGCTCTTGTGAACCTATGTGGACTGGCTCCAGCACACCCTGCCTTTAGGAGAGTTCACGTGCAGGATGAACAGAAAGTTCTGGGGCGCCTGAGAGGGTAGCCACAGAGCAGATGGCAAGGACTGGAGCTCCTAGATTAACTCAGGCCTAAGGAGTGACCTGCCCTCATGGGGAAGGGTGGGAAGTGCACCCTGGGGCTGGAGTGGAGAGGGGATTCTGGGTTCCCTCCCAGCAGGGGTAGAGGATGGGGGAGGGTGCTCAGTGTCCAGCCGGGAAGAGGGGGAGAAATGCCATTATCAGGAAGGTCGGGGGTGGGCTCTGGGACAGAGAAAGGAGAAGTCGGGTCCCACTTGAGAGAAGCAATACTTTAGGGACAAGGGACCAAGAAGACGAAATCTCCTGGTGCCTGGCCTTCATTGCAGAAGGGAGAAGCTCTCCTGGCCCAGGGCCATCCTCAGGCCAGACAGATTCTGGAGAAACATCAGAGGCTTCTGGATCACTGGTGCAAGCTGAGACAGGCCGTGGTCGCCAGGGGCAGGGGCCTGGAGGACAAACGGGATTTCTTAGAGTTTCTACAGCGTGTGGACCAAGTAGAGGCCTGGATCAGGGAGAAGGTAGGAATGCATTCAGATAAACTTATGTATCTGTATATTATGTATGTATATACATACACATATGAATATATACACACTCATGTATTTTATATACCTAGAGCTACATGCATATACAAATATATCCTATATTATATCATTGTATATATTATATATTCTTATATATATATTATGTACCTTATATATTCTCTGTATCTCCATATATTTCTATATAGATATTGATACATAAAAATATACCCTGTATTTGTATATGTGATATCATTATTATACTATATCTTTTATATCTATAAATATATCCATAGATATATACATATCCATAAAAAATATATTGTATATCAGCATTATATTATATACTTATGTATCTGTAAATATATCAATTTCAATATATGCATATACAGATATATTGTGTATCTGTATGTTGTATTTTATATAACACTTTTATATTTTTACATATCTGTAGATATATATCTATATATACACATAAATATATTATATTTTATATATGAACATCTATATAGAGGTATCTATCTATCTATCTATCTATCTATCCATATGTGTATATATATATAATTTTATCTAGACCTGTGATTGTGCCATTGCAGGGAAACTCCTCTTGTGGAAATTCCCTCTGCCAAAGTAGATCAGCAACCTACTGGTCAGCTTATAGTATGAATGAATGCATATGAATGAATGAAAAAGCATTTATGTGCCAGGCATATAACCCCCTCTTTCCTCCCAGGAAGTGATGGTGAATGTTGGAGACTTGGGCAGAGATTATGAACACTGTCTACAACTCAGCAGACGGCTGAGCGAATTCCGAGGCGCTGCCTTATGGGTAAGAGGTGTAAGAGTTATAAGGGATGTTGGGTAGGTAGGGAGGATGAGGTGCTTATGGATCAGATACCTGTGTATAGCGCCTTCTATACCTTAGACTTGGCCGCGTTCGCCTCTCTTCCCCTAGACTGAAACACCTACATTCTAAACATAGCTGACCCAAGGGGAAAATGTGAATCCAACCAAAATCATCTGAGTTTTCCAACCTTTTCTTTCTATGGCCTTTCCTTCCACTTTTTTTTTTCAGTACTTCTCTTATCCCTTTCCCTGCCTTCACCCCTCCCCCCCTTCTCTAGCTGTCAAGAAAATTAATCTAATTAAGGTATTTCCAATCAGATAGTAATAACTTATTACTTAACCCATTCTGTAATATTTGCATTCTAAAAGAAGATTTAAGAGAAGGATAGTTAATACAAATGAATGAGTATCTAATGGTAAAATTACAGGAACTGTGACAGCTGGGTAGGAAGGTTATTTTTGTCATGGAAGTGTCACATAATTATACTATGTAAAGTAGTGGTATCAAACTCAAATAGAAATGGGGCCACTTCAAATCCAGCCTCAGACACTTGCTAGCTGTGTGACCCTGGGCAAGTCACTTAATCCTGATTGCCTCCAAAAAAAAAAAAATAATAATAATAATAATGGAAATGGGGCCACTTAAACCTTACCTACCTTGGCACGAATCGACTTAGAAAACCACATTTTAACATCTATATTCTTTGTATTTTTATTTTGTAAAATATTTCCCAATTGTATTTTAAATTTGATTTTGGGTCAGCACCTCTGATGTAGAGGACCACTTAATTAGACCAACCCTAATCCCCAACATGGAAACTGATCAGATTCCTGGAGGAGAAAGAACGTAGACTTGAGAATCAGAGGCTTTAAGTTCACATCTCACCTCTGACACTACCTGTGTGACCTTGGACAAGTCACTTAATTAATCTATGCCTCAGCTTCTTCATTTGTAAAATGAGAGGGTGAGATTAAGTGGCCTTTGAGGTCCCTTCCAGCTCTAGATCTGTTTTTCTGACCCTGTGATCAAAAGAAATCCCTAGGGCTGGACAGCCTGAGCAAACTCTGAAAGCCTTTTTTCCTCCCTGCTCTCTCTTGCTTTTTACTTAATCAACTCCATCTCCATTTTATACATTTTAACTAGTCATGAAATTGCACTTTCTTACATCCCCATAGCTATCTTACCTCCCCCTCGCTGCCTTTAAAAAGGTCCTTTTTTATTCCAAACTCTTTTGGGAACAGGTTTGGCTAATTTATGTGTTTGCAAATAGAGTGTGAGCTTTCCAGTGGTAGGAGCAATGTAGTCCTGAGGTTCTGGGGTTGGAGGGCCTTTGGTTCAAAATCCAGTTCTACTGCTTCATGCATTTATTAGGCACCTCCCAGGGGCAGCTAGGTGGTGCAGTGGATAGAGCACCGGCCCTGAAGTCGGGAGGACCTGAGTTCAAATCTGGCCTCAGACACTTAACCCTCACTAGCTGTGTGACTCTGGGCAAGTCACTTAACCCCAATTGCCTCACTAAAAAAAAATAAAATAAAATATATTAGGCACCTCCCTCGTGTCAGACATGGTGCTAAATGCTAGGGATAGATTCAAAGATAAAACCAAAACAGAGCTTGCCCACAAGGAGCTTCCACTCTATCAGAATGGACAGTATGGATGTATATTAGAATATACCAAGGTAAATTTGGAGAGAGAGAGGGGATGGCACCAGTAGCTAGGGTGGGGGGGGAGGTGGCTATGGAGTGAGTTTTGAAGGAAACAAGGGATTCTAAGATGAGAAAGTGAGAAGGGGATGCCTTCCAGGCACAGGGACAGCCAGTGCACAAAGGTATAGGGACAAGAGGGTGTCATGTTCAAGAAACAGTAAAAAGGTGAGATGAATGAAAAACCCAAGAGACAGAATTTCTGGGTAATTAATAATCAATCTGTTAATTAGGCTAGTAAATAATCAATAAGTTGATAGTCAGTGGTCTCTCAGTAACCAAAAACAAGATGGAGGTCATGGAATATTTTACTTACCTTTGGAAAAGAGGATGCCCCTGACAGGCGAAGATCAACTCAGATTGGTGAACCATCAATGAGAGGGTGAACGTATTAATGAGGAGGTGAGCTAAAAGTCTTTAGCTCTTGCTGCTTGATCTTAAGACACTGTCTCAAACTGATCTTGGAGCTGTCTCCAGCACTCTGGACAAAGGAATCCCCTTCTACGCAGCGTGATTCTAACGCTTTTAGGGCTGGAATTTACCTAGATTCAATTTATCTTTACACTTTAATCAGAAATCAGCTGTCCTAGTTGGGTGGGGCCCACCCAGGATTGAGGAGAATGTTCCCAGAGGATTAGGTCAATCTCATCATCAGCCCTGTCCTTCAGAAAATGACTGGTCCCTAAATGAGGAAAGTAGAAAGGAAAAAAAAAACCTCAATCCTAATTTGGTTATTAACATAAGAGAAAAATAATCATTCCTCTCAAAGGACAATCTTGTCAGACCACAGAGGACAGGAAGGGGAGTAATGTATATAACAAGGTTGAAAAGGTAGGTGGGGGCCGGCTTGTGAGGGCTTTAAAAGACAAAGAGAAGGGTCCGACAGGTCAGCTGCGTGATCTGGGAGAAGTCATTTCTGGGTGTCATTTTCCCTGGCCATAAGATAATGACCTCAAAAGTCCCTTTCAGCTCTAAATCTCTGATTCTGTGACTCTTCTTGCCCCTGCCTTCCACCACCCACCTAGCACCCCTTTCTGAGTAATAGCACTTTTTCTGACCTCTGAGAAGATTGTATGACTGGAGGATACCCCTGAAAGATGAGGAAATCCAGTGCCTGCAGCCTCTCATGCCTCCCTGTTGCCCCTCAGACCAATCTTTTAAAGAAGGATCCTCCTCTAGGGAATGGTCTCTGCTTTCTACTCTGGGCCTGAGTCCACATCTTCATTCTCCCCCTATGCCAGGAGACGGTGGATGATACCCACATTAAGGCCATTAATGCCATGTCCTTTCAACTCAAGAGCCGAGACCCAGAAGAAGTCAAGATCACCTGCCAGCGACGACATCAACTCAATGAAAGGCCAGTTCTGAGTGGGGGTGGCAGGAAGGGGAAAAGGTGGGAGTGGGAGGACACCAGCAAACTCAGAAGGTGGACATGTTGGAGTTCTGTGCCCAGACTGAATCTAGCCCCATTAATACCTATCCTCCTGCATCTTCACCTTGGCAGATGGAATAATTTCCATGGCAACCTCCTCCGATACCAACGACAGCTAGAGGGTGCCCTGGAGATGCATGCAGTGGTCCAGGAGCTGGACAATATCATGGAGAGGATTGGAGAGAAGGTAAGGGACACATAGAGACCAGAGTTGTAGATTTCAGGCAAAAACAATGGGGAAAAGAAGGCAGGGCCCTGCCCGAAGGTGTAACAAACTCAGTCTTGAAAGCGTCCTTGGCTCCCCACCTGCCTGCCTCTTCTAGATCACTCCAGGGTCTGTGCTACCAGTGTCTCCCTTGGCCACCCATGGAACAAAGGTATTTTATTTTGTTTTGTTTTCTTATCCAGACCTATGATTTCATGGGTACAAGGAGATCTTAGTGAGGAAATTCCCTCTACCCATGCAGGCTGGCACCCTGAAATCTATAATCCTATATAGCTGGCTAGAGCCAACTTGTCCAGGGTCACATGGCCAGTATGTGTCAAAGACAAGACTTGAACCTTGGGCTTCCTGACTCCAAGCCAACCTGCTCTGGAATGGAGCAGGCTGGGAATGACCACAGGAAGCCTGAGGCTCAGAGACAGAATCTAGTGTGGTATCGGGGAGGCAGGGGGCCTGGGAAAAGGGCTCAGGGGAAGGGTCTGGGAGGCAGATGCCATGGTGTCAGAAGAAAGGGGAAAGGGGGTCAATAAATGTTAATGCATCGAATCCTGAGTTCCTCTCTCCTTCAAGTCTCTCCCCATGTCAATCTATCCTGTATTAAGCTGCCAAAGTGATTTTCCTAAATCACAGATCTGATCATGTGGCCTTCCTCCTCAATAAACTCCATTGTCTCTCCATTATATCCAGGATGAAATGCAAACTCCTCTGGCTTTTAAGGCCCTCTATGATTTGGATCCTTCCTCCCTTTCCAGTCTTTTTAGACTCCTCAGACGCTCCCCTCCTCCACATCCTCTATGATCCCGTGGTACTGGCCTCCAATATAATGCTCCATCTACTCCATCTCTCGACTCTGAGTGTTTTTACTGGCCAGCCTGGGATGCCTGAAATACCCTCCCTCCTCATCTCTGCTTCCTGGCCTCCTTGAATTTCCAGCTCACATCTCGTCCTGTTCCTTCTTCATGCCAGCCTTCCCTCCCTGTATTATCTCTGGATTATCTTATTTCTACATGATCACTTGCAGATTGCCTCCCTCCTTAGACTGTGGACAGCAAGAACTGTCTATTTATTGCCTTTCTTGGTATCGCCAGCACTTAGCCTGGTGCCTGGTACATAGTAGGTGCTTAATAAATGCCCGTTGACTGTTGCTTTAAATCCCATCTTCTGCAGACAGCCTTTTCCAGGCCCCGCGATGACCAGTGCCTTCTCTCAGATGATCTTACACGTATTACACTGAGTGTGTCTTGTATGTAACTGGTGTTTGTATGTTGATTCCACCATTAGAATGAGAGCTCCTTAAGGACAGGAACCGTGTGTTTGCCTTTCTTTGTGTCCCCGTTGCTTAGCACAGTGCCTGGCACATTTGTTGTTTAGTCAATTAGCTGTGTTCGACTCTTTGTGACCCCATTTGGAGTTTTCTTGGCACAGATACTGGAGTGGTTTGCCATGTCCTTCTCCAGCTCATTTTACAGATGGGGAAGATGAGGTAAGCAGGGTTAAGTGACTTGCCCAGGGTCATGCAGCTAGTGTCTGAGGCCATATTTGAACTCGCGTCCTCCTGATTCCAGGCTGTATCCCACCGTGCCGCCTAGCTGCCACCTGGTACATAGTAAGTGCTCAATAAATGCTTGCTGATTGACTTTCTCTTTTCCTTCACAGAGTGTCCTGCTGCAGGCCCCCGACTATGGAAAGGACCTGGGGGATGTAGAGAGGCTGCTGAGGAAACACGAAGAGCTGGATCGGGAAATCAGTGTCATCCAGGCCCAGATGAAGGTACAAATGGGGCTGTGTCAGAAGCCTGCCCCGGGCTCCATTTTGTCACCTTTACTCCATAGCGCTCCTTGCAGGGTGGGGAGTAGAAAAGAGGTTCAGGAGACAACAGGCATAGAACAGTTCAGCTATAGGCACATGGAAAGACCCGGAGATCCTGAGGGTGCAGTTACTGGGCAGATGGCAAATCTCAGGAGACCTTAGGATGCCACCAGTACTTAGCACAGTGCCTGGCATATATAGTAGGCACTTAATAAATGCACATTGATGAATGAATGAGTGCCCTACAGCAGTTGCTGTTCAGTCATTTTTCAGTTGTGTCAGACACTTCGTGACCCCATTTGGGGTTTTCTTGACAAAGATACTGGAGTGGCTTGCCATTTCCTTCTCCAGCTCATTTTACAGATGAGGAGCTAAGGCCAACAGGGTTAAGTGACTTGTCCAGGGTCACACAGCTAGTAAGTATCTGAGGCCAGATTTGAATTCACAAAGATGAGTCTTCCTGACTTTGGGCCTGGCGCCCTATCCACTGCACCACCTAGCTGCCCTCATGGGTGTGGCCCAGAACTCATTGGGAAGTAACAGGACCCTGACCGAGAAGCCAGCATTTTTTCCACCTGTCCCACTACCCAGTAGTAAAAGTAGTCCTAGTGCCTTACTCCATATGTGGGTATCTCCTGAGCTTAAATACCTGCGTCCCAACCCGGGCTGGGGTACCATTCTGCCATCCTTTTTCCTGCAGCCACTGGAGCAGGAGGTGAGTCGTTTGTGTCAGAGCAACCCCGGGGCAGCCCAGACCCTCGTCAACAAACAGCAGGAGTTGAACACCAGCTGGCAGAGGCTGTGGGCCCAGGCCAAGCAGAGGTACAGATCTTTGTACAGCCTTCCCCTCCTTTCAGCTTCTCTGAATCTCCATCCCCCATGGTCTTAGTATTTTCCCATTCTCACTCACCCCTGGGAATTCTGCCCCAGCCCATTCAGTTCCCCTAGACCCCTGTATTGCTACCCCGATCTAGCGCCCCAAAGGACATTTTTAGCAGTGACTGCATATGATAGAGGAAGACATTGCAGGGGAGAAGGAATAAGAAAGAAGAGCAGGACAGAGGAGCTGGGCATTTTCAGGAGAAATAATCCAGGGCAATTTCAACTGAGTGGTAGATCACAGTAAACAAAGATTCCAGGACACCCCGAGTTTAGTACACAGATAATCTGATCTGGTCAGAAGTATTTAAGCCAGAATTGGGGAGTGGGGGAAGAGGAGGCAGAATCCAGGAAAAGGGATGATTACAGAGTCCTGGTCAGGGGAGCAACCAGGGCTGGGCACCAGGGCTCTCCTTTATGGGCGCAGACATTGGACGGGGGGAAGGAAGACTCAGTTCCTCCAAGATTCACAGTCTCCTACAGGTCCTGCATCCTCCCCCCCACATGACCACCCTGGGAAAGAAGCACTCTCCCATGTCAGTGCCTTGGGGCGACACCCCAGTTAGTTACACCTCTGGCTGGGGCTGACTGATCATCCCCGTGGGCAGGAGGGAGAAACTGGATTCTTCCCACCAAGTACAGAAGTTAGACACCACGCTGCGAGAGCTGCTAGGCTGGGTGCAAGGACTGAAGACTAGGATGGAGATAGGAAGCCTTCCCAGCAGTCCTGCTGAGGCCAGACGTCTGATGGAGGAGCACCAGGAGCTCAAGGTCAGGGCACCCCCTGCCCCAGGGCCAGCTTCTTCTCTCTCATCTCAGCTCTTTCGACTTCCCATATACTTAACCATGGCCCCCAGCTTGGAATCATCGATTTGGAAGTAGAAGGGACCTCAGAGTTCATCTAGTCCACTCCTTCATTTTGCAAATGAGGAAACTGAGGCCCAGAGAGGTTAAATCATTTACCCAAGGTCACATGGCAATAAGTGTCAGAGGTGGGATTTGAACTCAGCTCCTCTGATTTTGGGGGGGCAGCTAGGTGGAGAGAGTGCTGGGTCTGGAGTCAGAAGACTCATCTTCACGAGTTCAAATCCAGCCTCAGACACTTAATGGCTATGGGACCCTGGGCAAGTCGTTTAACCCTGTTTGCCTCAGTTTCTTCATCTATAAAATGAACTGAAGAAGGAAATAGCAAACCAGGCAAATCTTAACCCTGTTTGCCTCCATTTCCTCATCTGTAAAATGAACTGGAGAGGGAAATGGTGGGCCACTCTAGCATCTTTGCCAAGAACACCCCAAATGGGGTCAGTCAGAGGTGACTGAAATGTTTGAACTGAACTAATTTTTGACTGTTGAGCCATTCCCATCCCCCATATTTCTCCAAGTCCTCTCTCCCCGAGTCCCCTTGTTCATGCTACCCTCCCAGCTGCTGTTAATTTTCTTCCCCACTCCCTACCACCACCACCATACACACAGTCCAAGACATTTCATCTTTTTTAAACAAGGAGAAATAATGGGACCACCTTAATTTTATGCGGTACACTGTTATGATTGTTTAAAATTTTAATTAATTTATTTTTACAAGCACTTACTCCCCTCCCCATTGAGCAGTTTTGTTTTGGTTTGTTTTTTAATGAAAAATGAAACCCTCATAGTTCAGCAAAACAAAATCTCACACTGGCCATGTCTCATTCTGCATCCGTCGACTTTCTGGAAGGAAGTGGGTAGTGTAGTTCACCTGCAGTCCTTTGGACTCATCCCTCTGTATTTTCCTTGGACCGCTCTCCACTTGTTCTTCCTGTTCGTGAATTCCTGAGGGTCTGAGCCCTGCTCTGTTACAGGCAGAGCTATCAGCCAGGGCAGAGAGCATCGACTTGATTCGAAGCACTGGGAAACAGCTGCTCGGTGCCAGACACCCAGTGGCCCCAGATGTTTGCCAGACCCTGGCCGGTTTTGAGCAAGAGCTAACCGGACTGGAGGAGAATTGGCAGGAACATCGACTCCGGCTGCAGCAGGCCTTGGATTTGCAGGTGGGTGTGACCGGCTTCCATGCCCATCTCTTCCCTGGCCTCTACCTTTCCAGTCCCCACCAGGACCTGCCTCTCTCTGTGCTCCCCTCCTCACTGTGGTGGAAAGGGAAGCCAACTGGTCTCCTTTGCCAAGGATTCTCTCAGTGATTCTCAACTGCTGTTAATCAGCACACTTCAAGTCTATTTCTCCTGATCCTACTCAGCAACTGACCTAGTTACCATGCCTGCCCTTGGCATAGCCCACAACCCCTTCTTGTGGGTAGGGGGATATACTGTCGGATAGGATTTCATTGAGTCTTTACTACAACCAACTTGCCTGTCCCGAGATGCCAGGTAGAAACCAGAATTCTTGGCTCATATTCTGCTCACGCTCCTGACTTGATCTGGGGCTCGAGGCCAGTCCCTAGGCCTCCATTCCCCCTCCACAGGAAGCGGCTGGACCCTCTGCCAAAATGTTTCTCCATTCCCATAGATGTTCCTGAGCTCCGTGGAGCAGATTGAAAGTTGGCTCAACAACAAAGAAGCGTTCCTGGCAAATGAAGATCTGGGTGTAGGTACCCAGGCAGGAAACGGGCACAGATAGCGAAACCAGTGGTTCAGATCAAATCAAACCAAACCAATGCATGTTATTCAATAAATCTTTGTTGATATAAATGAGGCATTTATTAAGCACTTACTGTATACCAAGCATATAAGAGCATCTCCTTGTGGGCCAAGACCTGGAAATACAAAGACAATGAATGAATCAAAAATTAATTTTAAAGTATTTTTAAAGCATGTGCTATGTGCCAAGTACAGTATTAGGTCCTGCAGATATAAAAGCAACAGCAAAGATAATACCTGCCCTCAAGAAACTTAAATTCTAAAGGGGAAAACAGTACATTTAGGGGATTGGTGGCCAGTGAGGGTCACTTTGGTTTGGAAAGTTATTAGGATGGTGAGTAAGAGCTTAGGGGGAGCTGATCAACATGCTTTGTCTAGGAACAGCGGCAATTACTGAGTTGATCTGACTTTTTTCAAACTCTTTTCAAAAATTTTTTCATTTGATAAATTTTCTCTTCGTCCTACTCCTTGCTCTCCCCAAAATGAAAAAGAAAAAAGAAAAGCAGAAGCCCTCATCACAAATATGCTTAGTCAAGCAAAGTAAGTTTGCTCATTGGCCATGTCCAAATATGTACATCTCATTCTGCATTTTGAGCCCATCACTTCTCAGTCAGGAGATGGAGAGCATGTTGCATCATGGGTCTTCTGGTACTAATAGTTCATCGTTGTATTGATCAGTTTTCTAGAGTCTCTCAAAGCTGACAGACATATACTCCTACACTTCTTAATTTAAGAATTTATTTATCATTATTTATGTTTTTATTATTTATTATATCTCATTGTTTATATAAATATTTATTATAATATAATTATTGGACTAAATAATAATATATAATATAATAAATAATATTTATAAACATTATTTATTATAATTAATTAATTAATCAAAGTCCTCGATGTTAGAGACTATCTTTACTATTGTATCTATACCCCTAAATCAGCACAGGACTTAGAACATAGGAAGTGCTTAATAAATGCTTTTTCAGGGGCAGCTAGGTGATCCAGTGGAAAAGAGCACTGGCCCTGAAGTCAGGAGGATCTGAGTTCAAATCCAGCCTCAGACCAAACACTTGACACTTACTAGCTGTGTGACCCTGGGCAAGTCACTTAACCCCAATTGCCTAAAAAAAAAAAATGCTTTTTCATTCATTCATTTTCTGCTCATGCCCAGTTCCTAGCCCAATGTCTTGAACATAGGTGCTCTTATGTGCCTGGTACACAGTAAGAGCTTAATAAATGCTTTATCTGGTTTCATGGTTCCAGAACTGAACCCCACCCCACCCTGCTCCCTCCAAGGAAAGGGGATGGGGACGGAATTGGCTCCAAGGAATGTATGTACTACTGGGAAGGAAGGAAGGCTCCTTTACAACTGCTTGCCAGGACAGGAGCCTGTATGATGAGGCTCAAAAGAAGGATTCTGAGGCTCAGAGAGGAGAAGGGGATGCATTCTAGATGTGGGGGTTGGGGTTGGACAGCCTGAGTGGAGACAGGGAGATGGCCTGCTGGGTAAGGAGATGGCTGGTTGTCCAGTTTGACCAGAACTTGGCGTGTGTGAAGAGGAATGAGGTGAAGACCAGAAATCAGTCAATCAACGAGCATTTATTAAGTGCTTACTGTGTGCCAGGCATCGTGCTAAGCTCTAGGGCCACAAAGAAAGGCAAAGAGCAAAATGAATGGCTGCCTCAAGGAGCAAATAGCAAGCCAACAGAATCTCAGAAGCTCAGAGTTAGATGGGACCCCAGAGGTCAATTAGTCCAGCTGTACCTAAGGGCAATTATGTGGCCCAGTGGATAAAGCATCTGGGCCTGGAATCAGGAAGCCATGAGTTCAAATCCAACCTCAGATACTTGCTAAGGGTGTGACCTTAGGCAAATCAGTTAGCCTCTGTTTGCCTTGGTTTCCTCATCTGTAAAATGGAGATGATGATAATAGCACCTACCCCACAGGGTTGTCATGAGGATCAAAGGAGATACTAATTGTAAATTATGTCAGTTCCTGGCACATAGTAAGCATTATATAAATGTTAGCTGTTATTGTTATTATCATTATTACTGTCATTATGGTGCCGTCTACAATATATCCTACAAATGATTGTCCAGCCTTTGCTTGAAGACCTCCGGGAAGGGACAACCTGCTGTCTCCCAAGTCAGTTCCATTGGAATGCCCTAATTATTGAGGAGTTTTTCCTTATATCAAGCCAAATAATTGTCATTTATCTAGCTATTTATGGTTTGCAGAGCACTTTACATATGTTATCTCATTAGACCCTCCCAACAACCCAATAAAAGAGGCCTTTTTTTTTTTCTAAGCCCAGATCATTGGTTTTGTCAGTGTAGGGAGTTTCAGGTGAAGAATGTCCCCTGCCGTGTACACGGGCAGTTTCTCTGCTATTCAGGGTCTTAGAGAGTTGCTTGGGGAACTGAGAAGTTAAGAGACATTCCTGGGGTCACATAGCCAGTTTGGGTCAGAGGCAAAATTGGAATCCAGATCTTCCTAGCTCCAAGGCCAGCTTTTCATCCACTAAGTCAAGCTGTTTATACTATTGATACTATAGGTATTATTATCATCCCCATTTTATAAATGAGGATACTGAGGGTCAGGGGATAAATAAAGCTAGTAAATGTCAGAGGTGGCATTTAAAGGCAGCCTGAGGTAGACCTGGGAACTTGGTGAGGTACACATAGTCCTAGAGCCATGAAACAGAGAGAGATGCCAGTTATGAGTACCAAGAAAGCAACTTTTCCACCTTTGCCCTTAAATCAAATGAAGCCAAGTCAACAAATCCAATTCCAAAAAAGCACCTACTATATGGCCAGGAATTGGGGATATAAAGAAAAAAAAATAGGCCATGTCCTCCAGGACCTTACCATGAGAGGAGAAAGGAATACAATAATACTTAGAGAGAGAAGCAAATATAAGATAATTTGAGGAGGGAGAAAGCCTTAACAACTGGGGAAATTATGGAAGACTTCACAGAGTAGAAGCGATTGAGGAATGGACCTAATGTTTCTTTGAGCAGAATAGTTGCATTGAGTGAGGACTGTTCGGTAGGGTGGATGATTGCTGGGCAAGTGAAAGGTATACTGGACTAAATCGGGATATTCTCAACTGTCCCTCCTAGAATTCCTTAGCCTCTGTGGAGACCTTACAGTGGAAACATGAACAGTTTGAGAAGGGGCTAGAGACCCAGCTGGAGAAGATCAGTGCCATGGAAATCATGGCACTCAACCTGAATCAGAGCCAGCACCCGGAGGCCGAGTGTATCACCAGCAAGTGCCAACTGGTGCTTTCAAGGTACCTCTTAGGCCTAGTGGGCTACCAGTGGGTGAGGTTCCTGGGAGTTCTGGGATGAAGGTAGCCAAAAACCGGGGCACTGAGGTTCCATAGGTTGAATTTGTATGGGTGCTAAAGCAGAACCGTAGGCAGCAATGATCAGCGTCCTGTCCTTGGTCACCCCCTTTGAACTTCATCTCTCCAGCTATCTGTCATGGGTCGTTCCCCAGAACTACATTATTCATTGCCACATCGACACACCTTTGAAAAATAATTAAAATGGGGCAACTTAGTGGTGTAATGGTTAGAGCACCAGCCCTGGAGTCAAAACCAGCCTCAGACACTTACTAGCTGTGTGACCCTGGGCAAGTCCCTTAACCCCAATTGCCTTCAAAAGAAAAAGAAAAGAAAAATAATAAAACATGTATATGTCAGACAAAAGCATTTATTAAAGTACTTACTACATGGTACTGAGTAGTTACAGGCACTGAGCTCAAGGAGCTTCTGTTCTTTTGTTTTTTGTTTTGTTTAGGGAATTGGGGTGAAGTGACTTGCCCAGAGTCACGCAGCTAGTGAGTGTTAGGTGTCTGAGGTCACATTTGAACTCTGGAACTCCGGACTCCAGAGCCAGTGCTCTATCCACTGTGCCACCTAGCTGCCCCTGAGGAGCTTCTATTCTAATGGAATACTCAGCATGCAAATAACTATGTATTTACAAACTATATATAGGAAAGTGATTTCAGAGGGATCAAAGCTCAGCCTGTGAGTGAGGAGGGGGCCAGAAAAGGCAAACAGAGGGTGGGATTTGATCACAGTCTTTAAGGAAGCCAGAGAAACTGAGGGCCCCAAGTGAGGGTGGGGAGAGCATGCCATGGATGGAGGACAGTCAGTGCAGATACACAGATACCACATGGATTGTTGTATCTGAGGAACTGTTAGTAAGTCAGTGGAGATGGGTCTTGGAGTGGTGTAGATAGGGTGGCTAGATTGCAAAGCATCTTAGAGGGGGTGGAGGAGAGCATGTGTAAAACCCTTTGCAAATCTTAAAATAAGGGAGGGAGGGAAGGAGGGAGGAAGGAAGGAAGGAAGGAAGGAAGGAAGGAAGGAAGGAAGGAAGGAAGGAAGGAAGGAAGGAAGGAAGGAAGGAAGGAAGGAAGATAAGTATTTACATTACCAGTATTATGTGTCAGGCACTGTGCTAAGCATTTTTTTCTCAAATATTATCTCATCTGATCCTCACAACAACCCTTCAAAGTAAATGCCATTATTATCGCCATTTTATGGTTGAGGAAACTGAGTCAGACAGAGGTTAAGTGACTTGCCCAGCATCACAAAACTAGTTAAGTATATGCATCTGGTTTTGACCTCAAGTCTTGTTGATTCCAGGCCTAGGGGTCTAACCTAGCTGCCAAGTGTTTATTTAGCTCAAAGTGTTATGTAAATGCTAGTTATTGTTATCATTAATAAAGATAACACTTGGCAATGTTTCTCAGTCTTAGGCCTACTTCCGATCCCTGGCCAGCTTTCTTCTGCTGAGGGTCATTCCTGCCTTCCTCCTCCCTCCTCCTTCTGTTCTTGCTTCTGGCAAGACCTCCTGCGGTACAGAAGTAGCTTCTAGATTTTGCTGTTCCCTCTGCTGTCTGTGAAGCAAGCATACAAATCCTCTTTACGTTTCCTAAGAGCTGTTTTTGTTCTTAATTCTAAGAAGCACTAGACCTGGGAACTCTAAGGGAAACAAAACCAGTATGATGTACTGGACGAAGGTCCTTGATTTAGGAGCTACAGTAATAGGAGAAGGAAATCAGCATTAATTAAGTGTCTATTGTGTGCCAGGTTTCCTTCTCCAGCTCATTTTACAGATGAGGAAACTGAGGCAAACAATGTTAAGTGACTTGCCCAGGGTCACACAGCTAGTAAGTATCTGAGGTCAAATTTGAACTCAGGTCTTCCTGACCCCAGTCACAATGCTCTCATTTTACATATGAGGATTTTTGTTGCTCAGTTGTTTGGGTCACGTCTGACTCTTCATGACCTGATTTGGGGTTTCCTTGGCAAAAATACTAGAGCGGTTGGCCATTTCCTTCTCCTGCCTATCTTACAGATGAGGAAACTGAGACAAACAGAATTAAGTGATTTGCCCAGGGTCATGCAGACGGTAAAGTGTCTAAGGCCAAATCTGAACTGGTTCTTCCTGACTCCAGGAAGATGGGCTGTGCTCATTTTGGAGAGATGAATACAAGAGGCAGCAGAGTACAGGGAAAGAGCAATGGCTTTGGAGTTGATAGAGCTGGGTTTTGAAGCCTAGCTCTTCTGTTTACTCTCTGTGTGATCTTGGGCAGCTGATCTCACTTTTCTGAGATTTGTTTTCTTCATCTGTAAAATGAAGGGGAGGAATAATAGTCATTCAGTTGTGTCCGACTCTTCCTGACCTCATTTGAGGTTTTCTCGGCAAAGAGACTTCTCCAGACCATTTTACAGACAAGGCAACTGAGGCAAATAGGGTTAAATGACTTACCCAGGGTCACATAGCTAGTAAGCGGTTGGTGCTGGATTTGAACTCATGAAGATGAGTCTTCCTAACTCCAGGTCCTGTACCACCTAGCTGCCCCACCGGGAGGAATTCTAAGGGTCCTGTATAAGTGCTTCGTCTCTTCTCCTTACAGGAGGACATGTAGTCCCAGACTTCTTGTCTCTCTTTTGCAGCCTAGAGAGAGGAGAAGGCCTGCCAGGGTGCTGACGATGGGTGGTTGTGACATGTGATGGGAGACATGCACAGACTCCATCCACTTACTCAGATGGCATTTCCCAATGAAGTATATACTAGGCAGCATCTGTGCATGTGCCCGACCCCTATTGCAGACGTACAAAAGATTGAATTAAGATTTATCAGTGTTTAGAGGAAATCCAAAAAGAGCTCTTGACAGGCTAGGATTCTGATGGCGTTTAAGAAAGTGAAATTTAGCAGAGCCAGGAAAACGATATACACAATGCTTACAACAAGGTAAATGGAAAGAATGAAGGGGCAAGGGATGCTCCAAATTGAAGATTGCATGATTACAATGACCAAGCTTGGCCTGAAGAAGGGATGAGAAAACATGCATACCTCCGTTGTTTGCAGAGGTGGGAGGCTATGGGTGTGGAATGTTGCATACACTGTCAGATTTCTTTGCTGAATGTTTCCTTCCCTCTTCCTCTTCGGTCCTTTGTTATAAGGGATGGCTCATTGCTGAGAGAAGGGAGAAAGAATATATTTAGAAATTAAGGAGATATAAAACATAAAGGCTATCAATAGAAATGAGGCTTTTATTTAAAAAGAAATTTAACTGGGATAAACATGAAATTTGCCCGGTATGGGTTGGATTGGATGACCAGTATGTCCCTTCCAACTCTGAAATTCTATAATCCCAGGCTTAGTGCTTTGTTTTGTTTTTCATAAAGAAAGCTAAAAAAGGCATTTCTTCCCAGTGATGCCGAAGGGTAGTGCTCTCACACAATGTAACACAGACCATTGCCCTTCCCGACCCTGGGCCCCCAGAGAATAACTTGTCCACCCACGATGCCTCCCTTCACAGGAAGGAGAAGCTGCTGAAGAGAATCCAGGCCCGACGGCACCAGCTAGAGGGATTCCAGCAGCTACAGAGATTCCTACAAGACTGCTGTGAGGTTCGATGATTTTTCTACTCCCTATGTACAATGGCCAAGTCTGGCCCTACCAGGCTGTGGGTGGCAGTGGGAGGGACAGATGGCGAGGGAGCTACCTCACTGAGAAACCTGGAATAACCGGCTCTGGGTTCAAATCCCACCTCTGATGCTTTACTGCCTGTGTGACCTTGGGCAAGTCACTTAACCTGCCTGGGTCTATTTCCTTCTCTGCAAAATGAAGAGGTTGGCCTAGAGTGCTCATTCTAGATCTCTGAGTCTAATTATTCTAAGCTCATTCTAGATCTATGAATCTAATTCTGATTCTTCTAAAGTCATTCTAGAGCTCTGAATCTAATTCTTATTCCTCTAAGCTCATTCTAGATCCATGAATCTAAGTGTTTTTTTATCTTTTAATTAATTTATTTATTTTTAGTTTTCAACAATCACTTCCATAAGCTTTTGAGTTTTAAATTTTTCTCCCACTCCCTCCCTACTTCCCTTCCCAAGATGGCACACAATCTGATATAGTCTATACATATACATTCCTATTAAACATATTTTTATATTAGTCATGTTGTAAGGAAGAATTAGAACCAATAGAAGGAACCACAAGAAAGAGGAAACAAACAAAATAGAAGAAAAAAATGAGCAAATAGTATGCTTCAATCTGTATTCAAACTCCATAGCTCTTTCTTTGGATGTAGATAGCATTTTTCATCATGAGACTTTTGGAGATGTCTTAGATTCTTGCATTGCTGAGAAGAGCTAAGTATCAAAGTTAGTCATCACACAAGGTGGCTGTTACTGTGTACAATGTTCTCCTGGTTCTGCTCACTTCACTCAGCGTCAGTCCATACAAGTCTTTCCAGGTTTTTCTGAAATCCACTTGCTCATCATTTCTTATTGCACAATAGTATTCTATTACATTCACATACCACAGCTTGTTCAGCCATTCCCCAATTGATGGGCATCCCCTTGATTTCCAATTCTTTGCCATCATAGAAAGAGCTGCTAGAAATATTTTTGTACATGTGGGTCCTTTTCCCATTTTATTTCCCATTTCCCATCTCTTTGGGATACAGCCCTAGAAGTGCTATTGCTGGGTCAAAGGGTATGCATATTTGTATAGCCCTTTGGGCATAGTTCCAAATTGCTCTCCAAAATGGTTGGATCATTTCACAACTCCACCAACAATGCATTAGTGTTCCAATTTTCTCCCATCTTGTCTAACATTTGTCATTTTCCTGTTTTGTCATGTTGGCTAATCAGATAGGTGTGATGTGGTACCTCAGAGTTGTTTTGATTTGCATTTCTCTAATCAATAGTGATTTAGAGCCTTTTTTCATATGACTAAAAATAACTTTAATTTCTTCCTCTGAAAACTGCCTATTCATATCCTTTGACCGTTTATCAATTGGGGACATGAATCTAATTCTTCTGAACTCATTCTAGATCCAAGAATCTAATTCTAATTTTTCTAAGTTCATTCTAGATCTAGGAATCTGATCCTCCTAAACTCATTCTAGATCTATGAATCTAGTCCTAATTCTTCTAAGCTCATTCTAGATCTATGAATCTAATATGAATCTAATTATTCTAAGCTCATTCTAGATCTATAACTCTAATTCCTTTTTTTTTTTTTTTGCTAAAGCGATTTGGGTTATGAAGTTTTAATTCTTCCAAGCTCATTCTAGATCTACGAATCACCCCCCAGGACAGAATTCTCCTGTTTAAGGGCAGACACAGACATCTCTATTAGAAGGCAGGGACTGAGAATGGCAGCAGGTCCCTCAAGTTCCTTGTTCTTCCTCTTCTTCAGGTGTCCATGTGGCTGAGTGAGAAGAACCTTGTGGCCTTAGATGAAGGTTGGCGGGACCCCAGCACCCTGCAGGCCCAGCTGCAGAAGCATCAGAGCTTTCAGGCCGAGCTGGATGCCAATGTTACCCAGCTTCAGAAAGTACAAACAGTAAGAGCTCCCAGGGAAAGGACACGTGTATTAGTAAGGATGGGATGCCAGCAGACTGTAGGCTGCCAGAGCTACAGGAGCCCCGTGGACTTGCCCGGCACCACTACCCCACTTAGTTTAGGGACTAGTACAATAACCTCTAGTCTCTCCCCCTCTCCAATGCATTTTTTTTAAGCAATTGGGGTTAAGTGACTTGCCCAGGGTCACACAGCTAGTGTCTAAAGCTGGATTTGAATTCAGATCATCTGGACTCCAGGGCTGGTGCTCTATCCACTGTGCCACCAATGTATTCTCTACACAGCTGCCTAATTAGACTGCTAGAGGCGTATCAGACGCAACACGTCCAAAATGATGTTCTATACAGTGGGGTGGCCCAGGGAGTACAATGATGGACTTGGAGTCAGAAAGACCTGAGTTCAAGCCCTGCCTCAGACATTTAGGAACTGTGTGACCTTGGGACAAGTTATTTAACTTCTATATACCGTCTGTTTCCTCATCCATGTTAGACTCGATGGCCCTGAAGATTTCTTTCAGCTCTAAATCTGCAATCATCTATGATTTTCCCCCAGAATGCAACTGCTTCCTAATTTCCTTTTTCTGTCGAGGACACTCACATCCTTCCAGTTCCCCGGATTCACAATCTCAGAATCATTCTTATCTCCTTACTCTCCCCCGTCCTCTGTATCTGTTGTTGTTCAGTCATTTCAGTAGGGTCTGACTCTTCCTGACTCCATTTTGGAGTTTTCTTGGCAGAGATATTGGAGCAGTTTGCCATTTCCTTCTCCAGCTCATTTTACACATGAGGAAACTGAGGCAAACAGGGTTAAATGACTTGCCCAGGGTCACACAGCTAGTAAGTGTCTGAAGCCAGATTTGAACTCAGGTCTTCATCTCTCTAGGCTCACTGCCTACCTAGCTGCCCCTCCATATCTAATCAATTCCATATCCAATCAGCGAGTCTTGTTGATTCCAATTCCACAGGATCTCTCATGTCCATCGCCTTCTGCCCACTCACACAACCACTACCCCACTTAGTTCAGGGACTAGTACAATAACCTCTAGTCTCTCCCTCTCCAATGCATTTTTTTAAGCAATTGGGGTTAAGTGACTTGCCCAGGGTCACACAGCTAGTGTCTAAAGCTGGATTTGAATTCAGATCATCCGGACTCCAGGGCTGGTGCTCTATCCGCTGTGCCACCAATGTATTCTCCACACAGCTGCCAAATACATAGTCCTAAAGCTTCGGCCTGACTCTTTCCTAGAAGCTTCAGCAGTTCCCTATGGATAGACATTGGGGTTAATTCCAGCTCTCTGCCGCCATCTCTACCCCACCACCTGGGCCAAGAGATGGATAAATTCTTCTTTTTGACTTCAGGAAGGGGAGAAACTGCTGAAGGAGGGGCACCCTGCCCTGGAGACCATTCAGGAGAGACTGCAAGAGATAGGAGATCTCTGGAGTCAGCTGCAGGCCAACTGCCTCCAGAAGGGAACCAAATTACAGGATGCTCATAAGGTGGTGATGGGGCCATGGAGGTGGAGGTGGGGGCCAGGGGCTAACCAGAGGGGCTGGGAAAAGGGGATCTCCTCCCCTTCCTCTCATACTCCATTTACACTCTCCTCTCCCCCAAGGCCGTGCATTTCCAGAGGAAAGCCGAGGAGGTGGAAAGGTGGCTGGAGAATGTAGAAGAAGAGCTTCGGGCTCCACTGGGTGGAGAGGACTTAGCAGGTGTGAAGGAGCTGCTGACCACCCAGGGGGAGCTGGAGGCAGCCATGGAGGGCCAGGAGGGACCAGTGCAGGCACTGATGGACCAGGCCCATGCCTTTAGCTGTGAAGATCACTTCCTAGCTGGGGAGATGGGAGAACAGGCCCAGCGGCTGCTACAGAGGTACGCAGTTTGTCCTGCCTCTATCCCATGTGTCTTGCATTCCACATTTCTTCTCTTGCCTTGCTCTCATCCTCTTCAGCTTCTACTTTTTCCTTCCCCGAAGGGAAGTGTCTTAAGAGAACCCCACCTTAGGTTTTATCTCCCTCAGGTCCCCATTCATCTCTCTCTTTGGAGGCTGTCTCTCATTTCTGTTGGTTAACAAGTACATATTAAGCATTTACTATAGGCCAAGCACTGAGGATCCAAAGAAAGGCAAAAACAGTCCCTGCCCTCAAGGAACTTACATTCTAATGAGTGAGAAAACTTGGAAGGAAAAAAGTATACACACAAGATATGTACAGGGTCAGTGGAAGATAATCTCAGAGGGAAGGAATTGAGGGATGAGGGGAAGGCCAAGAAAGGCTCCTGCTTAGAAGCAGGATGCAATGAGGAAGAGCATTTCCAGGTTTGGGGGACAGCCAGTGTACAGATACAGTCAGGAGATGGAATGTCTTATGGGAGGAACAGCAAAAAGGCCTGTGTTGCTGAAGTATATAATGAGGAATTAGGGATAAAAGACCGAAAAGGTAGGAAGGGGCCAGTTGTGAAGAGCCTTAAATACCAAAGACAGGATGTTGTATTTGGCCCTGGAAGTGGTAGGGAGCCAGGAGTTTTCTCAGTAGAAGAAGTGAGGGGCCTGGCCGAGCGTGGTCAGCCCTGTGCTTTAGGATGATCCCTTTGATCCCTGAGTGGACGATGGATTGGAATGGAGAGGGATTTGTGACAGGGACAGCTGCAGGCTTGGGCAGTAGTCCAGGAGAGTGGCATTATGTGAGTGGTGGGAAAGCATGTCAGAGGTGTTGTTAAGGTGAAATAATAAAACTCATCAATAGGTGGCATAAGTGTGGTGACTGTGAGTGAAGAGTTAAGGATGATACACCAAGGTTTCAAGCCCAGGGAACTGGAAGGTTGGTAGTGCCCTCGGGAGAAATAGGGAAGTGTTACAAGAAGGGAAGACTTGTGGGGAAAGATAAGTTCTGTTTTGAGGCAGGTTGAGTTTCAGTGTTTCTTCTTCTGCTATCTCTCCCTTCCTCACCCCCACTGCCGTTGGTGGCTGTCCCATGCCAGGTACACAAATCTGAGAGAGCCCCTCCGGGAGCGCCGGGGGACCCTGGAGTCCAAGAGCCTTCTGTACCAGTTCTTCCAGGACGCAGAGGATGAGCTGGCTTGGGTTCAGGAGAAGCTGCCCTTGGCTACAGCCCAAGAATATGGACAGACCTTGAATGCTATTCAGCAACTCCAAGAAAAGCACCAGGTGGGCGGCAACCTCTCTGGGGAATGAAAAGAGTGTGTGTGTGTGTGTGTGTGTGTGTGTGTGTGTGTGTGTGTGTGTGGGGGAGGGATGATGGGGGATATTTGACCTCCAGAGCTAGGTTCAAGCTCTAGGGGGAATTCAGAGCATCCTGGATTTAGGGCTGGAAGAGATCATAGAGATCAGTCCAGGTCCCTTCATTTTATAGATGAAGAAACTAAGTCCCAGAGAGGCTGAATTGCCCAAGGTCAGCAGTAGGATGTAAGCTCCTTGAGGGCAGGGAACGTTTTCATTTTTGTCTTTTCTACCCCAGTATCTTGGACATAGGGAGTAGGGGCTTAAGGAATGTTTGTTGAATTTAATTGACCAACCCAGCTCTTCTGCTCTCTCCTGTCCTCGAACTCATCTCATACCACCCCACCCCCACTGCCAATGGTGGCATTGGAGACCCAAGATTCAAAACTAAATCCCTATAAATCCAAACTCTTTCTATTATACCATCTTATCTCTCATGCTAGCACTGAGAAGGAGCAATGTGGAACAAGGACTGGACCTGTAATTTTATTGGTACAGGGAATTTCTGGGTAAGGAAACTCCCTTTACTAATGTAGGTTGGCACCTAGGTTCTCTATAACCCATAGTTTTAGTTGCCTAGAGCACTGAAAGGTTAAGTGACTTGCCCAGGGTCACACAGCCCTGCTTTCAGAAATAGCATTTGAGCCCAGGTCTTCTTTACTTCAAGCTCATCTTTCTATCAACCATGCCATGACGCCTCTAATGGAATAGGACAAGGAATTCTTAGCATCTCTTTTTGGTTGTGACAAAGTCTTTGGGGACATATCTGTGGGTGCCTTTATGTTGGGGAGCTATGAGGATTCATGGACTTCTAGAGGCCCCTTCTTTTGAACTTACAGAACTTGGAAGATGAGATCAGCAGCCATGAGGCTCTGGCCCAGGTGGTGCTGGACACAGGTCACAAGCTGGTTCAGGGGGGGCATTTTGCTGCCAGTGAGGTGGCTGCCCGGCTCCAGCAGCTGAAAACCGCCATGGGCAGACTTCAGGGGGAGGCAGAGCAGAGACGATGGAGGCTTCAGCAAGTTTGTGAGGCCCGGCGGTTTCTAACAGAGGTGAGAAGGGTGAGAGATGGCAGAAGGAGAAGGAACGAGGAGGGACCTGGGATTTTGAGATAAACCACATTAGATTATAGGATCGTAAATTTAGAGCCAGAAGGGAACTGTAAGCCCCTCGTTTACTCGGGAGCCCTCCTTCATAACTCCTTGGCATGCCCCCCAAAGGTTTTTTTGATGTTCAGTAGTGTCTGACTCTTCACGACCTCATCTGGGCTTTTCTTGGCAAAGATACTGGAGGGGGTTGCCATTTCCTTCTCCAACTCATTTGACGGATGAGGAAACTGAGGCAAACAAGATTAAGTGACTTATCCAGGGTCACACAGCTAGTAAGTATCTGGGCCTGGATTTGAACTCAGGAAGATGAATTCCAAGCCCAGTCTCTACCCACTGCACTACCTAGCTCCCCTCCTCGAAGATAAGACTATACTTATTTCTTTTCTCCCTTTGAATTTTTCTCAGGCTGAAATCCCTAAGAACAATAATCTAATCTCACTGAATTACTCCCCAGCTCCTCGAGGCAGAATCCTGGCTGTCAGAACGAGGCCAGCTCCTGGACCGTGAGGAGCTGGGGCAGAACGAGGAGACCACTGGGGCCATGCTGCGGAGGCTAGAGGTCACAAGGAAGGATCTGGAAGGATTCTACACTCGGCTTGAAAAGCTGCAGGAGACAGGCACCCACCTGGAGGGCAGACCCAACCCAGACAGGTAAGCAAGATAGCAGAGAGGAGAAAGGTGAGTAAAGATAAGCCAAGGAGATGGCTGAGAAATTGGACTCATCGTGCAGAGGTCATCATGAGATCGTAGGATCAGAACCTTAGAGCTGGAAGGGACTTGGAGGCCATTTATTTAGTTCAATGAACGCTTCCTTTTACAAATGAAGAAACTGAGTCCCAGGGACTCAAAAGCCCAAAGTCACATGGGTAGTAAGCATCTGAGGCAAGCATTGAAGAAAGGACACCAGGGGCAGCAAAGTGGTGCAGTAGATAGAGCACCAGCCCTGGAGTCAGGAGGACTTGAGTTCAAATCTGGCCTCAGATACCTACTAGCTGCATGACCCCTGGACAAGTCACTTGACTCCAATTTTGTCCACAAAACAAAAAAAGAAAGAAAAGATGCCATCTTCAAGATGACCCCAGCTGACCCTCTTCTTATTCCTAGCCTTACAGCACTGACCCATCTACAAACTCTGAGGGAGACCCACAAGGGGTTACTGCAGAAGGCCAAGATCTGGGGGCGATGCCTGCAAGAGCAGCAGGACCTTTTTCAGCTGGAGCGGGAGGCCCAGCTTCTGGATACCTGGTTGTCAGGCAAGCAGGCCACAGCTGAGTCCCAAGACTACGGGCAGGACCTGGAGGATGTCAAGGTGACTTCTGCACAGTCCTTGTGACAAAGTGCTATCCTGATGAGAGATGAAAAGGGGAGGGTGACTGTATGGTGAGGAAAGAAGTCATGAGGAGGGAGAGGACCCCAGGATGTGGGGAGGGAATGGGGCCAAGGTTGATTAATTAATGAAGGGACAGCCAGGCCCAGCCAAGATTCTCCTGTGTCGCTGGGCTGCAGGTATAGTGGGAATATCTTCGGGGTGGGTGGGGTGTCCTTCCCTCAATCAGTCATGGGATCATTCAGTCTTGAAATATTTCTTTAAGGCCATGCTCTGTGTTAGATGAAAGTAAACAGCCTGTGTCTTTGAGAATCTGGCAACTCTATGTTTTTAGATAGGTTATATGCAAGACACATTAAAAAAATTGTTAACGGTATTTTATTTTTTCCAATTACATATAAAGATAATTTTTAACATTCATTTTTAATAAAATTTTGGGTTCCAAGTTTTCTCCCTCTCTCCCTTTCCTCCCCCCTCCCTAAGATAGTAAACAATTTGATATAGATTATATATGTATATGCAAAACAGATACAAAGTGATTTGTGGGGGCAAGGGTACTAGAAACCAGAGTTCAGATCCTAGCTCTGATGATGACTACCTCTCTGGGTCCCAGCTTCATCATCTATAAAGTAGAAGGATTGCGCTACATGTCAAGCCAGTCAATAAACATTTATTAAGCACCTACTGTATGTAAAAGACAGTCCTTGCTCTCCAGGAGCTCAGCTGTAGAGATGAATAGTTTAATGTCCGAGGTGGTATGTAAGCTGAGCCTGAAAGGAAACCAGCGTTCTCAAATGCAGAGGGGAAGAGGGGGTATGTTCTAGGCAGGGCAAAGATGCAGGGAGGGAAGATGGAATTCTGGGTCCTACACTTGCAGGTGCTGGAAGAGAAGTTCCATACTTTCCAAAAGGAAGTACAGACCTTGGGGCCAGCCAAGATTCAGGGCTTTCTCGAGCTGGCTGGCAAGCTGGAGCAGGCAGCCCCCAGGTGCTACCCCAAGATCCAGGCTCGAAGGAGCCGCATCGAGGACTCCTGGGAACAGCTGAACAAGGCAATGAGGACCCGCGCAGAGGTACAAGCTAAACAGACCTGCCAGAGAGCAGCAGACGGGCCACAGCAGGGGCTAGGTGGACCAGGAGATAGAGCACTGGGCCTGGGGTCAGGAAGACCCTGAGTTCAAATCTGGTCTCAGACACTAGCTGTGTGACCTCAGGAAGTCACTTAACCTCTGTTTGCCTCAGTTTCCTCATCTGTAAAATGAGAGCATTGGGCCTGGGGTCAGGAAGACCTGAGTTCAAATCTGGTCTCAGACACTTACTAGTTGTGTGACCCTAGGCAAGTCACTTAAAAAAAAACAAACAACAACTTCTACTTGCCTCAGTTTCTCCATCTGTAAAATGGGGATAAAAATAGCATCTATCTCACAGGGTTGTTGTGAAATTCAAAGGACACATGTAAAGAGCTTTGCAAATTTTAAATTGTTGTGCAAGTGTTAGCTATTTAATAATAGCTAACACTGTTTGCTAGGTGTTAATAATAATAATAATAATGATAATTAACACTATTCTATTGTTATCATCATTCCAGTGGCTCAGTTCTCCTATGCTCTGGCTTCTCACTGTACTGTTGGTCATTAATATGCAAATGAATTCCAACCTTGAGGGTGAGGTCAGCTGGTTGTCAGCCCCTGACAGGATTCTGGAGCTTAAGTTTGAGAGGGAAGTCCCAGATTCTACCAAATCTGATGCCCCACCCAGCAGGCCCTCCCCCAGTTCATGACCATGGCCTTTTCATCAAGGAAAGTTGAAATACCTAGTCCTTTTGGCCAGCCCCACACTGTGAAATGCAAGCTTCATCCTACTTTTTTAAGTATATACCAAAGCCTTCAGCACAAGTCATTAAGTTTCTGTGGGATGGGTAGTGTAACTATCCATGCCACTGTGAAAGAGACTGATCAATGGTGTGCTGGAACCAGCTCGTACCAGAGCTGACTATTAAGTTTTCAGCATGAGCATTTACCCCTCCGAAATGAGCAAAAACTACAAATTAGGACTAGATATATTGTTTTGCTACTTGTCTAGACCAGAAGTGTCCAAACTGAGGTAGCAGCTGCATGCCCTGCAAAACTCCCTAACCAAATTAAAATGTAACTGTGAAATGTTTAATAAAATAAATAAAAATATAATAAAATATAGATAATGTTAATTTGTGATTTTCTAAGTCAATATCTATTTCTATTTGAGCTTGACACTACTGGTCTAGATTTAAGAAAGTGATGGAAAAAATGCTTATGGTACACATTTAACTTTTTTTTGTTTTTCACATTTAACTTAAAAGTGTATCTTGCATAATTTTTTCCCCCAGAGAGCTATCTCTGTGGGGTGGGTATTATTGTTATTGTGCCCATTCCACAGATGGTTAATCTAGATCTCAAAGTGAGGGAGTGACTTGCCCATGGTTCACGGAGGGTTGTGTACATATGACAGAGCAGTGCATGTTTTTTAAGAGTTGGAAGTACCAGGTAGCCTGGAGATTAAGTATTTGGTGTGCAGGTGTCTATTTAAAACATTATTCAAAAGTGATTATAGTTCAGTATTAAATCCAGACATTGGTGGGCAATGGTGTAGGTTCTGATAATGTTCCGGTTTGGTTAATTGGTTGAGATATTTTGGGATTTGTATTTGTATTATAGGAACTTGTCATTTATTAGTTCATAAAAGAAAGAAAGCTTCTGATGTATAATTCTAAAAAGCAGTTCATGCCTTGCTAGGTATTTGGAAGGTATTACATTTTTGTAGCCTAGAAAATAAAGACTGTGTGTGTATGTATGTATGTGTGTGTGTGTGTGTGTGTGTGTGTGTGTGTGTGTGTGTGAGAGAGAGAGAGAGAGAGAGAGAGAGAGAGACAGAGACAGAGACAGAGTGACAGAGAGAGAGAGATGGAGAGATAGAGAGAGAGATGGGGGAGAGAGACAGAGCGAGAGAGAGAGAGAGAGACAGCGAGAGAGAGAGATGGAGAGATAGAGAGAGAGATGGGGGAGAGAGAGAGAGAGAGAGAGAGAGAGAGAGAGAGAGAGAGAGAGAGAGAGAGAGAGAGAGAGAGAGAGAGAGAGATGAAAGTAGCATAGGGTGGCTGGGCTTTTGCACAAAACACCAACACCCCTGGCCCCTGGGCTGCCACCCCACCAGGGTCCATTGACCCTCATGGCCTCCCAGCGGGCTCTTTTCCACCAACTTAGACTGCATACATATAAGGCCACCTAGTTCTGGGCCCAGCTTAGACTGTAGCAGCAGCAGCAGCAGCAAAATCAGCAGCAAAACGGATGACCCTGTGCCCCTCCCCACAGATAACTCAGTCCTATCCCTCCCCCACCCCTTATCTTTTTCTGCTCCCTTCCCACCATTCCTTTTGCAACTCTCTACCGTTGCTAAAACTCTTCATCTTAGATCTTCCTCTCACATTCATAAGATAATTAATAATAAATAATAATGATAGCTAATTTTTTAGCACAAAGATTCACAAAGTGCTTTGCAATATTTGCAAAGTGCTTAACACAGTCCCAGGCAGTAAGTAGTAGGGGGTTAGTAAATGCTCATTTCCTTCCTTCCATTACAAAGCTGATCTCACTGTATCCTCACAACGACCCCGGGAGGGAGGTGCTTTATTAATCCTCTTTTGGCGAATGAGTAAATAGGGCAGACAGACTTGGCCAGGGCCATAGGGTTTGTAAGTGTCTGAGGTCAGCATTTGAACTCGGGTCTTCCTGACTCCAGGCCCAGTGCCTGGAAGGGATCTCAGATTCAATCCCTTCATTTTTTAAAGATGAAGAGGCAATCCCAGGGAAGCTAAATGACTTGCCCAAAGTCACTCTGATAGTAAGCATCAGAAGCTGGATTTGAACCCAGGACCTCTGACTCCAGAAACAATGATCTTTCAACTATCCCAAGATGCCTTGATGCTCACTGAAACCTAGCTTTCTCCAGAAGGCACACGGCTCTTGGTTCGCTCTCTAAGGCTGGCTGCTCCTTCACTCCCCCTCCCTAAAATGCTCAAGGCAAGGAGACTGAGTTTATAGACTTTGCTCCCCACTTTAAGGCCTGCCTTCTGCCAGCATCACTCACCAATCACCACTGGTCCCTTACAGCTCACCCCATCATTCCCAGATCCTTCTTATCATATCTATGGACCTTCAGGTATCCCCCCCCCCCAGCTCCCAATAAGTTATTGTCTTCTACATCCCAGGCTTTTTCCCTCTGAACATCCAGGCCTCCCAGTTCCTCAACTTCCCTGCTTCCGTGACCTCTGTGTTCAACGTATCTCTGCCACAAGCGTGCAGAATGGTAGTCATACCTTAGAAGCCCTTCCCCTGCTCAGTGCAGTGCACCCCCAATTTGCCTCGGTTGCTAAAACTCTTACTTAGGGCTTTAGATATTCCTTATACAAGGAGACCAGGTTACCATTTAAAGATCTAGGATTTACGGGAGTTTATTATTTTTTTTTCTTGTTCATCAGTGGCAAGAAGGAAAAATACATTCTAAGCTAACAATTGAGGCATTCCAAGAAACGAGGCTGGTTTTCTCCCAAGCTTTGTGGAAATCAGTCTTTTTATTGTCAGGCTAAGCAAAAACCCTTTTACCACTTCTGTTTTGGGCAACCCCCTGATCTCTTGTGCTGTGGTTTTAGGAGAAGGAGTATGAGATTCTAAGTAAGAAGACAAGTCCTAGGTCTGCCACTTAGCTACCTACATGACCTTGGGAAAGTCTCTTTGCCTCACTGGGCCTCAGTTTCCCCATATGTAAAATAAGGCCATTAGACCAGATGGCCTCTGAAGTGCTAGATCTGTGGTCCTGTGACCCTGCTTCACCTCAGTTTCCCTATCTGTAAAATAAGGCAGTTGGACCAGATAGCCTCTGAACTGCTAGACCCTGCGACCCTGAATGAATCCCTTCACCTTACCAGACCTCAGTTTCCCGATCTGTAAAATAAGGGATTAGACTAAATAGCCTCTACAGTGTTTTCCAGCTCTAAATCCTATACTTCCATACCTGTGATGGGCAAGGCATTGGCAGTATAGTAGAGGAAGTGAAGCGGTTTATTGCATCTGGAGACAGAAATATGTGGATTCAAGTCCTACGTCGGATACTGGTTACATGACCCTGGCCAAGCCATTTAACTACTCGAGCCTCAGTTTCCTCATCTGTAAAATGGTGATACTAATGGAACCACTTTATGGTGAGGCTCAAGTGGGACAATATATGTAGAGCTCTTGGGCAACTAGGTGGTGTAGTAGATGCCTAGAATCAGGAAGACCCGAGTTCAAATCTGGCCTCAGACACTTATTAGCTGTGTAATCCTAGGTGAGCCACTTAACCCTGTTAGCCTCAGTTTCCTCATCTGTAAAATGAGCTGGGGAAAGAAATGGCAAACCACTCCAGTATCTTTGCCAAGAAAGCCCCAAATGAGGTCGAGTCAGATATGACTGAAAAACAACTGAACAATAACATCTGATTCCAGAGCTAGGGGTCTGTCCAGTCACACCTTCCAGTTCTTTTACTGTCTTCCCAGAACCTGGTGGCTGCCAGAGAGGTCCATGGCTTTGATCAGGCAGTGGCTGAGTTATGGAGCTGGATACAGGAAAAGGCCACTGTGCTGGGTCAAGGGGACTATGGCCACAACCTGTCATCTGTGCAGGCCCTTCAACGACACCAAAGGAACCTGGAGGTAGGTGAGGGAACCTGAGATCTGGGAGAGTGGGACAGCAGATTCCCCTTCCCACAGGCCTGAGTTAGCACAACCTTCTGGGCTGTGACGAGGTGTAAGGGAGCAAGGGGGGTGCAAGAGAGTGGGAGAGGGGAGGGAGGGAGGGAAGGAGAGAGGAGAGAGAGGAGAGAGGATGAGAGAGAGAGAGAGAGGAGAGAGAGAGAGAGAGAGAGAGAGAGGAGAGAGAGAGAGAATGAGAACACAGAGGAGGAGAAATGGGGAGTCTAGGGTTGAGACTGGAAGCATAGGAGAGGGAGGGAGGGAGGAGGAGGGAGAGAGAGAGAGGGAGAGAGAGGGAGGGAGGGGAGAGAGAGAGAGAGAGAGAGAGAGAGAGAGAGAGAGAGAGAGAGAGAGAGAGAGAGAACAGAGGGGAGAAGGAGAGGTCAGGAGTCTAGGGTTGAGATTGGAAGAATAAGAGAGGGATGGAGGGAGGAGGAGGGAGAGAGAGGGAGAGAGAGAGAGAATAAGAACACAGAGGAGAAGGAGAGGTAGGGAGTCTAGGGTTGAGGATATGGAAGAATAGGAGAGCAAGGGAAGGAGGGAGGAGGAGGAGGAGAGAGAAGGGGGGAGAGTCTAGGGGTGAAGACAGGAAAAAATGAAAGGAGAGAGAGTAAAAAGGAGAGGAGGAAAGAGAGAAGGAGAGAAGAGAGAGAGGAGAGGGAGGGGGAAAGGAGGGGAGAAGGAGGATTCTGGGCCAGGGAGCACAAATCCCAGGGGAGTGTGGTCTGCTAATGTTCCTTGGTTGCAGCGGGAGCTGGTAGCCATGGAGAAGGAAGTGGGCCGGGTGCGGGCTGAAGCAGGCTGGCTGGGCCGGCTGTACCCGGCCGTTCAGGAAAGCCTGGCCGAGAGACTGGCAGAGGTGCAGGAGTCCTGGAGCGCGCTGGACAAAAAGGCCCAGAATCGAAGCCAGTGGCTGCAACAAGCTGAACGTGGCCACGTCTTCCTAAGCCGCTGTAGAGAGCTGCTGTGAGTGGGGGCTGGCCTAGTCATTCCCTCCCCTCCATAGAGCCTGAGTCTGGTTCCAGCCCAGCCTCGCACAGGCTGGGCCGCTGTGCTCTGACCTGGTCAGACCCCACTGGCAGTACTGTGTCTGATCTGGGCAGGGGGTGGGCGAGAGGAGACATCCTGGGGAGGAGACTCAGGCAAGCTGGAGAACATCTAGAGGAAGGCAGCCAGCATGGTGAAGGGCTTTGAGTTCATGCCCGGGGGGGGGGGTCAACTGAAGCAGCTGGAAGAGAGGACTCAGGACTTCAAATACTTGAAGGCTGTCAGGTGTGAGAGGAATAAAGCCCCAAGAGGGTGGTAGACCTGGGAAACACTGGGCCTTCTGGCAAAGAGCCCAGTTTAAGCCTGATGCCAAGAAAAGTTTCCTACCAACGATTGCTGTCCAAAAGTAGAGCTGTTCCTCCTTGTTGGTGGTCTTCAGACAAAGGCTGAAAGATCACTTACCAGGTGTGGTGTAGAGGTTGGGGTGTGGGGAAGGATGCTTCTTCATTGGATACCTCATCTATCCGGTAGCCTTTCAGCTCGGGATCAAGAGCGTGCTGGGGAATGCTTAACAACCCACTCTCCAGGAAAGAACTGTGCACAGGAAACACTTTGAAGTTTAATCTGCATTTTTGACACTTTCTCCGTCACTTTCCAGACTTAAGTCTGGACAATCGACAAGACAGTAAATCAGACCCTGATTTGCCATGTTTGCAGATTTCCTGGGCATAAATGTTCACTCTGAAAATTTGACAATCGGTTCTCAGGAGCCTGGCTCCTAAGATCCCATTTAAGCTGGCTCTGGCACACCCCTGCTAGACCCAAGCAACAGTGCTGAGAGGCTTCCCTCACTTTCTCCCAAGGTGGCCCACAGGGGATGTCCATTGGTGGTCCTTTGCTCTCACCAAATGTACATTTTGTTTTTCACTCTCACATTTACTTGACAATTATAGCTCTAAGGACCCAAGAGGCCACTAATCTAACCTAGACTTCATTTATACACATGAAGAAACTGAGGCCTGGAGAAATAAAGTACTTGCCCACGGTCACATGGCCAATAAGCATCAGGGTTAGGATTTGAAATCAGGTTCTCTGACTCCAGAGCCAGTGGTCTTCCCAATGGACCGCCCTGTCTCCTTTGGAGAAGGGGACAAGAAAGCATGCCCTTTGTGATGATGACACCCTTCTGGGTTCTCCAGGCTCTGATCCAAGTCTCTTTGCCCCCCAGAGGGCTGACCCGAGAGATGCAGAGGTTAGCGACGTTGGAAGAGCCGTTCGGGGACGTGACCAGGGCGGAGCGACAGTTGCTGCAGCACGAAGGGCTCGGGGAGGACATTGAAGAACACCGGCTTCTGGTGCAGGCTGCTCAGCGAGAAGGAGAGCAGCTGGCAGGCAGCGGCCATTTTATGGCCCAAGAGGTCAGTGCAGTAGAAGAGATGGGAACAGAAGTCAAGGATAGGCTGGCTTTGGGAGGGAGCCCCAGCAAGGAGAGGGAAATCTGGGGGTGAGGATGTGGAAGAATGGGAGCTCAGAGTGTGGGGGGAGCTAGGAACCCAAGGCCTCTGTCTCATGGATGGTCCAGCCTTGCCCAGTCCGGCCGACCTGGGCCCATCCTCTGTCTTCTGTAGCGGCTTGGTGGCATAGGAGATAGAGCCTCAGGCTTGGAGTCTTGAGCATTGAGCTCAAATCCCGTCCTATACAACTGCTAGTGGTGTGACCTTGGCCAAATCACTTAACCATTCTGTGCCTCAGTTTCCCCATCTGAAGAATGGGTATAAATAATACCGCCTATCTCAGATAACATGTGAAGCACTTTGCAAACCTTAAAATGGTTTATAAATGTTAACTATCATCTTCATCCTCGCCCTCATCATCCAGGTGAAGGAATGGCTCCAAGAACTGGAAGAGCAGCTGCAGGAATTGCAGGAAAAGTGGGGACGTCGCCATGGGCTGTACAAAGAGAACTTGGAGCTGCAGACGCTCCGGCAGGAGCTAGAAAAGGCTGACACTTGGCTGAGCTCGAAAGAGGGCCTTCTCCTGGACCCCAACCTGGGGGTGAGTCAACACCCTGCCCCCCACCTTCCGCCTCCCTTGGGGCCCTGGCTTCAGTGCTGGGGCCTCTGCCCAAACAGGACTGATGGGGAGGCAAGTAAAGACAGGCCACCGGTCCAGGAATTTGATGCAACAAAGTAATTCAACAAATATTTATCGTGTCTCATGTGCAAGGCAAACCTTTTGCTCCTTTCAAAATAAGAAGGGCCAAAGCTAAAAGTTCTCATAAAAGACTATTAATTGGGGGCAGTTAGGTGGCACAAGGGATAGAGCACTGGCCCTAGGGATAGAGCACTGGCCCTGGAGTCATGAGGACCTGAGTTCAAATCTGCCCTCAGACACTTGATACTTACTAGTTATGTCACCCTGGGCAAGTCACTTAACCCTGATTGCCTCACCAAAAAAAAAAAAAAGTCTTTCTCTGTAAAGTGGATTTTAGATTGTATCATTTGTCCATTTCTTACCTTTTGTTGCTTATTCAATTAAGCATGTTCTTTATCTTTTCTTATTAAAAAATAAAGCACCTGCTTTGTGTTGGGCACTGAGATACAAAGACAGAAATGAAATAATCCCTGTTCTCAAAGGGTTTATAGTCTATGGGGGGGTATTGAGGACATATCTATATATCTATATCTATAGATATAGATATAGATATAAGTACAGTACAGGGTAAATACAGAATATTTGGGAGCAGGTGGGAGAGATGAAAGCACTGGGGGGAATCAGCAGGTCCCATGTAGTAGGGAGTATTTAAGGTTTGAGAGAAACCAAGGATCCTAAGGGGCAGTGGTGAAGAAGGGAGTACATTCCAGGCATGGGGCACAGCTCATACAAAGGTACTGAGGTGGGAGATGGAATGTTGTATGCTGGTACAGCGAAGGGTGGTGGGAACACAAAAATGAAAAATAATGCAGAGTTTGCACTACAGAACAGAGCCTATGTCATGTGTCTATGTATGTATAATCTGTAGAATATGATGAAACAAGGAAAGATCCTAAAGTGCTGGGAGAATTTGAAGAGGGAAGGGAACATTTTATGCTTGGGGAAGAGTGGGAGGTCAGATCAAGGCTGGCTTCATGTAAGAGGTGGCACTTGTGTTGAACTTTGAAAGAAGATGAAGAGCAGGCTTGGGAATTCCAAGCACAGGGATCAGCCTGGGCAAACTGGTGAGAGTGAAAGATGGCGGGTTATATCTGGGGAACCAGTTTGGCTGGAACACTGAGTACATGAAGAAGAGTAACAGGAAACAATCAGTTTATTAAGTGCCTACTGTGTTCCAGGCACTGTGCTAGGTGCTGAGGGTACAAAAAGAGGCAAAAGACAATGCCTGCCCTCAAGGAGCTTACAATCTATTTTATTTTTTTTTCCACATGCTTTTGAGTTGAAAATTTTTTCTCCCTTTTTCTCCTCCCCTCCCACACTCCCCAAGATGGTGCACAATCTGACATAGGCTTTACATTTACATATCCATTAAACATATTTTCACATTAGTGAAGTTGTAAGTAAAAGTTAAAACCAATAGGAGGAACCATCAGAAAGATGAAACAAAACTCAACAGAAGGTAAAAATAAGTGATAGGGATTTGACTTCCATAGTTCTTTCTTTGGATGTGGACAGCATTTCCCATCCTGAGGCCTCTGGAGATGTCTTAGATCCTTGTAATGCTGAGAAGGGTTCACTTTAACAATCTGAGTCATTGCATAGTGTGGCTGCTATTGTATACAAAGTCCTCTGGGTTCTGCTCACTTCACTCAGCATCAGACCATATAAGTCTTCCCAGGTTTTTCTGAAGTCAGCCTGTTCATCATTTCTTATAGCACAATAGTATTCCATTACATTCATATACCACAACTTGCTCAGCCATTCCCCAATTGATGGGCATCCTCTCCATGTCCAATTCTTTGCCACCACAAAAAGAGCTGCTATGAATATTTTTGTACATGTGGGTCCTTTTCCCATTTGTTTGATCTCTTTGGGATATAGCCCTAGAAGTGCTATTGCTGGATCAAAGGGTATGCACATTTTTGTAGCCCTTTGGGCATAGTAAGGAGCTTACAATCTAAACAAGGCTGGGAAGATGTAGGTTGGCACAAGGTTGGGCATCTGGGCCTCATTTCAGCCCTGCTTCTTTTCAGAACTCGGTGTCGGATGTAGAAGAGCTACTCAGAAAGCACCAGGACCTCGAGAAGATATTGGCCTCTCAGGAAGAGAAGTTTGACCGCTGCAGAGGAAGACTGAGGCATGAGGCCAAGGGGTGGAAAGGAGAGAACCAGGACCCAAGGCAGAATAGAGATGCTCTAGTTACAAGTCAGGGGTGGTGGTGGTCTGTCTTCTTGGTATCATATTGTGACTCAACATCCCTCCAAGACCTTCCACCCTTCAGTATCACCTCTTTCTGTCCCGTTCCCATCTGGTACTGCCCCCAAATCTTGTCAATGTTGGTTGAATGAAGTGCTGTTGTAAAGGAGTGGGTGACAGGGAGGGTAAATCTCCTGAAACTGGGGGCAAGGTAAAGATGGGAACCACAGAGAACCAGGGGTTCTTTGGAGGACTGGGTTTGGGAGAAGACTATTTCAGCTCAGAGCCCACAACCCAGGTCAATGGCCTGGTCTTACCCTGGTCTCTATGCTGGGCCCACAGATTGACCAGAAGCTTCTGGAGCAGATAGAAACAGAAGGCTTAAGGTCCAAGACCATGGAAAAGAGAAGTAGACGAGTCCCATCCCTCCAGAAGAGGCCCCCAGAAGGCCTGGGGTCAGGAACAAAACTGGCTGACAGGACAAACCTACAGAAGAGGATCGCCTTCCAGCCTTGGACTCCTTCCACCACCATCTTCTCCCCATTGCAAACAGTCAAGCAGAACATCCCCCTGCAACACTGGGAGTCAAGTGGGGAACAACCCTTGGGGACAAGGGACACCAATCCTGCTTCCTTCCTATCCCCTGGAACCATATTAGTGAGTAATGCCCATGGGACCTGGGGTTCGGGAGACATTGGGGCAGTGAAGAGTGGTGCAATATATTAGAAAGAACGATGGAGTCAGAGGAACTGAGTTCAAATCCCAACTTGCCTATTTACTACCCATGTGACTTCACCTCTGTGAGTGAATGAATAAATCCACGAATAAAGCATTTATTAAGTGCCTTCTATGTGCTAAACGCTGGGGCTACCAATAGAAAAGGAAGGCTGACCCCAAATCTAGTGTTCCAGCCTCTCATTTCTCACTACCAGGGTCCTTTGTTTTCAGGGTCCAAAGGATCCCCCTACCCTGGAGGGGTTAAAAAATCTGAAGGAAAAACAAGAGTTTCTACCTTCAGGGAGGCAGGTGAGTCCCAAGAGATGAGATTGTCTTTGTTCTTCTCTCCTCCCACGACAGTAGGACTGGACTCCTTGGAGTCCTCAGGACGAATAGAAAGTGGGGACAGTGAGTGGAACTCTCTGGACCAGGCACAAATGGCTTCCTATGGTCTGGGTGTATGTAAGCAGGGGACCCTTCCCCCCCCCCCCCCGGCTGCTGCTGCTTCTGCAGGACGGGCTCCCACATAGCCCATCATGGACTGTAAGGAGCAATGGGGCCCTAGGCGGTTGTTCAGAATGCCAGGGAAGGAGGGCTCTGCCTGGGGCTGATAGTCATCCCTTTTCCCTGCCATACGGACGGAGCCCCAAAGACATCCTTTCATTAAATCACTCCGCAGTTGCTTGAGCAGGAAGAGAAAGTCACAGGGGGAGAAGGCAGGAAGAAGGGGAGGAGAATCACTCCCACCATGGTTTGTCTCTGCAGCTGGCTGGGAGTCCCTGGAAGAAGTACGATGGGGCGTTACAGTGGGACCTCTTGAGGCTGAACCCAGACAAGAGAAAAATACCTGAGGTACGTGGAGCAGAGCCCAGACAATTACGGAAGGAAGGGGCAAAGGTGGGGCGAGTGGCTGGGGAGAGCCCAAAGAAGGGAGAGGGTTCACAGGTGAGGAAGAGCGGAGAAATAGGAGCAGAGACAAGAGGAGTCCGTGTTGAGACATGCTTTTGGCCTCTTCTCAGGATGTCGCTTCCCCAGCCCCCCACAACCTCGCAGGAGCCCAGTGCAGAAAGCTGAGTGGCTGCCTTGAACGGGAGGCCACTTTCTACCGGAGGTGAGAGCCCCTCGGGGGAAGACAGACGCATGGTCCCAGGACGTAAGAGATGACCAGATTCCTCGCGTCTGAGATGAGGAGATGCTCAGTACAGCTCCCCCTGGAATGGCTACTTCTTTGGGGGTTCTAAGGGAAAGAGATAAGAAGTTCTGATAGCTAAGAGGTCCCCACAAAAGGACTGTGGGAAGAAAGAAAAGAAGAAAATTGAAATTGTGGAAAACGGTTTGTTTGCCAATCAGGGGAGAAAGCGGTTTCATTTCCTAGCGATGCTTGTGATCGATATCCACTCCCTGTGAAAACGAGGGTTTGGGGAGAAGGGAAAAGAAATAGACAAGAGAAGTAGCATAATAATAATGATGATGATGACTAGCAGCTAGTATGTATGTGCATTCTAAGGTCTGCAAAGATCATTACACAAGTTATCTCATTTAAACCTCACAACAGCTCTGAGAGGTAGGTGCTATTATTATCAGCCCTCTTTTTACAGATGAGGAAACTGAGGCAGAGATTGAGTGACTTGCCCAGGGTCACATAGCTAGTAAGTATCTGAGGCAGGATTTTGAAGCCGGGGCAGCTAGGTGGCACATGGGTAGAGTGTCAGCCTGGAGTCAGGAAGACTCATTTTCCTGAATTCAAATGTGGCCTCAAACACTATCTGTGTGACCCTGGACAAGTCACTTAACCCTGTTTGCCTCAGTTTCCTCATTTGTAAAGGGAGATAGAGAAGGAAATGGCAAACCACTCCAGGATCTTTGCTAAGAAAACCCCAAATGAGGTCACAAAGAGTTGGACACAACTGAAATGACTCAATGAGTTCCTGAATCCAAGGCGAGCTCTCTCTCTCTCTCCACCATGCCACCTCAATGCCACAAAAGAATGGGCAAATAGAAGAGGCAGCAGACAGCAGAAGTGATGGTGGATGTTAGAAATAGCTGCTGCAGTTGAAGAGATTAGAAGTGGTGACAGCTGATAACAGACACCATGGTGGTAGAAAGGAAGAGGACCAGCCAGACATAGACAGATTACAACACAGCACTGCAGTCACAGAGACAGATGCCAAAGTTTCAGATCCCTTAAATGAACAATCAACGAGTATTTATTAAGAGTAAGACCAAAAACCAAAGTAATTTCTGCTCTCGAGGAACTTAGATTCTTTTGGAGAAAAACAACAGGTACATACATAAGAATATTATGCAAAGCAAATACAAGGGACTTATACGTTTGCTGTTCAGTCGTGTCCAATTCTTTGTGACCCCATGGACCATACTGTCTATGGGGTTTTCTTGACAAAGCTCCTGGAGTAGTTCGCCATTTTCTTCCCCAGCTCATTTGACAGATGAGGAAACTGAGGCAAATGGGGTTAAGTGACTTGCCTAGTGACTCACACAGCTGGTAAGTGTCTGAGGCCAGATTTGAACTCCTATTGCTTCCTAAATGTGAAGAAATAATACAACAAAGGGCTGTTTCTGATTGCTTCTATCATCTTTCTGTACCTCAGCTGAAGGATCAGTGGGTTACCTTATGATTCTCTAAGATGCGTCTAGTTCTAAAAGTCCATAATCATTTAAGTCTGATTGTTTGATCCTCCCCCTGTCTGTGGCACAGTAACAGCTCTGAAATCCTGCGCCCAACATCACCAGAAGGACAGACTCGTCTCTCTTGGCAAGTCCCAAGCAGCGGTGCCGGTATGTTCCATGGGAAAAATAGGGCAAAGGAAACTGGGACAATCTGAATTCCCAGGTTTTACTCCCTGGAATCTGCCCAGCTCTTAATCACTCATATTTGGATCATACTTTATTTACTTAATTTTCCTTTTTTTAAAAGCCCCTTTCTTTCCATTATCTTCTCTGAACCTCATAATTACTCTGTGAGGGAGATAGAGATTATCTCCATTTTATGGAAGAGTTTGGAAGTGAGTCCCAGAGAGATTGAATAACTTGTCCAAAATCATAGAGCCAGTTAATGGCAGACTTGGGACAAGAACCCAGATCTCCCAACTGGCCTATTCTTTCCACCCACATGATAGCTGATTCCTGGGATCTTCCCCCAGACTTTGTCCTTTTACAATCTCCCTGGTACCTTTTACTTCTTCTTTCTTTTTTTGGAAATTTACTCATACAGGCACTGTTGTTCTAGGAATTCCCTTTCCCAGAACTATAATTGGGAATGGGAGTGGGAGGGGCAGAGATCCTCATAGACCCCCAAAATGCATTGCAATCACTGCTAATCTGGGGTGTCTAGCAGTGACACAGGTCCCCAGACAGTCTGAGAAAGCCCTTCTTCATTAAGTATGGCCACGTGCTGGCAGTAGCCTGTCCTAGAAGAAAAGTATTACAATTATAGTTACAGGGCGCTTGTGGGGAGAGGGGGGAAGAGATGTTGGCCTAGCCTCAGGACAGGAAGGAGACATACTTTCTTCCCAAGAATAACATTGGGGGGGGGGCGCTACCTGTGTTTGATAGTCCTCCATAATTCATCCCCTGGCCTAGTTATAAGCACACTGGGGCAAAGTCTCAGTGGCTCCGTGATAGTTATGGTTCTTCCCTTTCTTGCTTCAGCTGCATCTGAGAATCTCAGATTTTTATTTGTGTTGCTTTGTTCTTGCCTTTGAGAATCTCCCATAGCCTCAGTCCCTCTAAAAGAAACAGGGTTCTTTTTTACATGTTTATTGTTATTTTCTGTTTCTTACATAGTTAGGTCAGGTATCCCTCTCCTCCTCCCCCACAAAGAGCCATGCCATATGATAAATACTGTTTTCAGAGAGGAAAAAAAAATGAGCACAACTGATCAATATCGGAAAAAGTCCAAAGGCTTGTGCAACAGGTAACACCTGTGGACCTCCTGCCTCCTCCATGAAGGGAGAGGTTGGGAATGTCTTCTCAGAGCTCTTCATTCGAGCCTTGCTTGACCTTTATAATTTTATTATTCACCTTTTATTTTTTGGTGTGTGATTGTTCTTCCCATTTACATTGTTGTAGTTGTTGTGTAAGTTGTTTTCTTGGTTCTGCTTACTTCACTCTGCATCAGTTCATGTGGATCTTTCCATGCTTGTCGGTGCTCACCACGCATCATTTCTTACAGCTCGGTGATGTTCCATTCCGTTCATGTGCAACAGTTTATTGAGCCATTCCCCTGTCAATGGGCATCTACTTTGTTTACAATTCCTAGCTATCACAAGAAGTGCTGCTATGAATATTTGGGAGTATGTGGGAACTTTCTTCTAATCCTTGGGGTATAAGTTTAATAATGGAGTTTCTGGTTCAAAGGATATGGACACTTTAGTCACTTTATTTGTATAATTCCAAACTACTTTCCAAAATGCTTGTACCATTTCATAGTTCCACCAACAATGTGTTGGTGTTCCTATCTTCCCTCAACCCCTCCAGCATTGACTGTTGCTACTTTTTGTCATTTTTGACAATTTGCAGGGTGTGAGGTAAAACCTCAGGCTTGTGTTTTTGGTTTTTTGCTTTTTGGTGAGACAATTGAGGTTAAGTGACTTGCCCAGGGTCGCATAGCTAATAAATGTCAAATGTCTGAGGCCAGATTTGAACTCAGGTCCTCCTGACTCCCAGGCCAGAGTTCTATCCACTGCCCCAACCCATGGTTGTTTTGATTTGCATTTATATTATTAGTGATTTGAGGTATTTTTTTTCATGTGGCTTTGAATACTTTGTGATTCTTCTCATAAGAACTATTTCTTCATATCCTTTGTCCATGTATCTATTGGAGAATGGCAAAGGATAGGGATTCTTAAACCATTTTTTTTTATCATTGGACCCCTTCCTAGAATGTTTTTAAATAACTGAAGGAAAATCACAGTTTCAGTGAGAGGTTAGTGAAAATAAAGATGTAATTTTTTTTTGCCATCTGAGTTAACAGGTGCCTATAATCTATCTACAGACCTCTTGGGGGTCCATGGACCCTAGGTTAAGAGCCCCGCTCTAGGCTAATTCTTCCTTGGTTCCTACAGATTCTCCTTCAGTTTGGATCTCCTGAGCTCAGGTTTTCGTAGCATTCTTCTTTTAATGGCAAAGCATAGAAATCCCACAGCCCTTGACACAATGGCACAGAGGCACATGAGAAAGGGTCAATAAATAATTATTGCTTGAAAAACTCCACCCAGAGACTCTGGATCTTGGAGGAGAGCTTGAAGGCCGGAAAGGGAGGCCTTTCTGGAGAAGACTCGGCCACTGAACCAGGGCCTGACTTCTAATCTCATCTTGCCCCATAGCACTTCCTGAGGCCCAAAGATTAAGCCTAGAACCCAGAGCCAGACCTCTCAGCTCCTTGAGTGGGAACCCTGCTGAGAAACTGCCTAACAAGATCATCCTACCCAGGTAAGGGACCAGGGTAAGGAGTGTGTGCTCTAGTTAGTGAAAGAGATGTCATTCTCTAAGCTCAATCGGCTTTTTAGGAGATGACCTCTGTGTCTCTGGATGTCCTCTGCTATCCTAGGAGAGGCAGAGCTTGGTACTTAGGGCTCTTCCTGGGACTCAGAGCCCTCCAACTTAGCACTGCCCTGTTTCCTTCAGTGCCAATGGCCAAGTAAGCAGAAGACAGCCAGACATTTTGGTGTCACGGGCTGCCTGGGTTCCCCTCAATCCCACCCGTGCGCTCTTTCATCACGCCCATGCCCCGTTCCAGATCAGATGTTGTATGTTCACAGATGGACACCTTCCTTTAAGCTCCAGAGGAAGACTGGACCTTTGGAGAGAACTACACAAGGCTTCATGCGGCCTCCAGCTCCTGGCCACGTCACTGGTAAGGGGCATCTCATGCGTCTCCCCTTCCACATCCGGTGAATAATTTTCCAAACAAAATGTTTAGAATAAGGCAGGGATGAGATTATCTAATTTGGACAAACCTACTCCTTACAATTTTAGTTTTTCCTCCTATTTTCCCCTTTACTTATACAGAACATATTTGCTCTCCTTATCTGGCCTCTACTTTCCTCTCTGTCTTATACCTCGCCTTCATCTTTGGCTAGCCCAGACTTTAAGGTGCCCTCTACTTCGGGAAGAAAGGAACCCCACTCTCTCTGTCACAGTTAAGAGCTAGGAAGCTAAAGTCAGGTGACTCCTGCAAAATGCCTGTGTGTTTCTCCACCATCTGCTCACCAAGAATCCTTTGAGGTTGAGAGACCTGATCAGGAGCCTGGCATGTCTGTGTGTCTGCTGAGCGCAAAAAGGCAAGAAGAGCAGGCCCGAGTCCCTGACTTTCTGCAATAATAATCATAATAACTGATATTTACAGAAGGCTTTGAAGTTGGCAAACCAGTGTTCCTAAGTGCTCTTTCTAGCCGTCCCTGAACCTGTGCTTAAACTATGGAATGTCCCACGGTCCTGGGCACAGATGACCAGCATTCTGCCTCTTCATCATCTCTTACAGACTCTGCCCCCTTCCCTTGGTGTTCTCTCCCTCGTTTAGTCTTCCCCCACTTCTACTCCAAGGTCTCCTCGGGCCCCACATAGGGATATGGTCGGCCTACATGGGGAGCTAGAAGTACTTACAGTTAGGGTGCAAGGACACACAGGAATGGACTATAGTCCCTTAATATGTCAAACTACAAGCATTACTCTCACAGACACAGCAATCTTACATGTAGGGATTTCATTCACCAAGCTGTCTACACCATTGCCCAGCACTGTCTACACCACTGCCTAGCCTAGTTCAATAAGGAAGGAGGAAACCCTGTTCCTGGGCAGAGAGATGACTGAGAAAAATCAGCTCTGTGATTCCCTTCAGCCTCATGGTCCCTCCCATATATAATTTAATAATAATAATAATAATAACAGGGGAGGCAGCCTGTTGTAATGTCTGAAGAGCTGTCCTTGGAGTCAGAAAGACCTGGGTTCGAGTGTCACTTCTGACATAGACTGTGAAGATGAACAATTTTAGCTCTCAGGGCCCTAGGCAAGGCCATCATTTACAACCTTGTTGTTGGAGGGCATTTCCATACCAGGAATTCCCCACACCAATGAAATTACAAGTCTCAACCTATTAGGAATAGTTGACATTTTACGTAGTGTTTAATATTCACAAATTGCTTTACAGACAAATTTGAGCTTCACAGAAACCCCAGAGGTAAATAGGACAAGAATAATTATCTCTGTTTTGGTGGTGTGATGTTCAGTAGTGTTCAGTCATGTCCAATTCTTCATGATCCCATTTGGGGTCTTCTTGGCAAAGCTCCTGGAGTGGTTTGCCAATTCCTTCTCTAGCCCATTTTATAGATAAGGAAACTGAGGCAAACAGGGTTATGTGACTAGCCCAAGGTCACATAGCTAGTAAGTGTCTGAGGCCAGTTTTGAACCCAGGTCTTCTGGACTCCAGACCCGGCATTCTGTCCACTGAACCACCTAGCTGCTCCTCTTTTCTCAGTTTTGCAGATGTGTAAACCTACACACAGATTTCGCCTGTGATCACACAGCAGCTCATAAATATCAAAGGCATGGGTCAAATCCAGGGCCCTGTGGACTTCAAGTCCAGTGTTGTTTCCACTCTGACATTGTCTGTGTGTATAGAAAAGTCGATCAACAAGCATTATTAAAAAACATTACCAAGACATAGCAAGGTGAGTCATAGGGCCCACATTGTAAAGTTAGGTGGTGCAGTGGATAGAATGCTAGACCTGGAGTCACAAGGAGATGGGGTCAAATGTGACTTCTGATTAGCTCGGTGACCCTGGGCAAGGCATTTAACCTGTCTGCCTCAGTTCCTTATTTGTAAAATAGCAGTGCCTACTCCAAGGGTTGTTGTGAAGATGAGATATCTGTAAAGTACATTGCAAACCATAAAGTGCCATATAAATGCTAGTTGTTATCACCATGATAGGTGTGGTGTTTTTTTTTTTTAATAAATCATCTTGGTCATTTCCTAAGATAATGTGCCTGCTCCCAACAATTCTTCTAAAAAGGGATGGGGCCTAGAGTTGTGGAGAAGGCCAGAGAGTTAAAAAGGATCTCAGTTTGGGGGAGAAAAAAAAAACAAGCCACCAGACCCATAAGCCCCCTGCTCCCTAGTAAAACCAGACTCCCTGTTCTCCTACAGGACCTGGGACTGCGGATGAGACAGCGAGGGCTCCCAACCTCAGCACGGAGGAAAAGGAGAAGCTCTAGAAAGACATTCGGGAGAAACTGTGGTTCAGAAGGAATGGACACCAGGAAGGAGAACATCCTGATGTGCAATGCTGCCCCACTGACCTTTACGTGAAATCTGTTCTTTTGAGTGAGGCACATCCTTGCTTTGCAATATCCCAGTCATGAACCACATCCCCCCGTAAGACTTAATGATCCCTTGTGTTAGGCTCTTAAGTTCGTGACACATACTTCATGCATGTGCATGACATCTGCCCCGCTTCCTCATTATTGTTTCCTGTGAATTCTGCTCTCCAGAGTAGAGGCCTGCACCCTAGCCCTGAAGTTTTTTTTCAAAACTTTAAGAAACCAAGAAAAAACAAAACTTTAAGAAATCCCAACATATATCTTCTTTAATCCTCACAAGGTTCTGTGGCTCAGATTGCAAATGGCTTAACAGGATAGAGCAGAGCAGGGGTGAGGACAGTGACAAGGCTATTTCCTACTGAAATTAAGCTGCTTCTGTTGTCTTTTTGGTTTAACCAGTCCATGGTGGTGCTGTCTGTAGGCCTCATGGTTAAGGCAGTGTGGTACAATTGAAAGAGTCTTGGAGCCTAAGCACCTGGATTTAAATCCTGTCTCTGATGCTTACTACTTGTGTGACCTTGGGTAAGTCACAACCTCCCTGGGCCTCAGTTTCCTTATTTGTAAAATAAGGCATCAGACCAAATGGCCTCTGTGGTCCCTTCCAGCTCTAGACTGATGACTCCTAAAGTGGAAGGAACACTAGAAGTCAGAAGGCCTAGATTCTGGTCCTTGCTCAGCCAGGTACTACCCGTGTGGCCCTGGATATCACCTAAGTGTCCTGAACCCATTTGCTCATCCTCAGAATGAAAGGATTAGCCCAGATGATCCTTAAGGTCCCTTCCAGATCTAAAATTCTTTGATTCCTTCTTGAGTGGAAGGAAGTGGCTCTTTGGTGTCTTCTCTGTTTGATCATGGGAATCACTCAGGGTTAGACAGAGCAGAGAGTTGACTTCTCTGCTTTCCAGAAGGTCAGGGATGATGGAAGGGACTCTTAACAGAATGAGAAAAAAGACCCAGGAGGAAGACAAGGGAGAAAAGCCCAAAGGGAATCCAATGCAGGGGCATATGAGGGTCAAGAGGGGACAGGTAGAACAAAGGGATGCTAAAGATCTCTGAGCATTTGGAGATATGTATGGGAACCAGTGCTACCCTAGAAAGCATCTCTAGGGGTTGTGAAGCCCTGGAGAAGGAGGTGATGGAAGGATTTGGAGGCACAGCTGGTATTTTCATCACTGTTACCAACTGAAGTCAGGACCTTAAAAGGGAACAGAGGATGTAGGAAGTGACTAGCAGGTTAAGAAGATGGCATCAAAGTTTTTTGTGGACTATCACATAAGATATAAGAAGGGCAGGCTCTTGGCTAGAAACAATACACATGGAATGAAAGAATCCATTCGAGAGGGGAAAAGGGTCTGGGTACAGTAGTCCAACTAGATAGTAGAGGAGGCAGCAAACATGACACAGGGTGGTGAGGAACAGGAAGAGGTGTTCAGGAATCCCCAGGAAACAATAATGAGGAAGAGGGACAGATGTCATGCACACGCATGAAGTGTGCGTCATGAACTCGAGCGCCTAATATGAGAGGTAAATACAGTGCATAGAGATCATTAAGTTTTAATGGGGGGTGTGGTTCATGACTGGGATATTGCAAGGATAAGCCTCATTCAAAAGAACAGATTTCACATAAAGGGCAATGGGGTAGCATTGCACATTGAGATATTCACCTGTGTGGAAATCCCCATGACAGAAGCAAGCAACGAAGCATTTTATTGTGACTTGAAGGAAGACGGTGAATCAAAGCTACCATCATAGTATACTAAGCAACACTGGGCAGGCTGCTGGAATTGGCTAATGGCGTCCTCACAGACTACAAAGGTGGCATGGAAGCAGGTTAGGTTTGTGAGAGGAAACTTTTATCAAGTCAGATATCTGCTGGAAGACTCTGTCTGCTAAAAGCAGAGCAGCTGGTAAATTCTTGATTTACCTAATTGATAATATCATCTTCCAAAAGATGGAGGAAACAAGAAGGAGGGCATATGGCTTGTCTGGCCCTGGGTTCTTCTTCTTTTTAAGGGTTTTTTTTTTCAATTAACAAGTATTTATTCTCTCTTCTTCATACCCCTTGTCCCTGAACTGGATTAAAAAAAAAAGGAAGAAAAATAAAATCCTTGTAATAAATATGCATAGTCAAGCAAAATAAATCCCCATCTTGCTGACTCTTGCTCTGACTAACAAAGGGAAAATAGTGAAGTAGGAATGAAGGAAACTTTGGGAGACAGTGGCTACGTGCTCCTAGTTTGTGATGATAGATAAGGAGGGGCATCCCCAGCACTGTCAGAGGTATATGCAGGACCTTAGGAAAGCAGCATTGGAGGAGTACTGTGAGAGGCTAGGAAGGATCCAGGGCTGCAAGGCACTTACAAGGAAAGGCCGGTCAAAAGGAATGGTAGGCTCCCAAGAATGAAAATTAGTTGTGTAATCAAAATTGATTTTGAAAAGAAAAAAAAAAGGAAGAGGTGTTTAACAAGAATTACATGGCTGAATAGAGAGATCACCAGTGAACTCAGATTTTACAAATACAAGAGATAGAAACACAGGCAAGTAACTACAGACACATACAAAAGAATGGTGATAGTATAGGAAATTTTGTTCTGTTTCTTCTTTCACAACATCACGAATGTGGAAATATGTTTACATGATTGCACATGTATAACCTATATCAGATTGTTTGCCGTCTTGGGGAAGGGGGATGGAAAGAAGGGAGAAAAATTTGCAACTCAAAATCTTATAAAAAATGAATGTTGAAAACTAACTTTACATGTAATTGGAAAAAAAATACTATTTACCAAAAAAAAAAAAAGATAATATGAAGAAAGTTAAAGCCCTGCCTGTGCTAAAGCTTTTGGTAAATGCTAAAGACAACGAAGGAGGGCACGTTTAGCTATGAGGAAGCAAGAGGAAGATCAAAGGAGGAACAAGACCCCTACTTGGTGAAATGGGAAGACAGAGGATGGAAAGGAAGCAGAATTACTCAACTCCTTTTTTTGTTTCTATTTTCTCTACTAAGAGGAATTTTTTCAGAACGTGATGGAGAGAACAAAACTGTTTATGGAGGAATTAGAAACGATGGTGTTGTCGCTCAGTTGTTCAGTCGTGTTTGACCCTGTGACCCCATGGATCAGAGCACGCCATGGAACCCAGCAGGAAGAGCTGGGGTGAATCCCGACCTGCTCTTAACAAGTTCAGGTACTTGGCCTGGATGTCCTACATCCTAGGCTACTGAAAGAACTCACTGGTGTGATTGTTGGACTGTTAATGAAATGTCCTGACTTTCAAAAACTGGAAAACATTGGATACTTCAAACCATAATGTCACAGGACTTAGAAGTAGAGGAGACCTCAGCAATTATCTAGTACAATTCCTTTGTTTTATAGATGAGGCAGCTGGGTCCAGAGAAGTGACCGGCAGAGGTAGTAGAACAGGAAGGCCAGGATTTGGATGAGGTCCCATGACTTCAAGGTCAGCACCCTTTCTACCCCATCCCAAGCTAATAAAAGCTGATTGAGTGTTTCACACGCCTTCTCATTTGGTGCTGACAACAACCTCCAGAGACCATGGGGATTTGGGGCCTCATTGTACCAGCTCCTGGCTGGTGACCTTGATGTTAATTTTTGGTTTAAAAAGAAAAAAAACCTTAAAACAGATCATTAAAATAGTCATTTGTGAGTATTTTGAAAGGGAGGAGCCAGCATAGATTCATCATCCAGAAGAGATCATTCTACCCACACTAATCTAATTTCTTTTTAGACAGGTGGCTAGAGCAGTAAATCAGCAGTAATGATAGCTAACATTCTTATAGTGCTTACTATGCTAAGCACGTTACAATTATTGTCTCATAATAACCCAGACAGGTAAGTACTATTATTATCCCCATTTTACAAATGAGGAAACTGAGACAAACAGGATTAAGTGACTTGTCCAGGGTCACAAAGCTAGTACCTGTCTGAGACTGGATTTGAACTCAGGTCCTCCTCACTCCAGCCACAGTTCTCCATCCACTGACATAGGGTGCCTGAATTTAGGTAAGGCAATAAAGAGAAGCTTCTCCTGATAAGCCTGTAGGCAAAATAAAGAGATATGGCTTAAGTTTCACAAAGTGGATTCAGAGCTGGTTGATTGCACCAGAAGAGTTTTGATTCATGGATCAGCGTCTCCTCCCACAACCCCCCTAGGCCTCTGTCTTTGCCACCATCCTGGTGTTTTTTGTTGCTTGGATGAAAGCATAGAGGCATGCTCACTGAATTTATGACTGCCATAAAACTAGGAGAGAATGAATCCACTGCATGATAGAACTACAGGCTCAATCAGTGGGATGAAGCTAGTAAGATCATAGAATCACAGAGGTAGAGACACACTGTACCTTGGGGACCATTTCCTCTCATTTTATAGATGAAGAAACTGAGGCCCCAAAGAGGTGAAATAATTTGCCCAGTGTCACATGGTAAGTGCCTGAGGTGGGATTTGAACCCAGGTTTTCTGACTCTAAAACCAGAGCTCTTTCCATTGCATCATGGTTAGAAATAAATATAAAGTCTTGCACTTGGGCTAAAAATAGTGAACTGTGCAAGTATGAGAGGGGGTGAGAGTTCACGTGGAAAAGGCCAAAGCAGACTTGTTTGACTATTTCCAGGGAATGTACTTTGTGAAGGGGATTGTTTGGGTATGTGTTAGAAAGTATCTGTTGTGTCAAAACAAGACGTCAATTAAAAAAAAATAAAACAAAGCACGCACGTCTTTATGGCTCACAAACTCAATAGGAATCAGCAGACAAATCAAAACCAAATCACTCTTTCACTTCTAGGCCCCATTAAGAGAAGGGCAGTGTCCAGAACAAGGGTGGTACGTGTCCTGCCGTGCCTGGTCACTGCACATCTGGAGGACTACGTGTGGTCCCAGCTGCCACATTTTAGAAGTGACATGGTCAAGCTGGAGGGAGTCCAGAAGGAGGTGACCAGCCTGGCAAGGAACATTGAGCTGAAGGGCCCTCCCAAAGACGGATTGAAAGAATGGAGGAAATGGAGAGGATACGACTTGGGAGGAGGAGAGGAGGGGAGGCAGGATGTATCAGCTTCAGATTATTGGAAAGCCTGTGGAAAAGAGAGCAAGCTTACCTTGTTTGGCCTAAGAATTGCAAAACTAGCACTAATAGCGGAAAGCCCAGGGAGGCAGGGAGAAACCTTCCCAATAATTGGAGCGGCCCAGAAACAGAACGGGTTACCGAGAGTGGGTGGCAGCATCAGCATCGTAGGAGATCTTCAAGTGTGAGCTGGAAGACATTTGTCAAGGATGTACCACTGGAAAGAATACTAGATTTGGCATCAGAAAACCTGGATACAAAAGAACCCACATGTACAAAAATATTCATAGCAGCTCTTTTTGTGGTGGCAAAGAATTGGACATGGAGAGGATGCCCATCAATTGGGGAATGGCTGAGCAAGTTGTGGTATATGAATGTAATGGAATACTACTGTGCTATAAGAAATGATGAACAGGCTGACTTCAGAAAAACCTGGGAAGACTTATATGGTCTGATGCTGAGTGAAGTGAGCAGAACCCAGAGGACTTTGTATACAATAGCAGCCACGCTATGCAATGACTAAGAATGTTAAACTGAACCCTTCTCAGCATTACAAGGATCTAAGACATCTCCAGAGGCCTCGGGATGGAAAATGCTATCCACATCCAAAGAAAGAACTATGGAAGTCAAATCGCTCTCACTTATTTTTACCTTAAGTTGAATTTTGTTTCATCTTTCTGATGGTTCCTCCTATTGGCTTTAATTTTTACTTACAACTTCACTAATGTGAAAATATGTTTAATGGGTATGTAAATGTAAAGCCTATGTCAGATTGTGCGCCATCTTGGGGAGGGGGGGAGGAAAAGGGAGAAAAAATTTTCAACTCAAAAGCATATGGAAAAAAAAATTTAAAAAAAGAAAAGAAAAGAAAACCTGGATACGAATCCCGGCTTTCTCTACTTGTGTGACTTTGGGCAAGATAATTCCAATAATTCCCTTCTCTGGGCTCCAGGCTCCTCACGTAAACTAGAAGGGCCCAAGGGCCCTTGGGTCATAAATACTATGATCCATGGATGGCTACTGTAGAGAAGACTGGTGACTCAGTAGGGCTTGAACCAGATGACCTCTGAAGTCATGGAGTCATAACTTTAAAAGCTAGAAGACACGTTAGAGATCATTTCATCAGAGCCCTCATTTTACAGATCAGGACATTGGAGTCCAGAGAGGTAAGCAATTTGCCCAAGGAGAAAACCTGAGGGGCCAGGATTTGGCCTGAGATCAGAGAGCCAGAGATTTAGGTCCAAAAGGTACCTTAGAGGTCATGATGTCCAACCCCTTCAATTCTATAAATAAGAAAAGTGGAGCCTAGAAAACTTAAATGATTTATCCCAAAAGGCACAAGTAACAAGTGGCAGATCCAGATTTGAACCCAGATCCTCCAACAGTGTTTTTCCCCCATTATACCAATCCCATCCAACCCTAAGACCTTATACCTTGGCCATTACTTCCTGTTTATCTCCTTGCTTAGGAATAGCCAACATCCTAGGAACAGAATTCCTGAACACTTACTCCCACACTCCCCTGTCACTACCACTGACATCCACACCCCCTCCCCCTCAACGGGAAAGGGCAGCACTGAGATCTAGGCTGAAGTGAATGTAAACCATAAGCTCAGTAATCCTTACAGAAAAATGGGATCATCTTTAGGTAGCTAAGAAGAAAATGGTTATACTATAGTCTTTATCACAGGATACTAGAAGTCATAGGTCTGTGCTCTGTCTTAGCACCAACAAAAATTAATAGGATACATGTCTTAGGGCTTTGATTCTTTATATCAAATATAGTCCACCCATTCAGAGGAACCAGTCTGTGTTCCAACTGCTTTCCTCTCATCCTTCTTCTCCTATCTCTCCATCCTTCTCCCCAACCCTGTCACATGCACACACATGCATATATACACATACATACATACATACATACACATGAATACATATGCACAAACACACACGGAGACACTTCCCAGATGACCTCCCACCACAACTGGTGAGTGCTATGGGCTGTCTGATCTGGCATTTCACATTCCCCAAGGAAGAAAACAGGGGCCCAAGCCTCCTGCCCTCTCCATGGAGGGGCACATGAAAATAGCACAGGATGCACAGCTGCATTGGGGTTGCTGTCTTTTCTTTTCCCTGGTGGTTCGAACAGGTATTTTTGATAAGGCGTGCTCCCTGGGTCTTCATTTCTGCAGCACCCTCCCCATGGTTCTCCAGAACTTCTTGCTGAAAGTGGTAGTAGATTCAGAAGCAAGCTGACGTGGACCTCATGTCTAGGACATTCCCAAGGTTTGGCCACAGGGTATAAGAGCCAAGAAGGCCTCAACTAGATGGAACTTGGGTACCCAAGAAACCAAATCAGTCCCCCCACCTTTGAAACTCTGGAGTGCATGAAGAAGTCTGCAGGTTGAGGGAGGTGAGGGGGGAGGGGGTGTAGGATGGCAGACCAGAAGTCCAGTTCATCTGGTCGCAGTGGTCCGAAGCAGCTGACCTCCCATCATGACTGCCCCTGACCATTCCGCTGTCTCCTCCGCTGCACGGCCTCCCCAAGGGCCTGAAGGAGCCGCTCTCGATTGTTGCAGATGTTATACCGGGTGAGGCTGAGTAGTTTGTCCACATCCTCCTCGCTGTACGTCACCTTCGTGTAATGATAAGGGGAACCAGAAGAGGTCAAGTTCACCTCCCCTGCTGCCAGTTCCTCAGGCTTCCGCTGGACGCCTGCAGGGAAGGGACCACCATGATTAGCGTGGGAGAGGAACATTGCAAAGGAAAGGGACACAAGAAGGGGAAATGTGTGTGGAGGACCACTGGGGAAAAGGATGGAAAAGGAAGAAATACCTAGGGCCAGGAGAAGACAGGAAGAAGTGTTGGGGCAGTGGGTGGGTGTTACCGAGGATGAAAGGTTCCAAGAAGGTGCAGGGGGGTCTCACCAGGAGCTGAGTGATGCTGAAAGGAGTCATTGACCAAGGGGAAGTGGAGCACAACAGGGGCAGCTAGAGACTCAGGGTCAGAAAATCTGTGGCATTCCTGAGGCAACTCCTGGTCCTCCGGACTCAGAGTGATGGGGGGAAGGGATCCCCTGCTGCTGGCAGTACCGGCTCACCAATTCCAACTGCTGTTTGAAGTGAGCCAAAAGTCAGGCACAGGATGTGACTTACAAAACCTCGGCAAGGCCAGGGTTGGGTTAGTGAGAAATGTGTGGTGACAAGCTTCACGTGCTAAATACAAGCTCAGATAAAACCGAAATCCAGACAGGGGACGTCAGGCTAAACCAGCTAGTTTTAAAAAGTAAAAAGAGTCTTACGTTTTATTTGGGGATATTTTGAAACTGACCACCCCACAGGTAGAAACTCTGTGAGTCTAAGTTGACTCAGATTATCAGAGGTGGAAGAGACCTTTGTTGTTCAGTTTTCAGCCGTATCTGACTCTCCATGATCCTATTTGGGGTTTTCTTGGCAAAGATACTGGAGTGGCTTGCCATTCCCTTCTCCAGCTCACTCTGCAGATGAGAAAACGGAGGCCAACAAAGTTAAGTGACTTGCCCAAGGTCACACAGTTAGTAAGTGTCCGAGGCCAGATCTATACTCAGGAAGATGAGTTTTTCAGACTCATCCACTGTAGCTGCCCAGCAGCCCAGAAGGGATCTTTGGAACCAATTTAGTTCAATGTAATCATTTTACAAATAAAGGGACTGAGGGCCAGAGAGGCTGTGAGTAATCACACATTGAGTAAGCAACACAGCCAGACTTCAAACACAGATCCCTGACTTGTTCTTTCCTCTACACCACAATGGGAAACACCAAATTATGAGCCTCTTCCTAATGCTGATGTTGGGATGTTGAAAACTGTAAAGGGGCCTGGCGGATATAGCCAGTCAATCAATAACATTTAGGAAGCACCTACTGCATTCCAGGCACCTGTGCTAAGTGCTGGACATACAAAGGAAGAGTCTCAAGGATCTCACGGTCTAATGGAGGAAACACAGGCACACAACTGTGTACAGGCTGTATCCAGGATGTATTGGAGATGATCATCAGAGGGAAGGCACTAGAACGAAGGGAGATGGGAAAGGCTTCCTGGAGGTGGGATTTTTGCTGGGACTGGGGGATGCCAGGAGGCAGAGTTGAGGACAGAGAGAGTCCCAATGTTACCAGCAGTCTAGGTCCATGCCAGGGACCGTGACTGCTAGAGGGGCCAGGATTGTTGTTGTTTGTCCTTCATTCTTGAAAACGAATCAGGAAAAGGATTCGATGTCATGCAAGTGAATTGGATTTCGTGAGGCAGGGCTGTGCAAGGTCACCAGCCTTACTGTCTTCTCCAGAGCCATCTGGGTCCAGAGGCCAGGTAACATATCAGGATGACTGGAGATGGCCCCGGATGTAGTGGGGAACCTTGGCCTTTTTAGGTTGAAGATTTCCCCAGGTCTCAGTTTGTATGAAGCAATGCCCATACAGCAATTAAAAGCTAAGTGAGAAGAAATGAGGCAAAGAATGATCTTTTTTTACCTAGCCTAAAAATAAAAAAATCAACCTAGGAGGGGAAGACCCTGGGAGGGTTTCTGGCCCAAGCAGAAACAATTGCTATTTACACTCACTCTGAGCCATGGGAGCCCAAACAATAACCAAATGAGGCTTGGGCTGGGATCTGCTGCTGGTTAATCAAGGGGAGCCAGAGTGATTTGGGTTTAAGGCACGGTCCTTCAGAAAGAAATCTAGCCTGCAAACCCCAAGGTATCTTCTGAGACTTCAGCGACCGAAATTTATATTCCTTTGAGTAGAGCACCCGCAGGTAAGGGTAGGATTCCCTGTAAAGGGAGAGGAGGAAGGAGGAAGAAGGGAGGGAACTGCATTGCCCAACTGGACCTGGCCAGCTGGATTCCCAGTGGGAGCCAGGAAGTCTTGAAAGCAAATACCAAGAAATTACCAGAACATTCTCCTCTCCTCTCCCCAGGAGAATTAGACTACGCCTTTTTTTTTTTTTATATGGGAACGCCCTTCATTGATGCCTATCAGCAGCTCTTAGGTAATTAATAGTCTTAGGAGCTGCCTGGGGCGCTGAGGCGTTAAAGTGACTTAATGGTGATCACACCGGCCAGCAGGTCTCAGAGGTAACACTAGAACCTGCATCTTTCTAGCCCACGCTGGCCCCTCCATCCATGCCGACTCTGTAGACAGAGGGTAAAGGAATGAAATGTACTCCCATGAGTTTTTATGTGCCCTGAGTGAGGTCCAGCTACAGCTTTTGTCAAGGGCAACCTCAGTCAAGGTGGGGATGCTGGGTAAAGGGTGCCCCATCTGATCTGGCCAGCTGATCTGGGTTAGCCCCAGGAGGAGCAGCAAGGTATAACTGTGGCTAATTGCCACTAGGTGGTGCAACGACTAGAGGTCTGGACTTGGACTCTGGCAGACCTGAGTTCAAATTCTACTTCAGATGCTGAAATAGCTGTGGGACCCTGGACAAGTCACTTTCAGCCTCAGCTTCCTCATCTGTAAAATAAGGATAATAATAGTACCTACCTCACAGGATAATTGTGAAGATGCTTTGCAAACCTTAAAGCTCTATGTAAATGCCAGACATTATTACTGTTGTTGTTATTAGACTCCCAGGCCTTGTCTCCCAGACCTTCTCTTCCCAGGAGTCCATCTGTCCCATCAGTCCAGTCCCACTGATGGGGATGAGGCGTGGCTCTTTCCTTTCTAACCTGAAAGCGGCCTTGGAGGTTGTAGTCTAATGACAAGATAAGGTCCACTTGGCGGGTGGGCAGCAGCAGAGGAGGGCAGCTGGTGTTGATGAAGTAGCCGACGTCCAGCAGGCAGAGGTGTGGCTCCACAGGCGTCAGCTGGTGAGGATGCCCATCCAGCTTGGTGCCTGGGGTAAAGAGCAGAGCCTGCTTACAGCCATGTTACGGGCACCAAAACCCTCCCCCTTCACAGGGATCGTCTATCACAAGGGGAATGAGAGTATCTCCATGAATACTCCAAGAGAAAGTATCTCTAGGAGGATCCCAGATGAAGAGTTGGAAAGGACACTAAAAGTCACCGAGTCTAACCCCTCCTCCCTTATTTTACAGATTAGGAAGCTGAGGCTAAAAAGGTTAAGTGACTTCATCAGATGCAGGATCTGAACCCAGATCTTCCTGAATCCAGGACCAGCCTCCTATCCACTATACCACACTGCCTCTCAAGAGCTGGCCCAGAATGAATCAGTCAGTCAACACACATTTATTATGTGCCCACTTTGTGCCAGGCCCTGTGCTGAACACTAGGGAAACAGCTATTTTAAATGACGCAGTCCTTCCCCTGAAGCTCCTCCATCCCAGGGCAGGCCTCACAAAGAGCAGCCGTCACATAGATCAGGTGCAAGAGAAGGGGGAAAGCTCATCCTGATCTGAGAAGAGAGAGCAGGGAAGCCGGGACCTTTCCAGGCAGAGAAATGCGGGTGCTTGAAGTAATCCCTGTGGAAATGCAGCCCATGCAGGAAGTTGTGAGAGGCCGCAGCCAAGGGGCGCAGGGTTAAAAGGTCCGTAAAGAATTTGGCAATTTTGCTTGTGGTGGAGGGCGGCTCTTCCATCTTCAGAGAGGGTGTTCTCTCCTTGTCTGCACATTGGAAGCAGAAGGAGGTCCTCAGGAAATGGAAACTCCCAAGGTCTCCATGTGCTATGCTAGGAGCTCACTTCTCTCCCCCCAACTCCTTCCCCAAGAAGAAAGGGGGATGGGAAGGACTGGGACCAGGACAGGGTTTGGAGAGAGTGATGGTTCCTAAGGGCCACGGGTCTTCTCTTCACAGGGGCCTAGATAAGCTATATCTCACTTCTATCTAAGTGCCGACCCAAAGAATGCAGAACTTACCCAAGGTGACTTGATCCTGAGCCCAGCGATCCCAGAATTGGTCAGGCTCTGAGGACCAGTATAGGCTGTCTTGAAGATTAGCTGCATAAAGGTTGCTCCAGATGCCTGTGTTTGTAGGAAGGAAGGAAGGAAGGAAGGAAGGAAGGAAGGAAGGAAGGAAGGAAGGAAGGAAGGAAGGAAGGAAGGGAGGGAGGGAGGGAGAGAGGGAGGGAGAGAGGAAGAAAAGGAGGGAGGGAAGAAAGAAGGAAGAAAAGGAGGGAGGGAGGAAAGAAAAATGAAGGAAAAGAGTAAAGAAGAAAGGAAGAGAGAGGGAGGGAAGAAGAGAGAGAAGAAGAGAGGGAGGGAGGAAGGAAGGGAGGGAGGAAAAAAAGATCTCCATTTATTAAGCATGGTGCTAAGCACTATGGATATAATAGAGAATAGAAAAGCAAAGGCAGTCCCTCTCAAGAGGCACAGATTTTAAAGGGGGAGACAACACATTAAAGAGGTTTCAACTGCAAGGCAGCTGGAAAGCCCCATGGTCCTTAGGGAGCAGCAATAAGGCAGAGGGTAATGTCATTTCTTTAATGCCATTTCCATTAACAAAACCCTAAGTAAGAGAACCATAGGAGGCACTGCAGACGCCCCAGACAAACTTCGACCCTTTCCATCTGCCTGAAGCCCAGGGAGCCCACAGGGATGAGGAGCAGTTCCAGAACTGGTCCCGACAAAGAAGGACCAATGATCTCCCCCATCCCAGCCCCAATCTCTCCTGTACCCCCTCAATCTTCTCGATTCCCTGGGATTCCCTTTGTTGCCCCTTACCTTCCAAGAAGCAGATCCGGGACTCAGGTAATCGCTTCATCAGTCGCCCCATGAAGAACTGGGAGCCAAAAAGCTCAGCAGGGACAAAGGCACCGTATTTGGGAAAGCCAACCTCATATGGGGAGAACTCCACCCATTCTGTGGGAAAGGCAACATCTGCACTCACCCACAGTGGTGGGAGGTGAAGAACTGCCTGAGTGAGAACCGTAGTCTTGTTGGTGGGGGATGAGGGCAGGGAGCCATACGACCTCTCCCACAGAGAAGACAGGCCCTGCTCCAGGGCCAAGCCAGTCTGTCATGGGGCTGGGACTTAAGCTTGGAGTACAAAACTGTCAGCAGCAAATGGGTGGCAGAGGGTAGACTTAGAGAGAGAGTCTTTTTCTTTCTTTCCTTTGGACCCCTCCACCCCACCCCCAGTCTGACAGAGCCTGCTGTCTCGCTTCCACCTACCTCCAAACTCAAAGGTGCTCAGGCTCTTCTCCTTGGTGTTGAGGGCACAGTAGATGGGCAGTGGGTTCTGACCATGCTCCAGGGCCTCCTGCTGGTCTGACAGCTTGTAGTCATGGGGCTGGATGGAAAGATTACTGGGGCCTGAATTCCATGTCCTTCTAACTACCCAAAGCACTCATCATCTTTCTCCCCTCTCCGTCCCATAGATCCCTATCCCCCGTTGACTAAGGGCTGGGCTCATTCTCCCCGGTACCCTTCCCTACCCTGAGCCGTGGGCACCCCTCACTGTCCCATCCCCCTCCCCACCTCATCATGTAGCAAGGCCTCATTAAGTAGGGACCATAGGTTAGTAAAGCAGGCAGGGTAGCCCTGCTGGGCGCGCTCCTTTAATTCCTGCCGATACTGCCGTAGCCGGGAAGGGGCCAGTATGCTCAGTTTGCTCTTGGTCACTTGTGCCCTCACTGCTTCTGTAGGCCCTGCCAAGTCCTTCTGGGACCAGTCTGGATCCTCATATAGGTTGGCCATGGCCCTGTGAAAAGACAGAGGCACGGGGGAAATGGGGGGCTGTCATCTCAGGACCACATACAAACCTCATGCCCACCAGAGAAAACAAATATCTGCTCCCTTCCCTGGCTAATTCCTCCTCTGAGGAAAAAGAATGGTAGAGCATAGACAGACACTTTGAGGACAGGGATTGCTTTGTTCTGGTCTTTGGATTCTCTGCACCTACCATAGGATCTAGGACTTGGTAGGTACTGAATAATGCTCATTGTTGAATGAATGAATGAATGAAAAAATGTATTAAGCTCTCAAATTTTTGTTGATAATAATATCTAGTGAAAGGAAGGAAGGATGGAAAGAAGGAAAGCAAGAAAAGGAAGAAAAGAAAGAAAAGAACAGAGGCAGCTGGGTGGTGAAATGGATAGAGCGCTAGGCCTGGAATCAAGAGGCCCTGAATTCAAATCCGAACTCAGACACTTACTAGTTGTGTGATCCCTGGGCAAGTCATTTAAGCTCTGTCTGCCTCAGTTTCCTCAACTGTAAAATAGGAATAATAACAGCATCTACCTCCCAGGGTTGCTATCAGGTATCAATGAGATATTTTTTAAAGCACTTTACACAGTGCCTGGCACATAGCAGGCACTTAATAGACGCTTGTTTCCTTTCTCCTTTTCTATTAGTCTGTGCCAGGCTTGTGTTAAACACTGAGGATACAAATACAAGCAAGCCAGGACCTGCCCTCAAGGAGCTTACATCTGAATGAATGAAGCAAACTTTCCTGGATATGAAACCCCACACCTCCCCTTCTAACCAGTTCTAGCGGAGGACTAGAAGTATTCCAACAATCTTGTAGGGTCAAAGAGATCTGAGAATTTCCCAAAGGTGATGTGCCTTCTTATGAGGCAGCAAACTCCCTGGAACATCCTCTCCCTATAATGTGCATGTTCTCAGTTCCCCTGGCCTGGGCAGGAAGCTACATTCCTGGAGGGTGTTGAGATAAGCCAACAAGATAAACCCCACGGGGCTGGCCTTGCCCAACCCTCCCAGGTGCCACCCAGGCTAATTCCACCCAACCCAAACCTTTGGCTCACCATGTGGAACCAGAGGCTCCAGTGATGTAGGAGACACAATCCAAAAGTCCCAGCTCCTTCAGACCTGAGAGCTGCCCATACAAGGAAGTCATTGCCCGGATCCCTCCGCCTGTGGCCATGATGGCCACCACTGGAATCTGAGAATGGAAGGAGCCCTGGTGAGGCCTCTGAGGAGCAGACTCTGAATTAGCCCAGTCCAGCCACTCAAAGAGCCCTGCAATTCACCACGGAGCTAGGGCTGATGGGATGAGAACTGCAAAGAACCTCAGAAGTTATCTAGTCCTACCCCCTCTTTTTACAGATAAGGAAACTAAGGCTCAGGGAGGTAAACACATCTTGCTTAGAGTACCCAAGGTAGTAAACATCAGAGGTGAGATTTGAACTCAGGTCCTCTGACTCCAGAGCCAATGATTTCCCACACAAATTCCAATACAACCCTCCAGGTTCCCATCTGATTTGGTCCTTCCAGGAGAGAACTGGGAGGATGCCGAGGTCAGCAGGAACTCCAAAGGGTTTAGACCAGCCACGAAACTTCCCTATTCCTAAGAACCCTACAAAGACCAAACCAGGATGATGTCCTCCTTTACCTCCTCTCACCCTTGCCCCACATAAAGGGGGCAATCTTCTGCAGTCTAGAATCCCCAGACTCACCTGCTGGTCCACTCTCAGCCTTCGTGTGGAAAGGTAAGAGCTGGAACTGGTTTTATCCTTCTTAAGAGATGACCCAGAATTAGCCCAAATTTCCTGGGACAACTCCCTATGGAAAAAAGATCTGCACCCTCAGGTGATTCTGGGATTCATTTCCAAAGTGGATTTCCAATGGGATTCACTGTCCTCAAAGCAGTAGAACAACTACTTAGCTGCTCTATTAGGAACTCCAAAATGGAATCTTATAGAGAGGCATCAGATAGGACACAGGGATATGAAACTGGAGTTGGAATTGGCAGGAAAGCTATGTATACTGTGGCTTCCCAAATTCGGGGTGTGTGGGGGGGAACCTATGATTTCATCATTGCAGCGAATCCCAGTGTGGGAATTTCCTCTGCTGAGGGATGAGCTACCAGCCAGGACCCCCCCATCCCTTCCTTTCTCCCACCTACACCCCAGCTGGGTGAGTGGGAAAAGTGGCATGTTTGCTCATACCACACGGATGAGCTGGGAATAAGACGCAAGCTTCAGGAAAAGGGAGCGCTCTCTGGCCTTGCTCTCCACGTTGTCTTCTTGGCACTGTGCCCGGACCATACCACCTGTCCTGCTGCCATGCCCTCAGATCCCCAGGGCACTGACACCTGGCCCGCTGATGGATCTGCTGCTATTAGCCCTGCTGCATCGAGCTCAGAGCCTCTCCCCAAACTCTCTCGGGTATGTGTCATCTTCCCCAATTACAGTGTGAACACCTTTCCAGCAGGGAAGCAGGGTCGGTCTCACATTTTCCTATTTGTAAACCTAGCAGTTATAGTAAATACTTAACAAATGCCTTTTCATTCATTCATTCATTCCCATAGATCGGCTGCTAGACTTTAGAGAGCTGCCTGGGATACTGAGAAGGTAGTGACCTGCTAGTGTAAGTCAGAGGAAGGACTTGAACCTGGGTCTTCTGACTCCAAGACTGGCCCTCTCCCCATTAGGCCATCCTGCCTCTCTCCTAAATCACAACCTCTGAAAAATCTCTCAGGTGCCTCAGACAAAGCCGTGTGCTCATTAGGCACTCGACAAAGAGGGGTGGGGATAGGCTGAGACAGACAGAGAGCCAGGGAGCCGGCCCGACTGGCAAGGAGGTGCCTAATTTGGTTACAGTTCTGCCCTGCAGTTCACTGGCCTCGAGCGCAGGGAGGATTTGGGCTTGGTCAGGTTCCAACATTCAGCCCTGGTGCTTCAGCCCTGGCTCACACGGCCAGGTAGGGCCCCACCCCACCTCCATGCAGGCCCAGCCCTCAAACCTCATCCTCCTGCAGCTCTTCCTTTAATTGCAGGGCTTGTTTCAGGGCTTTGGCCACCACCTGCTTCCTCTTCCTCAGGAACACCCGCTCCTCTTCACACAGCCCAAAGTCCAGGCGCACTGCCAGCTCCTCAGGGCTACGACAGGCAGGTATTGGAAGGCAGCACGTCAGTCCAAGTGCGCAGTGTCAGTGGGGGCTCTCTGAGTCCCTTTCTCAGGGAACCTCACACACCTTTGAGAGAGGGAAACTGATACCCACTCCCCAGCCCCGGTCCTACTCTATTTCCTCACTCCTTTCTTCCTTCCTCAGCTCTCTTGCTGGAGACTGTAAAGTCATCTCTGTAGATACAGACCCACACTCCATAACAAATGGCACCTTGCAGGGCTGGGAAAACACTGCCTCTTCTCCCTCCTAACCCTCCCCACCCAGGCTGACTTCAGAATCCTCAGTCATAAACATACAAGGAGGTAACTCACCCCCTTCGCCCCCCCTTCTGACCCTACTGTGCACTGAACCAAAGAAAAAAAAAAGAGAAAGGCCAAATATTTCTCTTTAGATCTGGGGTCCCCAACCTCTCTGAGGTAAGGAGCTTCCCTCCCTACCATCTGAAATGCTCATGAGCTGTAGAGAGTCAGATGTGGTGATGACTACTGGTCAGTAACCAAGCGCATCAGCTTAAGAATCAGACAGTTCAGCTCAGGGACCTGGGCTTTCAGTAAATGTGATGTAGGATTTACTGACCGTGCCTGTTTTGTGCTAGCTGACTGCAGGTGTCTAGATAGCAGAAGACGGGCCTTCCTAACTGAATTCTGTGTACAGTAAAGGATCTGGTAGCTGAGAGGTCCTCAGTATATGCTAAATGATGGAGGGAAGAAACCAAAAGGCTGTTTCCTCCCTCCTCTGTGCCTCAGTTTCTTCCATCTGTGCATGCTTCAGATGCCCCAGTAGGAATTTAGGCTCTATCCTGGTCCTTCCTCTGTACCTACTCATCTGTCTTCTTTGTATCCCTGTTCCAACTACTGCTAGAACTCAGAGAAATAGAAGACAAGAAGCTTTAACTACCACAGGTCGGTTAGAGTCCTTCCCACATCCTGTGGACAGAACGATTCATACTCTTTACTAGCTTTGAGAGCTGGCTAGACATTAATTTGGGCTGTGGCAGCCTCCCCATCTAACCGTGCTCCTCCCACCTTGATGACTCTCCATTGCCCAAGGATTCCTCTCTTTCTCCCCAAGTTCTGTTTCCTTTTATCTCCATTTCCTCTTGCCACAGGCAACCAACCACTCACCCTTTCTTGGCTTTCAGCTGCATCATCAGTTCCTGAAAAAAATATTCCCATCACATACTGTTGATCGAACTCAAGCTCCAGCATTCCCACCCCTGCCTCCCTTTTTATGGCAGCCCTGAAACGCAGTCACAGAGCCTTACACCCTGACTTCCCCAAAGCCCAGCACACCACCTTCAGGGATGGCCACGGCCTGGGGGCTGATGATCAGGGCTGTTTAGAGGACACTCTTCCTACAAAACCAGGGCCCTGGAGATCTACTCTGAGAGTACTGTCCCGTGGAAAAGAAAGAACACACAAAGAGAGCCAGAAAACAAAGTAGGTGCCCATAGACTGAGAATGGCTGAACAGACTGGCATAATGAACTCAACGGAATTATGGAGCCACTGAAAGTGACAGATACCAGATATTCAGAGAAACATGGGAAGACTTGCATGAACTGACTCAGGGTGGAGAAAGCAGAGCCAGGAGAACAAGATACACATTAAGCAGGACAACAGTAAAAGCAAGCTGAGGTCAGATTAAAGGAAAAGAACCATCTCCAGGCAGAGCTGGGGCGGGGCGGGGGAGAGAGGGGGCACAAGCGGGAGGGGAGAAATAATGGGTATGGAATGCTGCATACATGGTCAGATGTGGTGACTTTGTTGATCTGTTTTGCTTAACTGTTTCTCTTAGTTACAAGAGAGAGTTCAGTGGAGGCAGATAGAGGGGAAGCAGAAAATGCAGAGGAATGGGTCAGGACTAAAGCATGCAGTAAAAAGCCAAGGGCATAACCAAAACTTTACAGAGAAAAAAAGAAAGGCGGCTAGGCCTTCTGGGGCCCAAGCAGATCATCTTTTGTCACTTGAGGGGAAACAATACTGGGGCTCCTACCTCTGTTGTGGGTAAGGAGACCCTCACCGCGTGACCGGAAGGTAGTGACTTCAATGGCACCTTCAGCGCCTCCTGAGAAGTTCCCTGAAGGAAGTAAGGATGAACTACATGAAGGAACAAGTTATCACCTCAGCCCCAACCTCATTCCAACCTGATGGAGGATGGGATGGGAACACAGTAGAAACACGAGGAGGAAGGACTAGGGGAGTCACAGAGCCATCAAGAATGGGTGATCCTCTCATTCTCTATGATGGGGAAGGGCAATGGGAGGGGAGAGCAGGCTAGAGAAGAGGAAGAAAGAACTGGTAGTAAGGCTGGGGCAGAGGAGGGTCAGGAGACACCATCATCCCCAAAAGCAATCCTTGCAGAGATATGTCTACAGGTACTGCAGACCCCCCACCTCCTCTGCAGCCTTAGCCATGGAAAACCTAGAAAGGAACATTCCCACCACCAAAGTCCTTTGTACCATGAAATGGTTCAACATCAGAAGCCCTTGTGGTTTCACCAGTGGAAATGACACTAAAGAAGATGCATTACCATCTCCTTTGCTGCTCTGCCTGAGGACACTGGGCCTTTCCAGCTGACCTGAGGCTAAAACCTCCTGTAGATGTCATCTACCCCCCTTTTAGATTGTGTGCTTTTTAAGAGCAGAGATACTCTTGATTTTTTATTTATGTCCTTGATGCTTAGCATAGTACTCTGCACATAGTAAGCACTTAATAGATACTCATACATACATACATAAACACATACACACACACACACACACACACACACACACACATGTTCCTGTCCTCCTGGGAGGTTGAGAACATTACCTGGAGCTTAACACTTAGCTCTGACTCCCAGCAAGCTGGAGAGTGGAAGCAGATGGGGTTGCTGCCTGGGGTGACAGTCTGGCTGCCCTCATAGGACCCCAACACTAGGGCTTCGACTCCACCATCTGACTCTGGAACACGGAAAACACAAGGAAGATTGGGGGGAGAGGTGAGATGATTTCAATCCTCCCTCTCCCTAATGCCAGGAGCTCAGGGGGTGCCCTGGGAAAGCCCTGTTCACAATGGTCTTGGTCAGCCTGCTGCCAACATAGGCCAAGAATGAAGGGCTATCCACCAGTAGGAAGATGAGGGCTTTGCAGTAGATGGATGACCACATTCCCCAGCCCCAGCCCCAGCCCCTCTGTTCCTAACAGAGAAGGGGAGACACAGGCTACAACAATCTAGATGACTCTGGGAGCCAGAGGCTGCAAGCCTGACTCTTCCTAGGATCAGAGATTTAGAGTTGGAAGAGACTTTAGAGGTCACAGATGGATTCTATGATTAGAATCCAATCTCCCCATTTTTCAGGTGAGGAAACTGAGGCCCAGAGAGATTAAGTGATTTGTATTATGTGGCAGAGTCAGGATTTGAACCCAGGTCTCTTTCCATGGCACCATGCTGTCTGGGTTCCCTCCTAGAGATGCTGACTCACAAGGGTTGAGAGTAAGGGTTAATGGAAGCAGGGGCTGTATCCCTAGGGTAAATAAAGGAGGCTTACCTGAGTTATCTTGTATGCTCCCCATCTTTTCTAGCTGAACATCCAAACTGGAAAGCTCTCGGGCCTGAGGTAGAAACAGAATAGCTCAGATATGAATTCCGAATCCTTCCATGCTTCATTCTCAACCAGCTCATTCCCATTCCTGATCCCTATTACTATACTATCCTTGCCTGAAGGTAACTAGGGACCTTTTTCAGGTCCTGGATGGGTGTAGGTTTTGAACCAAGAGCAGGGAGGGTAGGAGGAGCTATGAACCATCTGTGACATCCCTGGACCCAGCATATGTGAATACCTGTGGCTTTGGGACTACATCTTCTCCTTTTGTTCTTTCTTTTAGTAAGACAGAAACTAAATGCTGAACTAGGAGGCCTGGTACACCTCTCTATCCTCTCCCACCCCATCTCATCCCAACTCATCCTATCCCATCGCCTCTCATCCCTTCCCACCACAAATAGGGACTTGGACCTATGATGTCATTGATAGAGGGAAGCCTCATTCTACCAATGTAGGTTGGTATCTTCTCTGCAACTTACAGCCTTAGAGAGTCAGAGACAACTTGGAGGGCTGTCTAGAGCACTGAAAAGTTAAGCAACTTGCCCAGGGTCACCCAGCCAGCATGTGTCAGAGGCAGGATTCAAGCCTGGATCTCCCTGGCTCCAAGGCCAGCTCTCCCTCCACTATGTTATGCTTCTCTGGGTCCTCTCTCAGAGGCAACCTCAGGCAAGGGGTGGTGGGGAGGAGGTGACAGGGAGGAGGAAGGGAAAAGAGTCCTTAGGAGTCTCAACCCTTCTGGCCTTGAAATCAGGAGGACCTGAGTTCAAAGCCTCAGATACTTGACACTAGCTGTGTGACCCTGGGCAAGTCACTTAACCCCATTGCCTCACCAAAAAAAAAAAGTCTCAACTCAACGTACTTGGACAGACACTTACCACAAGGACACCATTGGTGATGAGCTGTTCAGGGCATGCTGGCCTGAAAGGAATAAAAGATCTGATTTCTAAACCTGGCTTTGCCACTAGCTTTCAATGCAGCACCCTGGCCAAGCATTTCATTCCCTCTTAAATCTCTTAAGATCCCTTTCAGCTCCGATTTCTATGATTTAAGAAATAGCCCCATAAAGGTTCCCCTACTGAGACTCCATGCTCTCATTCCCAATGATCAATGTCCCCTCCCTATAGAAAAAATCTCATATAGTGCGTGCCAACTCCGGGGGTGGGGTGGAGGAGGGCCCTCTATCTAGTGACAGAACTATGTCAGCCAGGTAGCCCACGGGGCCTTCCCAGGAAGTCCTAGCAGGTCAGTGGCTCCAGGCAGCTCCAGACTCACAGATTTTGTAGCCAAAACTCCACCTCCAGCTCTTCCTTGCCCTTGGGAGAGAAAAAAAAGTCAGTTGGGAAAGGGCAGGGTGTGTGTGTGTGCGTGTGTTTGTTTTGGGGAATGGGTTTGACAATCAGAATCAGAAGTTTACTCCATCACTGGTTTTGATGGAGAAAATGGTCTGGATGGAGTTCCATGTGGGTAGAGAGAAGTGAATAACTTTCTTTTTTCGTGTGTGAGGCAATTGGGGTTAAGTGACTTGCCCAGGGTCATTCAGCTAGTAAGTGTCAAGTGCCTGGTCTGAGACTGGATTTGAACTCAGGTCCTCCTGACTCCAGGACCGGTGCTCTATCCACTGCACCAGTGAATAACTTTCTAACTAATTCTCTCTATCTTTCCCCCTGATGCTTCCAAGTACAGCTGCCCCTTGAGCACAAAAAGAGATGGACTTGGAGAAGGGCTTCCCTACTTACCACGAAAGCCCTGAACACAGCCTCACCTGAGGATTAAGGGTAAAGCTCTCCCGCTGGCTCTCCCCAACTTTCAGAGTCCCCACATCAAAGAGCACAGAGAATACGGGGTCATCTTTGGTCAAATGGTCCTGGTCAAATACTTTCAGCTCCAGCATATTCTGAGAACAATAATCACACTTAGATAGTGTTTTAAGATATTAAAAGTGCTTTACACACATCATCTCATTTGACCCTCACAAGGACCTTATAAGAAGTAGGCTACTATTAAAGCCATTTTGTAGGTGATGAAACTGAGAAGGGAGGTAGGGAATAAATGAAAGGGTTCAAAGAAAGGGTCTGGGGTGGGGGAGGCAGAGGAGAGAAAACAAATGAAAGAGAAAACAATGAAGTTTGACAGGAGGAAGACCAAGGAGATTAGGAGCTTGCAAATGGGTAGAAGGAAATGTTGAAATAAATGTTTACTGAATGAATGAAAGAATGAATGTTGACCCCTTTCTTCTTTGCAGAAGTCAGGAACTTACTGCATATACTATCAAGCTTGATCAATCTGTGAAATCAGTGTTGCTGAATTGCTCTCTCTCTCCTTTCTCTCACCCTCCCTCCCTCCCCTTCTTTTCCCCCCCCCTCCTCTTGTCTCCTTCCCTCTCCCTGTCTCTCCCTGTGTCTCCTTCTCTCTCTCTCTCATCCTCCTATCTCTCTCCTTCTCCTTCTCTCTCCTTCTCTGTCTCTCCCTTTTAATTCTTTTTATAAGAAGTAACTCCCTGAATGGGGAGGAGGGAAGGGGGGAAGGATACATTTTGAAATGAAGATGACAAAATAAAGATAGCAGTAAACCAGTGTGTGTGTGTGTGTGTGTGTGTGTGTGTGTGTGTTTAAAGAGAAGGGCATGTTGAGTGGGGGCACTGGGAATTGTCTGTGGCACCTTGACGTGGTGATGGATCCGGAAGCAGAAGGTCTGGTTCCAAACAGGGTTACTGCAGTTCCTTACTGTACGTGTCCGAAATTCTTGACTTGAAGCTGTGGGCAGCCATAGGCTCACATAGCTGTCAGAGGGGGTTACTACAGAGGAAGAGGGAACACCATTCAGAAAATCATAGGATCATAGAGCAAGGGCCAGAAGGGTCCTAAGAGGTCATCTAGTCCAACCCCACCTTTTTTTTTCAGACTAGGAAACTGAAGCTCAGAGAAGTTAAGGGACTTGACCAAAGTCATATGGGTATTAGACGGCAGAGGCCAAATTCAAACTCAGTTCTTTGACTCCAAATCCAGTACTCTTTCCACAATGCCTTGATGCCTCCATGAAGTAGCAGTGCCTCTGGGATCATAGGTTCCCATTTCTTCCCTTAAAGAACCCAAGTCACCTCCCTCCTGATTTGTCAGAGCACTGGGTTCTCCAGAGACCTATGGACATTTGCAACCAGAGCCAAAGGGAGAAGCAAGATCAGCTGAGGCCAAAGTTCCAAACGTCCACCAGCCTGCCCTGGGAGCATCCCTTGCCTGGCTGCCTCAGCCCTCTAGTCTCCTCACCATCCCTTGGCCCCAGTCCTAGTCCTGGCCCCCAGGTGGAGTCAGGGCCATCAAGCAGACAGGGAAGGAAGGGGCTAGGAAAGGAATTCTGTACTCACATATGTCTTTGGATGGAAAGCCATGGGCCTTTAGGACCCGAACAGAGAGCAGACTGCTACCAGGGGTGGGCTAGGAGTAAGAGAGGTAAATGAGCAGTTGTATGATTATTGGAGGTTGATGTAGACTGGGGTGACCCCTTGCTTTTTTCAGCCTGACACCAAAGGAGTGTACCATAGGGGACACACTCACACAGGTATTCAGTCATTGCCTTCCCCTTGGACAATCCTGAATTGGGAATGGAGATGAAGCTGTTGATGCAGAATCTCCACTGCCTTCAGTATAGTTTGTTGTCTTTCTTGTTTTCTTTCTTCCTTCCTTTCATATCTCACTCATCCTCCTTTTCTCCCTCCTTCCCCTATCTTTCATCTTATAACTGAGCCCAGATTATCTGCTGGCAAAATTAAGGCTGATCTGGTTGTGAGGGAGGCAGGGAGGATTTGCTTTGGTGGTAAGACAGAAAGAGTAGAGTGGAAAAGGTTATGTCAGATGCTGGCTTGGCCCTGGGTCCCTAAGTCAAATTAAACGGTTAATTGTTAGTGGTGGTCCTTTTTCCCTGACCTTTGGCCAGATTATAAGCCAAGAAGAAATGGATTCTCTCCTTGAGAGCAGGATAGCTTCATTCCTTGTATTTGTATTCTCAGTGCCTAGTAAATTCTTGTTGATGGATTGATTCTGTCTCTGTTAGAGGGATTCCATCTTCCCAAGTTTTGCATCTATAGCTTCTCCTGCCTCATTCAATTACCTTCTGCCTTTGTGAGGCTTGCCTTGGGAAGGAGCTTCCCAACCACAAGTACCCCCAGTGGTATATCGCCTGCCCTGATATGCCCAAGAGGTGCTGGGGTGCTACCTACCCCTCCCTCTTATCTTTAGACTACCAGTGAGTGACAGCAGGGACAAGAACTCCCTCTAGAGAACAAAGGAGGTTTGGCCCATGCCAGCCCTAAGGCCCCCACACCCCCAGGAGTTGCTGAGTCACAAAGGATGATCTCTAAGGCAAGTCATTCACTTCCTTCTGAGGCCCAGAGGCCTCAGATAGCATGGAAACCAAGTAAGTCTGGTCCCAATAAGCTCTATCTGGAGTCTGCTTGTGGATACCCAAAGGCCTTTCTAACTTTAAGTTTGACTCAGGGCATATTCTGGAGCCCCCCCACACACACACTTTGTACCAGACACTCAGAATCCCCGATTTGGAAGGGTCCTCGATTGCTATCCAGTCTGAGTCATACCCCCAAAGAATCCCCACTACAATATATCTGACAAGTGGTCTTCCAGTTTCTGTTTAACAGCCTCCAGTGGCAGGGGAAACCTACCCCATCCTGAGGCAGCTCATTCCACTTTCAGAGAGTTCTAACAGAACCACTGAATAGCTAATATCAAGACTAAATGTATATCTTTGAAATTTCTCCCATTACTTCCAGGCTTGCCCCTCTGAGGCCAAGCAGAACAAAATCTAGTTTTTCCACATAATGACCTTTCAAATATTTGAAAAATCTTCCACATCCCCCTTGAATCTTCTCTTCTCCAGGTTAAGTTTCCTTAGATCCTTCATTCCAGCCTCATATGGAGAGTACCTGACTCTCCTCCTCTCCCCAAACCCCATCTCCTTCTGTAACAGTACTCTTGACCCTGGGCACAGGACCAAGAGAGAGCTTCTCCTCCACCTAGGGAGGCAGCCTCTCTAGTTACTCCTGGTCCAGTGAGGAAGAGAAATAGGCTTATACAAGGTCATCCCTGGAGCTAGAGAAGCCTGGCAGTGCAAATTGGTGTGCCAGGACCCTGAGCCCAGCCACCAGGAGCCCAATTCCCTGATGGGTCCTTACCAGAGCCATGCCTTTCAAATCCTGTGGAACGCCGGGGAAGATGTAGTCTCAACCACAACGAAGCCTATGTATGCAGGTACGCTGGGGCCAGGGATGTCACAGATGGCTCAGAGCTCCTCCCACCTTCCCTGGCCTTGGCTCAAACCCACACCCATTTCTGAAATAATCACCTGCGCTATGAATGAGGCAGGCAATACACACACACACAGAGCTGAGCCAGATGCCAAGATTCCTTGTCTGGTTCATCCTGGTCCTCCACTTCCTGGATCTTGGTTTCCCAACAGATGGGAGGCTTATGTTCTATCTAAGGCTAAGGAAGCTGTCCCCTTCCCCAGCTGAGGTTGCTTCTTTGTACAGATCCCTCCCTATCTCTGCTAGCAAAAGGCCAAATGTCCAGGAGTTTGGAGAAGATACTAGGTGGCACTTGAAGGAATCAGCAGGCCAGGAAGGGAACTCCAAAAAGGACACATAAAAAACCCAAGCTCCTGTTGGTATTGATAAGAGCCTATGTTTCACAATCTTCCTGTGCCAGCAGGACAGGAATCCCCAGCCCTAATTGAAACAGCTGATTTGAGGCCCATCTAAGAAGAGTGTGTCAGGCCCAAGTTCTCCCATCTTAACAAAAAGGAAGAGCTTCAGCTTGCTGAGGTAGGCGGGAAATGGGCTGTGTGAGGTCTTCAGGGAAAATAAGGCAACGGATTCAGGCATCTTTGCAGCTGCAGACAGATGCTGGAAAGACTTAATGTGATGAACCCAGAATGGAGGTAGGGTCTGGGTATGGTGTGTGGGTAAGGAAGAAGTAGAAGGATGGACAGCATGACTGTGGAGTCCAACTCCTTCCCAGAATGTCATCGTCATCAGGCAGGTGTCTTCTGTTTGTGAAGAATGGCTCTGGGAGGTTGGGAACAGCTTCTCCCAACACCATCTCACTCCCTCTGCCATCAGCCCAACCCTAGAACCCAAGACCATATCAGATGAAGTTAAATAGGGGTTACCTGAGGGCTGGCTCCATGTCTCTGAATGCTGTCATGTGGAAGAGAGATTGGATCTGTTTTGTTAGGTCCCGTGGAGCACAACCAGAAGCAGTGGGTGGAAATGACAAAGACTTGGATGTCGGGGAAATCTCCTCACAACTAGAGTCATCAAAATGAGCATGAGCTGCCTTGGGAGATCTTTGTTTCCCTAGGCTGGATGACTACTTGTAAGGTAGACTAAAGTGGAGATTCTGTTTTGGGTATGAGTCAAGCCTCCATGGAGGCAGCCGGTGGCATGGGGGTTAGAGTGCTGGGCTTAGAATCAGGAAGCCCTGGATACAGATCTGGCCTTGCACACTAGCTGTATGATCCTTGGCAAGTCGCTTAACCTCTAAATGCCTCAGTTTCCTAAACTGAAAAATGGAGATAACAATAGGACCTATCTCCCAAGGTTTTTATGAGGATCAAATGAGAATGTAATTGTAAAGCACTTAGCACAGAGCCTAGCCCATAGTAGGTACTATAAAAATGCTTATGCCCTTTGCTTTTCTACCTGGCGGCTGAGGTATTCTTTAACTATAAATTCCTATGTGAACATGACTGTTTTGAGATTTTGTGTCTTTGTTTTCATCTTGCTCTGAATTCATTCAGAAGGTTGACCTTCAATCTTGTCACCTTGGATGAATTAAGAAAAGGAGGATTTGCTGATGTCCTAGACTGAGACCAGGGTCTCCATCAGGGCTCCTGGGAGGAAGGTTAGGCAATGGCTCTGGAGATCAGCAGAAGAAGCTGAGCCCAAGAGCCTAGTAGTTCTTCAATGAAGATGGAGCTAGGGAGAAAGCTGTCTCTTTCCCCATCTGAGGTTGCTTCTTTGTACTAATCCTCCGTAGCTAGCAAAGAGTCAAATGTGCAAGTGCCCCACAGAGCTCTGTAGGGTTAATCTGCAGCATCAGTCCTACCTTGCTGACAGTGGAAAAGAAGAAAGAAGGAAGACCATGTGACATCAAGGCTAACAACAGATTTATAGGAACTCAACCAAACAAGTCCCGGTTAGAAGGCTGCAGCTGAGGGCTTCACAAGGCAAGGGGAAAGGGCTGGAGTTACTGCCATTCTCAGAGGAATTTGGTAGCAGGAAGGTTCTCACATGTAAGTCTGGTCCTAGCACCATCTCCCCTCCTCCTCCCTCCAGCCAGCCCCTTGAACATCTCCATCAATCCACAGCCCCTCACCACACCTGAGATGACTTCCCACAGGTCCTTTCATGTCTCTGGCTGGACTGAGTTTAGATCAGCTTGGTCCTGGCTCATTCCTGGGTCCAAATGCCATGCCTGTTTGGCAAAACTGTTCTAAATGGAACCCTATTCATACCCTGTGTTTATCTAGGAAAAGTCCTTAAAACCCCAGGGGCTTCTCTGGACTGTCTTAGAGTGACCCATCCAGTGAGCTCACAGAGGGTCCATCCTAGCAAGATCGGTGGCCTTGGAGAGGGAGTCCAGAAGCTGGTAGTAGCTGTACTTGAGGTCATATTCCATGTCATACCAGAAATTCACTGTGGAGAAAAGAGGATCTGATCCAGCCACTAAATCCTCTCCACACCTAATCTGGACCCAGTCCCCAGGTCCCTGCAAAATCCCAGTCCTCCTCGCCCCTACCTACCCTTGGACTCCTTACCAGCAATACAGCCATGAGACTGGCGGACGTGATGAAACCAGAGAGCCGGCAAGTAGAACATTTCTCCTGCTTTCACTGTGCAGTGCAGGGGCTGGGCCCGCTTGTACAATGGAAATCGGACCAGGTCTGGAGCCAGGGGATCTAGTGGGATCCAAGGTATCTGCAGGGAACAGTAATTACCACGGGACAAACACCGCAATCCAAAACCTTGCCATCCCTCCTCCCGTCACCTGGATATCCAGCAATCTCTCTGACCAACGAGGCAGGAGATGAGGCAGGAATCATAATAGACTTGTGCTCTCCAGGACAGAGCCCTGCCCTTCCCATTCCTATAGGTCAGGAGGTGTGTGGTTGTATGTGTGTGTGTGTTTTGTTTATTTATTTGCCTTCTTCCCATGACCAGTCCCTCCCCCAAGCCTACAGGCTGGATGCAAGACAGGCACCTTCTCCATGGCCTCCTCATCCACCATCTTGAAGGAGCCATCCGCAGACATGTGATAGGTTGCTGGCGTATACAGCTCTACAGCAGGAAGGATACAGGGTTAAGAGGAGAAAGGCAGGGTCAGAATGAGGCAAAGTCAGTCAAGGTTGAATAACAGCTACATCCACCCAAATCAATCAATGCTCCCTACCTCCTTCTCTCACATCCCTGTGTGGGATCCATTTTCCCATCACCACCTCAGGCTCAGAGTGTCAAGAGGATGTGAGCTGCCCAGATAGATAAGTTGCAGCGCCCACCCTTCCACACTTAAGACCAGAAGTATTAGGATAGCTCCTTACTGGCCAATACATCACCACCCTTTTTTAATCTTAATTCTGAGTCTCCCCACAATAGTCTCATTCTGCCACTTCATGTACCATAAGGGATGAAAGGTCGGTCACTGGGAGGGTGTAAGAGGAACTGCTTCTCCCCAGATATCACACAGTACAGGTTCTCATAGTGATCCTTGTGCACTGAAAAATACAGGGAAGGGTTGTGGGGAAAAGGTTTAGAGTCAGAAAGAAGGCCTCAGAAGAGAAAAGATGGGTCCATTTTGTCACATGCTGGCACCCCGCCCACTCCATCGCTGGGCCTGCGGAATAAAGCCTTTCCTTTTCATGACCAAGAATCAGAGGCCATGGGAGGCTGGGGACAGCTTCTCTCCACATCTGTCTCACCCCCTCTGCCACCAGCCCAACCCTAAAACCCAAGACCATGTCAAAAAAGATGAAACAGGGATTAACTGAGCGCTGTCTCTGTGTCTTTCAATACTGCTTTATGGAAGGGAGATTAGGTCTGTTTGGTTTGGTCTCACAGATCACAACTTGGAGCAGCGGTAGAAATGACAGAGACTTTGATTTAGGTGAGTCCAACCTGTCCACCAGAGTCTGGTCCCTTTCCCATCCTGGCCTCAGCTTCTTCATTCATTGGCCACTTACTCCCTGACTCTCCCGGTACTTACAAGATGTCACTGCTGCTTCTTCCCCCAGCCAGAAGTTCACAGCATCAGGCATCTTCCCTAGATAGAGAGACATTAAATATGTATGTATGTATGTATGTATGTATGTATGTATGTATGTATGTATGTACGTACGTGTGTATGTATGCATGTGTGCACGTACATATGTGCACACACATATATACACATGTATATCTGTATGAATGTATGTATGTATGCAGACATGCATATATACATATATACATATACATGTATACATATGTATATGTATATACATAGACACACACATACATACACACACACACACACACACACAAACATGTATGCATACAACTTACTTATTAAGTGTTTACTATGTGCTGAGCACAATGCTGAGTTCTGGAAACGTTAATACAAGCCAAAAAGGCAGTTCTTGCCTTCAAACAGTTTACGTTCTAACTGGAAATCCAGAGGGAAAAAGAACATGAACATGGACTCCCTTCTTCCCCTGCCAAGGGCAGATGTGGGAATCACTTCCAAAGAAGAGTGGGATAGGCATGACCACACACAGCGTGAGCTAGGACAGCAGATGAGGGTAGGATAAGGGTCTGGGTGGAGGCAGGGTCCTGGTGGACAAAGAGGCCTGGGCACTGGAACTGGGGACAGCAGGAAGAGCTAACAATCCAATAAGGCCCTTACATAGAAGAACCTTACCTACAATTGATATCACAAGAGGGCCGGGGAACTCGAGCCTCTAATAAGGAGGGGTAGGAGTGGGCAGTCATTGCTCAGACCAGACTTCATAAGGCCAAGAAGGCGGGGGCCATAAAAAGCCAAATTTACATACTACTTTGTGTTTGCTGGGCACCTCCTTCACCACAGCCGTGAGGTATATGGGGCAAGTATGACTATCCTCATTTTACAGATGAGGAAACAAGCTCAGACAGAGGTTAAATAACTTGCCCACAGGTCATATAGTTAGGAAGATCAGAGTTAGGACCCAAACCCAGGTCTTTCAAGTTCGGTCCCCCTTCCTCTCTACCCCATTGCCTCTCCATTCCCACTGAGTAATGGAGATAGCAGGGAACGGTGGAAATAGTTCCGGGTTTGGAGTTAGAGGGCCTGGGTTCAAATCCCAGTTCTGTTACTTATTACCTGTATGACCTTGGGCAAGCCCCGGTCTTCAGTTTCCTCATGTGTAAGATGGACTAAGTGGCCTGGAAGTCCTTTCCACCTCTAAAGCCTACCATTTCTAAAGGGTAGAATGTCTTCTATGAGGCATCAGCGTCTACCACTAGTCTTATAGAGCTAAGCGATGAATAAAGGGTCAGGGTCCTGAATATCTGAGTTCCAATCATGGTTCTACTTTGTTCTCCCGCTGATTCTTCTTTCTCCCTAGATACTTCTCTACTCTACCCCCACCCCCCAACTACCTCAACTTACCCAGTGCTTCGCTGGCCCAGGGCACATGGGATTCAACATCAAGCAGCAGCTGGGGCAGCTCACAGGAGAGGTTAGAGCATTGCTTCTGCACATAGAGCACCCCAGGGTGACAGGCTTTGCCCTCCAGCACATCGATCACTGCTCCCAGAGGCAGCCGCCGCTCTGCAGGCATCACAAACCGGTCCCCACGCACTGCATCCGCATAACCATCTGGCGTCACAGCGACACTCACCTCCGTGCTGCCCACGGTGGCCCTGCAGGAAACTGACGATCAGTCCCCGGGCCACGGCTCAGACTTCCCAACACCTAGTGGAACAGTGTCCCAAACCCATTACAAAAAGAGGCAGCTCCCACCTGAGGTAGGAGAACGTCCACTTCTTAAGGGCGGGCCAGTGTTGCAGGGCATTACGGATGATGCAAGGCCTGTTGGGACACACCCAGTCTCTGCAGAACTGGAGAGGAGTCGGGGGCCCTTCCAGGTAGGGCACAGCGAACGGCACGTTGAGCTCTGAGAACAGACAAGGGCTAAGACATCGGGGGTCGGGGACTCTGACTTTATTTGCTAGGAGAAGGAGAACGAGGAGCACTACCTTGTATGGTCTGCACTGTGTCCCCCTGGCCACCTGTCCTGAATGCCCAAAGGGCCCTACCCTGGCTTGAATATGGGGAAAGGGAGGCAAATCAAGGTAAAGGACAAATGAATACACCTGTTCAAGGAATCGAGAGGGTCACTCATATCCTGGGGCCTCCTGCCCATTTGATCCAAAGGCAGCTATGTGGCACAGTGGACAGAACACTGGGCCTGGAGTCAAGGAAGACCTGAGTTCAAATCTGCCCCCAGCCACTTACTAACTGTATGACCTTGGGCAAGTCACTTAACCTCTGTTTGCCTCAGTTTCCAGCACCTACCTCACAGGGTTGTTATGAGATATTTATAAAGCACTTTACCCAGTGCCTGGAACATAGTAGATGCTATATAATGCTCATCCTCTCCTTCCCTCCCTCCCTCTTTATGGATTTGCATAGATTCAGTCATACATATCAGCCTCAGTTCTTTCTGTCCCAGCCTGACGCAGCCTCCTGGCTCATCAGGATTGCTCTCAGTGACCAATGCAGTGTTGAGAGCCTTGAAGCTAATGACAGCTCACACTCAACACAGCACTTTGAGGTTTGCAAAGCACTTTAAATGCCTCCTCTCCTCAGAGCCTCACAGCCATTTAGTGAGGTAGGTTACCATCTCCCAATTTTACATTTGAGGACACTGAATCTGGAGAGGTTAATTGATTTGCCCAACTAGTATGTAATTAAGCAAGGATTCAAACACAGGTCTTGCTGACTCCAAGTCTTACGAGTTATTAACTAAGCAGTGTAGGTGCATTTCCTGTGGATTCCATCAAGGTACCAGTGCCGTGCTAGGTGCTGTGGAGACATTAAAGAACCATTAGAGAACAGCCCACAAGGAGCTGGGTGGGGCAGGGGTGGAGAGTGTGGGGATAAGCCACATACAAAACAATAATAATCAGAAAACAATGCAGTCCCCAAAGCTATTAAGTCATTCTTACCCTCTGAGTCTGCAATATCACAGGCCTGCATAAAAATCAGATCAACAAGGTGATCAATGAATAAAGTAAGGCATTTATTCAGGGTCAAAGAATTGAAATTTGGAAAAACCCCACTATCTTAGATGGGAAGTTCAGTGAGCAGAGTCACAAATAAGCACTCAGAAGGAGGGCAGCTGGGTAGATAGATGGAACAGTGGTTCACAAGTTACTCTTTGCAGGGTTATAGCACTTTCCCAGAAAAACCACAGGATTGGGTTTAAGGTTTCTAGCCAATAGAGGCAGGCCACTGACCTGGACCCTAGCCAGGGTAACCCATAGGGTCATCAAAACAGCCAAACTGTAGGAAAGGAGGGGTTGCAGAAGTGTCCCAGACTTTCCCAGGGATTGGTGTCTATAACCCAAAGAGGTCACAGAAGAAAAGGACCCATACACACAAAAATACTCATAACAGCTTTTTGTGGTGGCAAGGAATTGAAAACTGAGGGGATGCCCATTCAATGGGGAAGAGCTGAACAAATTAAGGTAAAGGAATGTATTGGAATACTACTGTGCTGTAAGAAAGGATGAAGAGGACAATTTGGGAGAAACCTGAGAAGATTTATATGAACTGATGCAGAGTGAAAAGACCAGAATAAGAACAATTTATATGTGCTCTGTGTGTGTGTGTGTGTGTGTGTGTGTGTTTGGACATGGCCAATTCAAGAATTTGTTTTGCTTCTCTATACATGTAATTGGTTTAGTTTTTATTGCTTTCTCAAAGTGGGGAGTGGAAAAGAATGCAGACTTAAAGTAAAATTGAACTTAAAGAGAAAAGAAGACAATTCAGCATTTCTCTGTGGAAATCTAAGTATCACTATAAGGGCAGTGATTTCTGAGGAGAGAGATCAGTGTGAGCTGAGAGATCAATTGCAGAAGGCTTCATTCATAGAGGAGATAAAGACTTGAGTTGGGCTTTGGAGAACAAGCAAAATTTCGTAGAGGGGAGAAGGAGCCGGGGAACCATTTAAGCAAGGCCATCTCTATTTTGATGTCCCACTATCACCTCAACCTCAGTATGTCCCAAAGAGAACCTAGCTTCCACACCACCCCCACCCCTCCAAAAAGTTTCCCTTCCCAGCCATCTCATTTGTAGTCCCATTCCAGTTTCCAAAGCTACGAATTTTGAATTCATGTTTTACTTCTTCTCTTCCTTCATATGGGGGGTGGGGGGCAAAAGTCTTAGGCTTAACAGCTTTAAACTGCACTTAAGACTTTGGGGACCCACTCTATAATGTCTCACCCAATTTCTTCCTTAGGAGCATGGACTTGGAACGGAAAAGGACTCGAGGTCATCGAGCGCAAGCACATTTTATAAAGGAAGAAACTGACAGCCAGAGACACTGTATCTGGCCCAAGGTCGAGTAGTAAGTGGCGGGATTTGAAGGCTGGTCCTCCTCCGACTCCAGATCCGGTACCCCCCCATTCCCAAACTCCCATCCCAGCTGGTCGTCACTCCGCCCCTCCCTCCGAACCATCCTGTCCATCATCATCACACAGCTTGCCTTCCTCGGGTCTTGGGGAGGCCTGGGCCGATCTGAAAGGCCCTGGAAACTGCGGGGATGGCTGGGATTGGGCTCGAGGTTCCTTTGGAACTTGTTTCTGGAGAGTAAACTCCATGAAGGCAGGGCCACCGTCTTTCCGACCTCTCCCCAGAACACAGGGAGGGGCTTACGCAATGATTGAAAACGGGTTGTTTCCATCCTGCACCCTCCCCCCCAAGTCCTCCAACTTCCCAGCCCGTCTCCCAGAAAACAAAGCTCCCACCTCCCCCAGGCCTTCAGAGCCTGCACTGCTCTATGACCCGCAAGGGCTACACAACTCCCAGGATGCACTGCGCCTGCACCCTAAGAGTCCACGGCAGCCGGAACCTTGCGGGGGGTGAGGCCCACGCCCCAGGACTACTAATCCCGGCGTGCACCGGGTCCCTGTCCTGGGCAGGACTACAGAAGGCCGCCGTAGCCTCGTAGTAAACCCCACTCACCCCGCGCAGCATTTGGAAATTCTGATAAATGCTTTCGCACGGCGTCCAGCGCCGCCTCCGCCATAGCCACGCCGGGCCCACGAGCCCCTCCCAGCCCCGAAGCCGCACCCCCGGGCAGGAGCAGGCCCCGCCCCCGAAGGCTCCTGGAGCCCGCCGCGCCCCACCCCCCACCCCCCGGAGCGCCGCACACAGTAAAGCCGCTCGTCAGTAACAAAGGAGCCGTGTTTTATTGACTCATTCGACACGGATACAAACGGAGACGTTAAAAAGGACCCCAGCCCCGCAGGGAAGCACAGGGAAAGGGGGGGAGAGCGAGGCCTGGGGCCGGAGTATAAAAGTTATAAATAAGGGGTGTTCAAAATGTCAATAGACAAGGGGCAGTGCCAAACCTCGGGCATGCAGAGGCGCCCGGCCCAGCTCCGGCCGCGGGCCGAGGGCGGTAGAGGCTGAAGACTACAGCCTTTACTTAGTAAAGTGATAAGTCCCTCCTCCTGGGAGCGGGGAAACACAAGTGGGAATGGAGGCCTCCACTGACCACGGGGAGGCCCCAGGGAAGGGCAAAGGTAACTCGAGGTTCGCGGTCTGGAATTAACTGCAGCATTGGACCCTGGCTGGCCTGGTCTGGGAGGCTGGAGTGAGGCTTCGGCGGGCAGGGGCAGCTTTGGAGTGAATTTTGGAAATGGGCCGCTGCGGTCATGCGTGGCAATCCTTCCCAGGTTTCTGGTCTCACTGATGTGTGGCACACATGCCACAAGGTTTTCCTAAGGGTGGCTCATGCTGATGTCAGTGCTCGGGATGGTGGGGAGGGGAGATGAGCTTGTGGGAACGTGGAAGTGAGAAGATGCAGGAATAATCAAGCACAGCTAAGCCCCAGATTGTCCCCAAGTCTTCTGCTTAGATTGACCAGGATTGCAGGGCCTTTTTTTTGTTAACACGGGGAAGCACTCTCTACACGGAGCTCCTTCTCTACAAGGAGCCAGCAACAGAGGTCCCAGAGACAAACTCTCATAACCCTCAGTTCTTATATGAAACCTACTAGGTCCTACTTTTACATGCCTGCCCTTCTACTTCTCTCACCTCCACTCATAACCTTCCTTTCTAATACTCAGCCCCCTACCCTACACTACTATTTCTAACCTCTCTCCCCTAAACCTGTTCCACTTACCTTCTTCCCAAAATGTCTCTGAGCCATTGATTAGATTCATAGCTACCTAAGCCTCTGTCCCCTCAACATCAGAATGTACTAAGGACCCAGTGATGGCTACACAACACTTCTGAAGAAGGCCTGCTTTCCAGACTATATGGCTTTAAGTGAGATCTCCTGTTGTCCTATGGGAGCCAGGGAGCCCATCCTGTAGCTAGAGCAACAATTCTGTCAAATCTACCACACAGAGCTCTGAGCCCACACCCTTTCATGTGCCACTTTAAGTTTCATCAGACAAAATGAGGAAGATTGCGTTGAGAGTCAATGCAGGGGGCAAAGCCAAGGACTGCAAGGGCAGTAGCCACAGTTGGAAGAATGAGTAGTGGGGAGGAAAGGGGATCATAGTATGAGGTTCCTGCTTCTGAAATCCTTGAAGGAAGATGGACAGTTATGATGGGGCTAGCACCTTAGAACTGCCCTTCAAAGGCAGATGGGAAGCTCCAGCCCTCATCCCCACAGACTTTGACCAAGCACCGAAGTTATCAGAAAAAGAGGATATGCTTGGCTTCTACAGTCTAGAATTCAGGAATAATATAAAGGAGGAAAAGTGGGATGGGGGATGGGGGGAACAGAAGAAGGAGGAGGAGACCAGAACTCCATGGTACATAACACCCAGCCTGAAGACCTTACTGACCTGCAGTAATAACGCCTCATAGAACTGGCCCCACATACTTTGGGAGATAGGGAGAAGAACACTTCTTCCTTGGCGGGGAATGTAATCAATGTTGGGAGAAGGGCCCTTTGAAAGGGGACAAATTATAGGGGAAGAGGTATCACTGACCTGACCATTCTTGTCCCCTAATGGTTGAGTACCATAGATAATAGGTCCAGAGGATTTTGCATGTCTGAACTGCAGGGGAACAATGGTGACAGTGCCAGCCACTGGGACCTTCTACTCATGCACTGGAGAAGCCTAGCTAAGTTTCAGGGCACGGGGGATGGAGGCAGGACTTCCTGCCATTGGTGAGGTGGGGCAGGCACTAAGTGCCTTTACCCCACTGAATACCCTGTATTTGCTTCAGCCCAGGGAGCTGATCCCTGCAGTGTTTCAAATGGCTTCAAAGAGAGGAGGGTCTAGGACCCCTCCCCAGTTCCCCTGAACCCAATGGGATGAACTGCTTCCCAACTCCCCACAGCTTCCATGCAGCACCAAGAAAACTTTGGGCAGTCTTCAGACATGCTCCAGGAACAAGCATCTGGAGGCACTGTGGAGGCAGAAGTCAAGAGTGGGACAAATGTCAGGAAAATAAATTAATAAATAGGTCCAGGCAGCACTAAGGAAAATATGGGAAAGCTGGGTCCCCCATTTTCCATCTGAAGGCTGCCCAGAGGGTAGACCCCTCAGGTTTCAAGAGTCTTGACACAGGTCTATGGGGAAGAAGGTGAAGGGGGGACAACACCCCTTTGGACAGGTGCTCTGGGGCTCAGTGCCTTCGCTCCATGCGTCGTTCCACAGCCTGAAGCAGCAGCTCTGAGTACTGCTCCAGCAGTGCCTGAGTCTGCTCAGCTCCCACAGCACTTGGGCTCCCACTCGGGCTGGCTGTCACCACGCCGACCAGGGCCTCCAGTTCCTGCCGCACCGAAGAGAAGGTGTCACTGAGGATTTGGGCAATTTGACTTTGCTCAGCTGAAGGTGTCCTCGTGCTGGCCACCTGCAAGAGGAACAACCAAGAATTAAGTAATCCAGGTCACTGGGGGTAGGGACCGGGGTGGGGGAGAAAGATGACTCCCAGGCTACAAAAGGGAACACATGCACCTCTTCCCTAGGTTTTTCTGTAGCTGGATGAGGTGTCTCTGCTAGATAAGCTTTTCTTAGACTCTAAAGGCAGTCCTGTTGCTACCACCACCACACTTGGCCACTAAGGGTGGAACCCCCCCACGTCTACTGAACAGGGGTACATGTCTGTTCCCTCTTCAGTGGTTTACAGCAAAGCCAGAATCTTAAAAAAAAAAAAAGCTCTACTAAGAAACAAGGAAAAGTGAACTAATGGAAAAACAGAAAGGGATGGATTTACAGGACGAAGTTCAGATTTCTTAGCTTAACTGAAGTCCAACCATAGACTGACTTCCCCACCACAGATTATAAAAAAACATAGCCTGGGTTTCTTTTCGTTTTCTCATTCCTATATAGGTGAAATACTAGGAAATTTGAGCCATATAAGTATGCAGGAAACATGTTGGAAAATATGGTTTAGGATTAAGAATGAAAAAGATCAAAAACTTGTGGACTACTTAGAAGCCTCTTGCTGATAAATTATGAATTTTTTTTAAATCATGAATTCTTCAAGGAAAGAGAACAAATCAATAAGTGTTTACTAAATACCTACTGTGATCATTACTTAGGAAATGACTAAACAAATTACGGTGGTAACGAAATATCGCTGTGTTCTAAGAAATGAGGAACATGATGAATAAAGAGATATGAATTGATGCAAAGTGAAGTCAGCAGAACCAAGAAAACAATACACATGATGACCACAACAATGTAAATATAAAGAACAGAACACTTGAAAGTGAATGCTGTTTAAAAATGAATGCTGTGGAATTATAATGCACAAACATGGTCCCAAAGAAGAGATATCAGAAGACACCTGCTCCAACTCCTCTGAAGGAATGGAAAGTCGATGAGTTTGGAATGCTGCAAGTTCCTCATTATGATACTGCACAACTATCAGACTTCTGTTGTGTTGGTTAGTTTTTCTTAACTTTTTTCTTTTTTTTTCTTTCTTTACACTTTAAAGGGAATATAGTGAGAAATACAAGTGATATAAAGAGCAATATATCAACAAAAATATATTTTAAAAATCTAATTTTTGCAAGGCAGTGCTAAGGGGGAGATACAAAAACAAAAGTAGAACAGTCTCTGCCCTTAAGGACCTTATATTCCAAAGGAAGAGACAACATATACACATACAAATATTTATAGAATATATACAAGGGTAAGTTTGAGGAGGGAGGGCACTAGTACCTAGGGAGGACATCAGAAAAGGCTGAATGTAGAAAATGGCATTTAAGCTGAATTTTGAAGGAAACCAGGGATTCCAAAATGCAGAGGTAGGGAGGGAGTACATTTTAGGCATGGGAGAGAGGCCAGCATGAAGTCCTAAAGGAGATGGAATGTCCTGTGTGAGGGAAAGCAAATAAGCCAGTATGGGAGTAATCTCTAAGAAGACTGGAAAAGTAAAAAGTGGCCAACCTGTGAGGATCTTTACTCTCTCTTGGTTCTCTTCCTACCCATCTGACTGCTCCTCAGTCTCCTTTGCTGGGTCCTTCTCCAGATCATGCCCTCTCTAACCATAGGTGTCCCTCAGGGGTCTGCCCTGGGTCCTCTTCTCTTCTCCCTTTACTCTACTTCACTTGCTGGCCTCATTAACTTCCATGGATTTAATTATCATCTCTGCTGAGTCTCAAATCTACCTATCCTGTCCTAACCTTTCTGCTCACCTTCAATCTCAAATCTCCAAATGCCTTTCAGATTATCTTAAACTAGATGTGCAATAGACATCTTAAACTCAATATGACCGAAACCCGTTATCTTCTCCCCTAAATCCCCCCCCCCACCTTTGTTTGAGAGCAACACCATCCTCCCAGTGCCCCAGGCTCACAACCTAGGAGTCATCCTGGACTCCTCTCTATCTCTCACACTCCACCCCACACCCCCACCAATATCCAAACGGTTGCCAAGGCCTGTCAATTTCACCTCTGCAACATCTGTTGAATGTGTCCCCCTTCTTTTCCTCTGACATTGCCACCCATCTAGTGCAGGCTCTTATCACCTCATACCTGGAGTACTGCAATACTGTATTTCACCGCATAATCATCACAGATTTTATGCCAAAATTGGGGAGGGGGAGGGTGAGGGTGGGACCATTATGTGAAGCTTTTTTTTTGTAACTGTGCTGGTATTACTTAAAAATCATTTATTACTAAGCTGTCTTTCGTGCAAGATTAGGATACAATACTCATGAATAAACGTTAAAAACGAATACTGACAATGCACATGTGTAAAAATTCTAGGCTTGTGGCTCACATACACTATATTCCCTACCACATATTCTTCAATCTAGTGACTCTACTCCTGGCTGTTCCATGAACAAGACCCTCCATCTCTTGGCTCTGAACATTTTCTCCGGCTGTCTCCTAAGCCTAGAATACTCTCCTTTCTCATCTCTGCCTCTTCACTTCCCTGGCTTCTACAGGAAGCCTTTCCCAAGCCCTCTTGATTGCAATGCCTTCCCTCTGTTAATTCCTTCCTATTTATCCTGTTTACGTAGCCTGTTTATGCACACATTTGTTTGCATGTTATCTCCCTTGTCAGACTGTGAGCTCCTTGATGGCAGAGAGGACCTTTTGCCTCTTTGTCTATCCATAGTGCTCAGCACAATGCCAAGTGCATGGTAAGCACTTAAATGTTTACTGACTGACCAAATGAAATACCAGGCAGAGAGGTTTATGTTTGATTCTGGAGAAAACAGGGAGCCACTGGAGTTCATGGGGGGCAAAACCTATGCTTCAGGAAAGTCCCTTTGGTTGCTATGTGGAGGATAAATGATTCCATTAAAATGATCTTATTAGATCTGTTTGGTCTTTTCTAGCCTGAGAAGCAACATCATGAAAAGAGTGCTGGCTTTGGAGTCAGTAGCTCTAGGGCAGAATTCCAATTCTGCCACTCACTAACTGTGCTACCTTTGGTGAGTTGCTTATCACTTCTACGCCTCCATTTCTTCACCTGTAAAAGGATGACATCAAACTACCTAAACATTTTAACTACATAACACTAAATGTGTTTTGAACCCTGAGGCCTGAGCTGAGAAGTTTCTGTGCAGTCAACAGGTGGCATTTCTAGTACATGCACACAGTGCTAACAGGAATGATGCTATAGGCTTTACCTGTTCATATTTGAGTGAGAGCAACATCTGCTAATTAAGTTGAATTAATTAACAGGAATCCAGGCCAAAGAAAAAAATACTGCAAGTAGCCAGAAAGAAAGGATTTAAGCTAGGGAAGAAAGATGTTAAAAAATTAACAGCTCTGAGCAAGAGGTTCAAAACCTTATTCAAGAAAATAACTCTCTGAAAATCAGAATTAACCAAAAAGAAACTAATGACTCCATGAGTCATCAATAAAAATGAAAAAAAAAAAAGAAAAACTTAAAAGACTGAAAAAAGAGAACAAAATTTGTGTTATCTCATAATAAAAACAAATAAGCAAACAAACAACAAAAAAAACCTGATCTGGAAACAGACCGAGGAGAAATAGTTTAATAGTCATTGGAATATCTGAAAGTTAACACCAAACAAAATGGTCCTGGCATATTTTAAGAAATCATAAAAGAGGGCAGCTAGGTGGCACAGTGGATAGAGCTCCGGCCTTGGAGTCAGGAGGACCTGAGTTCAAATCAGGTCTCAGACACTTGACACTTAGTAGCTGTGTGACCCTAGGCAAGTCACTTAACCCTGATGCCTCACCAAAAACAAAAACAAAAACAAAAAAACCCTAAGAAATCATAAAAGAAAAATGTTCATCACTCTCTGAAGCACAGGACAACACAGAAATGGAAAGAATCCACAGGTCACCTCCCAGAAATATTATGTTGCCAAAATTCAGAAGTCCCAGGCCAAAGAAAAAAATACTGCAAGTAGCAAGAAAGAAAGGATTCAAGTACTGAGGAGCCACAGTTAGGCTCATACATGAGTCAGTAGTTACCATTAAAAAGGAATGGAATGCTAGTCCCAAAGGCAAAAGATATAGGCTTACAACCAAGAGTACTTTATTCAGAAAAACAGAGTATCATCCTACAGGGGGGAAAATGGACCTTTAATGAAATAGAAGACTTTCAAGCATCCCTGATAAAAAGACCAGAGCTGAGAAGATAATCTGACAAACACAGGAGTCACAAGAAATATAAAAACGTAAATATGAACTAGCAATCATAAGGGACTAAACAGATTTAAACCGTTTACAATCTTGTATGGGGAGATGATACGTATATCGCCTGAGCACTCTATCATCATCAGGACTCATAGTGTCTGTGAACAAACAGAGGGCCTGGAAATGATTCTGTTATGATATGATGATCTTAAATGAAGAACGGAAAAGGGTGGGGAAAAGGAATACACTAGGAGATCTCAAGAAACAGAAAAGGAAGAATAGGAGAAATTACCTGACATAACTGGGGTGGGGTGGGGTGTGTGTGTGTGCGCGTGCGCATGCGCACGCAAGTAGAGGTCTACATAACAAGGAGGAAGAAGTAGAGGGGTAGGGACTAGACTAAACTTGGACCTCATTCTCATCTGCACTGGTCAAAGGAGGAAGAATACACACATACACACACACATACACATACACACACACACACACACACACAGAGAAATGTGTACTCAAATTCATTTCACTAACAGGGAAACAGGAAAGAAAGAATTCAGGCAAAAGGGAGAATGAAAAGGAGGGAATTCTAAAGACAAGATTAATCAGAAACAAAACAAACTCTTCAAGAGGGGATGGGAAACAAAGAGAAGGAAAAGCATAAAAGAAAGATGGAAGATAGAAAGAAATAAAAGATGGAAGGAAATAAATAATTAGCAATCAAATCTATGAATGAATGGAATGAACTGACCCATAAAATGGAAGATAGCAGAATCAATTAGAATCC